CATGTCTGCTTTAAACAAAACAGAGGGACTGTACAGGTAATGCCAAACCACACACAAAAGCTACTTCCGTCCCTCTAGGAAGTTCTGGTGTTATTAAGCCATTACTTCAAATACACACACCAATTGCAAATTTTGCCTGGACTTGACATTTTCACAAGTTATTGCCATTTTTTTCTGTACTTCCTTCGTTCCTGACCAATCACTGCAACACAGCTGAATTTTGACCAATCTCTGTCGACCTCAAAATGATTCTTTTCCTTAGAATCATTTTTGAGATTTTCTGTAGGATTTGCTTATACTGTGTGCATAGTTTACGTTAACTTGAATGGCGTTCTTATTTTTTGGGACATGATGCATTCATTTTAATTTATTTTTAATTTATTTTTATTTCACAGTATCATAGCTACCTTGTATTTTTTTGATATAAACAGAATATAAGTAAAGATTTGCGCACATTTGTTATGGAAACATAGCTAGTAATCGTCGGCCTTTACTATCACAACAATCCATTACACCGTCCTGGAGAGATTATCTATGCTGCAGTGTTTAAAGCTTATGTATCGGCAGGAAAGCCCAAGTTCTGAAGGCCCTGAACCGCAGCACCGAGGCCTACAGCATCCTGCAGCAGCTGCAGGTTCACTGTGAGAAGACCAAGTGCACGGAGATCATCATCAGGTTCGGCTCTTACGTTGCTCTTGCACACCGTCTCGTTGTAATAATCTGCAGCGTGAAGAAGAAAAAGCACCAGACGTAATACGGCAAGTCGGATTTTAACCGTCGCCTTCCTCCCGCATGCTGCCTGCGCCGTCCAGAGTGATGCTGTCCACCGCCGAGCTCCACTGGGAGTCGTCCAGCTTCTCCACGGCTCTTCCTCTCCTCCTGCAGGCCTTGGCTCTGGCCAGACAGCACCACCTGCAGTCCCTGGCCTCAGAGGCCATCCTTCATCTGGCCTTCACTCAGGTCAGCCACAACAAGAAAGCCTGTTGCTGTGTCCGTCCAGCAGCAGCCTCCACGCAGCGTGGGAGGTGTTACTGCTGGACGAAAGCTGCCATGCATTGGCTCACAACCGAAGCAGATTGGTTTGCAAGATTTTAAGCTTCACAGTAAATGTTTTCGAATGTTTCCAGAACTCGCTGGCGTGATTACAAGTTTTATGCACATGTAGAATAAATCTGCTTTGGAAATATAGAACAGAAAAGTGTTTGTCAAATTGATGTATAAAATAAATAGGGAGACTTTCGGTCATTCTGTATTTAGTTTACAGACTTGATGCCTGATTGGGCATTTACTAATAATAAACTTGGAAAAGTAAATAAAACCAAATAAGCAGAAAAGCTAAAAATTATTCATAGATGAGTGCTCAAAAAATGTCTTGGTTTTCAAATACCAGTGGTGGGCATCACTAGTTAAAACATTAGTTGCACTAACCACAAGGCTCTAATTATTAAAATTAGTTCAGCATCATTTTGTGCTTTAAACTGTTAAATAAAGAAGTTGGAAGAAAAACAAATTTTGTGAAAGCGCATTTTTAGCAAATCACGGTAATTAGAGGAAGCTAATTCTAAAGCGCTAACTTAATTCAAATGATATCTGCCCTTGAAAGACTGCAATGCTCAAGAACCAATATCATTTTAACATCAGAATTTACAGTTTCTGTAATGCCCTTTGATATGGTGTTTATGATTACGCCTTGTTTTCTACAATTTATTTTTGTTCCTGTAGTGTAGTCTCATGTTTTCAAAGAAAGTTATTGGGGGGAAAATAAAGGAGAGGAAGCAGAACTACTACTATTTCAAAATAAGAGCATGGATATCAACATCAATAAGTACAATGTCAGCACAGATTCGACTGAAAGTTTACAACACATTGAAGTAAATTAGCGCTTTAGGATGTAATCAAAAAAGCAAATAGATTTTCAGTTAGCTAAAGCGCTAAGCGAAAAATTTGCTTAGCTGTTTGCAGGTTAGTGGAAGTATGCCCACCACTGCCAAGTACTAAAAGTAAAAGAAAACATCAATTGGACTAAAGATAATGTACAACTGAAATAATCTGACTCCTCTAATCCCGTGACCAGATCAGGTGATTCTATCTCTTCCTCCTCCAGCTCATGCTGGGCATCCCTGGCCAGGCGCTGACTGTTCTCCATGAAGCCATGGAGCCCATCCTCGCCCACGGAGCTGTCATCGACAAAGGCCGCGCCATGCTGCTGGGAGCGCGCTGTCACATGGCTGTTGCAGGCTTCAGGCTAGAAGGACAGGGCCATCTAGGTGACCTTTAACCCCCTGAATCTGCTCATGCCACGTGGAAGATCTTACATCATCTGACTCTCTGCTTCTTCTTCTCGTCTCCTGGCAGGTCAGCATTCGGCAGCTTTGGCTGTTGACTGTCTCAGCGAGGCCGAGTCTTATTTCTCCAGCCTGAACTGTAAGGAGCGCCTTCGGGACGTCCGCTACCTCCAGGCGCAGCTCCACCGCTCGCTTGGACAGACGGCGCAGAGCAACAAAAGCGCCATGAACTTCAGGCTGCTGGACCAGGAGCTGCAGTCCCCAGCCCCACCGGTCTTCATGCAGCTCTGACAGAGCTCTGCCCTCACAGCATCATCAGGCCGGTTGCATTACCTCCCGACACGACACGTGCAGCACCGCGGCTCACCACTAGGAGCCCTGTCCTGATTTGTCTCGGCACTAAAACACAGCAAAAAGACCACGATCTCACCAAGTATGTTTAGTTTCTGGTATAAATATCATAAATAAATTACAAATTACGTTTAGGAACTTGTTTTTAGTCAGTAATCCCTAAATATTGGTAAAAGAAAAAATAAAAGTACTATTTTATTTTAACAGGCAGATTTCACATTTATTATAAGTTGAAATATTTTTATCAATAGTAGGGAATTGTTGACTTAAAACAAGCTCCTACTTCTTGCCAAATTGTTACTCGTTTGCTTCACCTTTTTCCAAGTGTATGAAGATATTGTGGACTGAAACTATGCCAAAAATATTGTGTAAGATTTGGTGTGTTTGGCGTGAACATCTCATTTCTTAACCGTTTCTATTTGAACCAGAGGTTGTCGAGGAACTTGCAGCACAAAATGTTAGTGTTGTTTCAACAAAACGGTGACAGGAGTCATGAATAAAGAGCAGTAGGCGAGAGTCTGTACGTTGCGTCTTGATTTGTGTGGCACGGTTCAGGTTTGAGTGATGAATCGCGTGCAGCTGGACAGGTCGCTCCCTGGAGGAAGAAGGTGTTTGAAGTTCATCGGGAACTCGCTCAGTCCTCTTCCATGTTTTGATGAACGAGGGACGCAGGGCGAATGTGTTTCAGAGGCCTGGCCGATTTATTTTTGTCTCCAGAATACCGATGAAGCTGAAGGAGGAAGCCATGATGTGACGCTGCAGCTCGGATCTGTATTAATCTTTTCTTTGACTGTTTTGCTCTGGATATTTCAGCTGAAGTTTCTTAATCTCCATCCTCAATGCTCTGATTTGTTCTCTTGACTTGTCTAAAATATGTCTGCTTCGCTTCTCTTCCTATGGATAAACAGTTGAATTGTATAATGTTGCTGTAGCCTTGTTTACCATGCAAATCCCAGATAGGATAGAGCTGCCTTTAACAGTGGAAACGTTGCATAACGAGGAAGCTCCAGGCCTTGCAGCGCCTGGATTTACATGTTTTAACATGTATTTCACTGCTGGTGCTTCGGGTGTACAGGAGGGAAAAGAGTGTGTGTTCACTGACTTTGAAATTACATTTAGTTTGCATAAATTATTGTTTTTTTCATCCTTGGGGCGTTTGTCAAAAACAAGCAGAAACAAGCCTCCCACTTTATAACGAAGCAATTTACCTGAAAATGTGTAAGACATTAACTTTCTAAAAAAAAAAAGCACCTCTAAGTTCCTTATCTGTCGGCTTCCTAAGGCTCTAAATCCTCTGATAATAACTGGAAAATAAGATCATAACATGCAAAACACAATTGCAAATTATTATAATAATATATGCAAAGGTAAAATACCTGTCGTGTTGTTCCATCACAGAGTTGAAGAGCCTGGAAGATGATTTTTAGCACTTTTTAGGTCTGAGTAATTAGAAAATGCTCATAAAAAGAATGGCTTTGCAAGACAAAATTCATTCTAGTTTCAAAAAGTTTTTTTTTTTTTTCAAAAGCTGATAAAAACAAAATATTTTCTTTGGATTCTTACTGGGATAACTATCGACGGTTCCCCACAGCTCAAGATCCCGACTCACTGATAGAGAAACTCATTCAAATGAAGAACATTGTGTTGCTGTTTTGTGTTTGTTTGCCTCCTGACCTTTAAGCTTCTTGCTTTTAAACCGGATTCCCACTTTTTGAGTTTGGTGTTTAGCAGCAATTTACCAATTTTGTTTATTGATTTTTTGTGAAGTGAAGTGAAGATTTGAAATTCCAGTTTGGTCTTTTTTTTATTATTTTAATACAACTTTGTTTCTTTTCCTGGTGCCAAACCCTGAAATAACCTTTCACCACAACAGCGAATCAGGAGCCAACTTCAGCACTGTGTTATTTTGACTTGGAATTTAAAGAAATATAAAACCCAATTTGGAAAATGTTTATAAAAACATCAAAAACTGAAGTTTCGTATAGAAACGTCATGGAGGCCCTGTTAACGTGTCTCAAACCTCTGCTCTCTGTCCCATGGTGGCTGCGGTGATGCCTTCAGGCTCCGTTTTCCTTCAGTTCTCATATGAGACACATATTTCTGTTTCTCAGTGTTTTAATAACAAGCATGGCAACAAAACATAGCATAGGAACAATGCATGTTTAGAAAAATATATCTGAAAATGTTTTCTTATTTCGGAAGATGCTATACATTCACTTAACCTCTCTACGATATTAAACAAGAAATAACAGCTTCACTGTCGAGTAGAAAACAAGTTGAGCTTTGGTTCGAGGCGGAACCAGCTGAGAAGTCCTCGCTCTGAATTTATCAGACCTGTAGTTCTCCTTCCCATCAGACCTGTAGTTCTCCTTCCCAGGCAGTTACAGTATAATTACTTTTTATTATTATATTACAAAACGGGTTAAAATGCCGCATTGGTAACTTGCCCAAAGTTGACATGGCGTCATCAGGCGTCCGTTGGAAATGCAGCCGTGTTGTTTCAGAAGTGAATAGATCCGGCTGGAACCTTTGGCTTCTGCTTAAATCCCTACAGTTTATTTTCCTGACCAGCATCCGAGTGTTAAACCAGCCACGACGTCTTACTTTACTTTCAAACACACACAAAAATAATTTATAAAAGGAGAAGTTTAGCCGAAAAACAGGTCTTAAGATTGAGTCAGTTCCCATGTTTCGGCAGCAGAGGAGCGGCGTCTCTAGTGTAAACATAGCTTCATTCCTCGGTGCAGTTCCCTTAAGTTTTCTGGTTCTGTCAGAGTCTCTGTGGAAACTCAGTATCCGGCCGGATAGCCTCCTTTCCGGGGGTCGGACTCCGCGCAGAGACGCTCTCCCTGCCGGACGACAGCCTGGACCACGGAGTCTGGAGTCCTCAGTGTTTGCGTCACATGGTTCTTCTGTTCCAGCCCCTCCAGGACGCTCTGCACAGATACCGAGTAATGAATTCATAAGATTATTGAAAACAATAACGTTTTTGAAAAAAATATTGCGAACACAATACATATTGTTTGAATATTTGCTGTAGATGGGATGTATACAATACTTCATGTTTTGATATTGATCCGATATCAAGTAAAACGAGGGAAAGTATCGCCAATACTGAAACTTATTTAATTTTGATATTTCATCTAAAATAAAACAGTTTGAAGGTGTTCTTACCTTCAAACTTTTTTATTAAATCCTACGACATAATAAGTTGATAAACCAAAACAATATAAAAACAAAAGTACAAAAAAAAAACAATTGGTTGAGAGCAAATCCAACCAAAATCTTTCTTGAGGTCGAGTGGAGTTCAGATTTCAAGAGGGAATCTTAAGCTAAAGTATCAGTCTTACCATGTAATGCTTAAATATGTGATACTAGTTGTTGCGCTGCAGAAATGCACCGAATAAAGTTATATTCAGAAAGTTAATTTAAGGCCTCTGCCTTTTTAAAAGCTTTTCAAAACTTGTTTTGACATTTTGCAACAGTTTCAGATTCACCTATTAGGAGTTACTGAAAGGTCACTTGTTTGACCTTGTATCATCACTGCTAACTCTTCCTCTCTTTCCTGCCGTTTTGCGTCCATGCCTGGCTCACCTTTTCGAAGCCCTGCTCCACCACCGTCATGTTGGGGTTGAGCTGATTGTGAACGCGCGGCTCCATCACGGCTTTCTTTAGGTCATAGTTGAAGAAAAGGGAGTTGAGGATAACCTGTTGCCGCCACGACACGTTACGTAAGTTTTGCAGGACGCAGAGCGGGAATCCACAGGAGACGAGAGCGGCCGAGCCGTACTCACCAGAGCGGTGGCCGTGGTGATTTTTGTTCCTCCGGATGCTCCGACGACCATCTTCACTTTGTTGTCTTTGTCAAAGATGATTGTTGGACACATTGAGGACAGGGGTCTTTTACCTACAACACAGAAACAGAACGTGGTTCTATAGTGCCTTGCAAAACTGGTGTTTTTGGTCATGTTAAAATGACAAGCATTTATGTATATTTTTTGGATTTTGTCCAAATACCCAGAGTGTCCAACTGGAGATCAGAAAGTGTCTGTCTCAGTGTAGAGGTTCCTCCATCTTTTCAACAGTGACAGTACTTATTTAAATGTTTTCACACAATATATTTAGAATTTTACTCTTTTTGTGGTGGTTATTGGATGAAATTGTTTACACATTTAGTAAACCCCTTAATGTTTGTTTGAATTTGTTTTGCTGAGTTTGAAGGCCTGGTTGTAAGGCAAACCAGGAAGTGGAACAATCCATCAGGCTGCTGGAAGCGGGGACTTCATGTTGAAGAACCCGCCTCTCTCTGCTAATAGCACAGATGCTAAAATATTTCTGGTACGTTTTTATAGTTGAGTTGTAGTCAAAATGTGTTTGTTTGAATTAGCTGTTTATGTTTATGCATCATTTGTCTTTGTCTTCTCTCCCACCCCTCCTCGTTTGTGTCTACTAGCCTTTGTGTATAAATTCCCCTGAGTTCATCATGTGAGGTCAGTTTTGGTTTGTTATCCTGAGTTAGGTATGCCTCAGTTGATGATTTCTTTTGGGCCCATTTTGATATATGTTTTAGATTTGTTGACGACTGTCTTTTGTGAAGTATTTTTTTGAGAAATAATAGAAAATATCTATTTTTTTGTGTGTCCTTGTGCTTTACTGGTTGGACCATAACACTCCGGATGCCTGGGAAATTGTTTTGTCATCAAACTGTGCATTCAAATCCTGCACAAGTTCATCCCTGACCTGCTGCTGTGTTCCTGAGTCTATGTGAATCTCTTGACTCTGTCGACTTCACAGAACCGCTGTGTTCACAGTGAATTTACGTTTCACGCAGGTGGACTCCACTTGAGATCAGGCGACTTTTGTTTTCACTGTATTTGATTTGAGGGTACAGCGGACCGTATACAAATTCAAACCAGACTTTTTAGCGTGATTGGTTGGTTTGGTCAAACCTGGCTGAATGAAGTTGTTGGGTGATGGCGGGATCCCGAATCCATTGGTCATGTACGGAGAGCTGAAGTCGTCCATTTCGTCGTTGAAAATGATTCCCGTGGACCGAGACATGACTTTAGACCCAAAGCTGCGAAGCAAAAGCGACTCTTTTTGTTTATCTGTCTACCTAAATCAAGTGTCTTGAAAAGTTGGAACATTTAGGACTCTCACTATAAATTAATGGTGCTGGTGGCAGCAACTGCACTTCCGTCCTCGGCTATGACAGACAGGTGAGCTGTGCCGTGGTTTTCTGGAACAAAATACTCTGGCTCATAGTAGTTATCTGGGTGGGTTGTGTCATCCGTGATTTTACTTCGTATGCCGTCAGCAAAGTAGTCTGAGGTCATGTTGTGGATCAGCTGAGACGGTGGAGAGAGAAAGGGAAAAAAAACAGGTCAGTGTTCGAGAAGAAAACAAACGGAGGTGACGATGAGAGGCTCTCAAGCAGCTGGGGCCGCAGATGTTCCGGTTAAATCGGAAAGGCGTGATTAAAAAGCACAAATTGGGCGAGCTTACATCAGTGATGTTGAGGTACCGGGGGTCGCCCAGCCTGCTTCTCTTGGCGTAGGCGAAGCGAAAAGCCTCAACGATGCGATGGTAGGTCAGAGTTTTCTTTTCGGCTGTTGAGACACTTGTGTCCGTGAAGTTGTACCCTGCAAAAACAGAAACATGCAGTTGCGTGAAAATTCAATGTATACATAGAAACCATATGTTTTCTAACATATTTTGACACAGATGACCGTTTGATCAGTTTTGATGATGCTGACAAATCCAGTTATTTCCAGACAAACTGAAGAAAAGACTTTTTAAAACCTTTTGCGAAGCCCGAATTACATTTGTTCAAATAGGACACCAAGAGATTAATCCTGACGTTAATATCACATCAGGTACACATAAGCAGAGGATTGCTGTTCCAGATGAGCTTAAATGGTCAGAAATCCTTGAGTTTTGGTCGCCCAAGAAACTTCACCTCAAAACCAGACCAAAAGATGCTAAAGGAAGTCTAAAAAAATCCTAAAATGTTATTATAGAATCTACAGACGACTCTCGTTCATATGGGAGTGGGTGTCAGTTTGATCAAAATAGAAACTTTAGATGTTTACGTTTTAGGGGAGAAAAAACTCTTGCTGGAGAGAACATAAACTAGGACCAGGACTCTTTCTTTTCTTGGACAAATGAGTTAAAAAAAATTTTGATGTACACCAGAACAGATTACATGTTTGGTATAAACTAAATCCAACATTGCAGGACAAGAACCTAACACTTATTTTGAAGAGTCTTGGTTTGGATATGTGCCCAAAACCTACCGAAAATTGGATGAAGACGAAGAATTTGAAAGTTGTCTGTCTTGTCAAAGTTTGAATCCCTCAATCGTCTCTCAGCTCAGAGTGAGGGCTGGGACAAACTCTCCAAAGTCAAAGACTGATAGATGGCTACACTAGTTATTGGCAGGTAGAGGTGTCCTCTCCTTTTCCTTCGCTGGAAAATGTATTTTAAGTTTACGAGTAAAATGAATAGATTTTCTAAAGCAGATTGAATCATTTTCATTTTGAGGGATAAGATGAAAATCCCTCATTTTAAGGGATAAGTAGGAAATCAGACTAGTTATCAACTTGTGAACATTTCCTAACAACAAACAGATTTGTATACGTATTATTTTATTCTGTATGAACTTAATTAAATATTCACATTTTACTTAAATTGTTTCATAACTCACAATGGTTGCCAATCTATAGGTATGTCCTAGTTTTTCCTTGTGCAACATTAATGCTGCAAGGTTATCTCCTTGCTGTTGGGAACGCACTTCCCTGCTACAGCAGATGGAGCTGTGAGGGTGCATTTCTGTCTGGCAAGCGCAAGTGTTTTCTGCCTCCACAGCAGGCGGGGAAACATTCCCGGGACAACCTGGGGAAACCTGACATCCTTTCTTCCGCGTGGCTGCCCAAACGCTCGGCCGGCCTGCTCACCGTCCACTATGTTGAGAATGAGCGCCAACACGGGCCCGCTGGAGGGGGCATCTGGAACGTGGATGGTGTATTCCCCAACATTCAGCTTCAGAGGGTTCTCGTTCAGCACAGGCTGGTACTCCAGCAAGTCGTCGAGCGTGACGATGCCACCTGGAACACGGATGAAACCGCTGAGAACCCATTTCACGTTGTTTGTTTTAACTCTACTTCTTGATGTTTGTGTTGTGCAAATTGTTTGCTTGAAAATCCCATCCTTTTTCTGAGTACTTTTACTTAAAAAAAAAAAATCTCATATTAGGACATTTTGTCATCGCTTGGAAATAAATAAAATTTAAGTTAATCAAAGGACACGCAGTCAGCAAACCTTCGCCTTCTGTCCTTTTGGGGTACAAATTAAGATAGCAGAAGACGGAAAGTTTCCTGTTTAGAAAATTGCAGCAAAGTGTAGCAGTTTGGGTGCAACAGCAATGACATGCTGCAGAACTGCCAATCAGATGGAAAAAAATCTGTCTCTGTCCTATCATTGTCAATTTAAGAGTGTGAAGTTGTCTAAGCTGCACTGGGATTTTAAGTGGAACAGTGCTTTGGTCAAAGAATAAGATTCTTTTTGTAACAAATCCCTCAAGATGGACTTAGCAGAAAACCAAGGAAGAATATTTGGGAAAAGCGCCTATTCTTCCAGGACTACGGAGGAACGTGCTCCATAGTCCTGGAGGACCTTCAAGTGAAGGTCTGTGACGTTGTAGATCTGTTTCTCTTCATGCTTTGTATAAAAATAAAGGTGGGCTCTACTTGAAAATTTGTCAAAATTGGCAAATGTACTAACACATGACCAAATCAACAAAGAAATGGTTTGACAGACATAAAATCGGCCACCATCTGCTGCTGTCTTAATCTCACACCAGAAGCCTTTAGAAAACTTGCAGAGGAAACTTAAGAAAGACAATGTTTAAAATGAACGATGGCTCTCTGTGTGCACCAACTTTGTGAAATCTTATAGGACAAGACAATGCTGCCCTGATGACAAAATGAAACTCTGACACCTACATGTAATTAATGCTACTCAAACAAGAGGGCTATTTTTAAGACTTTGTGCAACCTCATTAGGGCTCCTCTGAATGTTTTGATTAATTTCCACTTTCTTTCACTTTAAAAGTAAACACACTGAGCACTGCACCTGCCGCCTGGATGTCCTCCACGATGCTCTGTGCCATGGTCCCGTTGTAAAACACATCAGGCCCCTCGTCCGCTATCCTCTGATACGTCTCTGCCAACTTGGGGAATTTGACGATATCATTTTCTTTCAGGATTCTCTTTTCAGAATCACAGAACACCTCACTGTGAAAATGACAACAACAAAAAAAGAAAAAAGCAACATAATAAAGATGTTGCTTTATTATGAAAATTGTCAGAGACAAAGACAGCAAGACTGAAAATGTGGAACCTTGAGCCCACAAAGCCTCAGTAGAGAAAAGAAGGAGCCTCATCGTTTCTGACCGGCCGCCATTTTAAACCTCAAACGACTTGACACAATGAAACAAGTAATGGCAAGATGAGAAAACGATGCTGTTTAAAGATGTGAAGGGCAGTGGGTTGGGTTGCAAACTTTACTTCACACCACACATTTGTCCCATTAAGCTATAAATTGCTATCTATTTTCTAACTAGCTAACTGTTTGCTAACATCACTGCTAACGACTTTCAAAATTCAGACTTTGGCTGAATAAAGTTTGACTGAATGGTGACTTGTCCAGAGCCGCTAGCTAACCCAGTGCAAGCTGGAGACCCAGTGAGAAGTCACAAATGCCTGGGTAGAAAAAATGCTCTGTAGATATTAATCTAGACAGAACAAGCAAACTTCAGAATGCGCAGTTCAAACCAGGATTTTATACTGTTTGAGGTGAGAGCAGTAACTACCAAGGCACTGCTAGCTCATCTCAATAACTTTATAAAAATAAGACTTTTATTGACAAACACTATACAGTTTGGATGTGAAGATTTATGTTGCGAAATTTGCAGTCGGTGAACAAGGATGAGGCTCCTACTATCTTCTCTAACGAGTTTTGAACAAATGTTTAAAGCTAATCAGCAGTTGCTTCTTTTTGGGTTTTTTACGGAGACTTTGTCAAAGCCAGCTCTCTCTGTTCCCCCTCACCACATGTTGGCGTCTCCTTGAATGGATTCTTTGCTCTTAAAGATGGCGTGAGCCAGAGCCTTCCCGATGGGGAAACCGTCACGAGCCAGAGCAATGCTGGGCTCAAACAGCTCCTTCCAGGGAAGCCTGCCGTGCCGTCTGTGTGCCATCTCGTAACCTCGGATCTCTCCTGGAATCGCTATGGACAATCCACCTGTCGTCCAAAGACAAATCGCGTCTTTGTCAAACATTCCTGATTAAAGTGAAAGCACACAAGGCATTGTTGCTTGCCTATATTTAACACCTTCTGCTGCTTTATTTGAATGATCCTATCATAAATAGAGCAAGCGATGTGACAGGAGTGTAGCAGAAGACTGAGTACTCCTCAGAAGCTGGGTGGACAACTTTCAGACTGGAGTATGTCTCGCGCTAAAGCCTTCCCTTGCTGTTCGAGATTGAAGAGGATAGACAGAAGCAAAAATGCAATCTGTTGCTGGAAAACACTCTGCGAGCACACAGCTAGTCGGTACCTGTGCGAGAGAGTTTAGTGTTGTTGCCAAACATGTCTTCAGTGGCGTTCATGGGCGCCGTCTCCCTTGCGTCTATTGTTTCCACCATCCCTGTTCGGCAGAGAGCGAGGAGTGATGGGAAAGTGCCCGTACTTTTTCTTCAGTTGTGACCTCTTGACCTGCGGTACGCACTCACCTGTGGAAGCATTATATATTATAAAGTAGAGCCCTCCCCCGATGCCCATGCTGTGGGCGTTCAAAAGGCCGACACATAGCAGGGCGGCGATGGAAGCATCCACAGCTGAGCCATTTCTCTTCAAAATGTCCCTGGAAACACAAGAATGCACTTACCGGATGAGTAGCACACACACACACATGCAGCACACACACACACACACACACGTAGCTCAACATATGCTTTGCTCTTACCTCCCCACTTCTGAGCACTTTCCTGCATCAGCAGCCACGGCGGCCTTTGAGTAGTAGTAGTCTGAGGGGGGAGGCGAGTTTTTCCTCCCTAAGCCCATGAAGACCCCCAAGAACAGGCTCACGGTGGCCACCAGAAGGACCACCACACCAGCTATCAGGGACTTCCCGACCATTTTCCTGTTTGAGAAAATCATCAAACTGTCTTCATCAGACCTGCAGCTCAAGTTTCACCCACAGACGTTATTTTCTCCCCGCATAACTTCTAAAGTTTGGTCACCTTTGATATGCTGTGATGTTTCACAGACTGATAAAAAAAAAAAAAGCATCAAGCTGAAGAGCCGACCAGAGCCTGAATGAGCATCGGCTGTAATGGTAAGGTGTTAAAGATGTCTGGCTTAAGCCACTGGGTGTGTCATCCATGTTTTTCAGGTGTTAGCTCACTGTCATACTGTGATTATCAAACATGTGCTGCGTTCCCACTGGGTGTTTCAAGACAGAAGATCACGGATAACGAAATACGGGAAAATAACAGTTATTGCAACTTTCCTCTGTCTTGACACGACCCTGCAATTGAAGATGGGCTTCAAAGGCTGAACTGCTGAATCAAATCTTCACAAAAATCAGAGGCAGTTACTGTTTAATCCATCATTTCTCAGATAATGACATGAGTTTCCCAAGTGATTGATGCCTTCCTCTCACTTCTTTAGAGTGGATCTCTAAAGAAATTAGGATGTTTTGTCCCTCAAATCATCCATAACCTTCCATTTCACTTTGCTGTCAGTCTGCCACGGCCTGCCAACGAGAAGGTGAGAGCGATCTATTTAAAGTCCTGACTCTGCATTCTGCGATTGGCGATCTCCATGTGTTCGTTCAGCCACTCACACAGCGTCTATAAGCAAAAACCTTCCTGTTTGCACTTTGTGATGCTACAGCCTCACTCTTTTTTTATGTTGCTGAAATAGCTTATTAGCTTGTGTGTTTCTGTTGTTTATTTATTTTTACAAAAATCTGAATTCTCACAGTTGAGAGAAGTTGTCTTGTCAAGACAACTATTATTCACACACTTCTCCAATTAACCCTTTCTGGAATTTTGCTGGAGGAAAACCTGAAGAAGTCCTGTTTTCAGTTTGCGATGTAAAGAACACCACAAACATTTGAAGAAGAAGAAGCTCTGAAGAGAGGAAAACTGAACATTTTGGTCTAAATGTAAAACAATGTGTTCCAGAAAGCTGACACTGCACGTCTCTAAACGTACCATCCCCGAATATAAAATCCCTTTTTTATCTTCCCACCAACTCTGTGAGTTGGTGGGAAGATAAACCTGGAAGAAAACTTGCCAGAGGTCTCGAAATATACAAGACAGGGGTGAAGGTTCATGAAACCAAAAATACAGCCAGGGCCCAGGCAAAGTCCAGAACTAAATCCAACATATTACTGACTCAAGGAGGATTAATAAAAATACTTTCCAAGCTTTTATTTGTGAAGATTTTTGGGGGGAATCCTGCGTCCTCGTTCTCCCAGTCCTCACATAAGCACTTTTCAACCCTGTGCTGAGGAATCATAGAGTTTAAAGCTTGACTAAATGTAAAACAACATGTGGTGTGAATACCGTCACCACACCCCATTGCCCGTCAGCTGTTCTAGCTGCACGGCCCTGCTGCTGGCCTGCATTACTTGTTCCTGTCCTGCTGCGGATCGCCTCTAAATCGAATCACATCCATCTTGTTCTGCGTCTCCCGGGCTCAAAACCACCCGAAGCGGCGATGTTTAGTCAGCAGTCACAGCTGAATTATTACAAAAGAGGACAATCACGTTACTGTGCACTGCTGCAGCAGGCCACAGAAGCTTTCCTTAAGTATTCTCGCACGTGATTGTCTCTGGATGATTGAACATCTACACGTTTTTATCCCCCATCTAGACGCTGACAGCTGGAGGTTTTCCTTAGGATTAACTGGGAAGGATGCGCTTCCTCTCTCTCTCTGTCTCTCTTCCCGCCATGATTTGCCCCAGTTTGTTTTTGCACAACAGCAGCAAAAGGTGGATCTTCTGTTCCTGTACGTGCGGCAGCAAAATCTAATCACCGGCCGCAGCAACACGAACAGCTGGGACGCGGAGGAAGAAGGTGATGATGTCACGTGTTTTCATGGTCAGCTGCTGGGCTGCTAATGACAGGATCTCTGTTGTTATGTCGCCTGTGTTTTATGTACCCGGCAGTGATGAGCGGCTGGGTTTTGAAACCGCATTATCACAACAAGATGTCATAATGCGGCAACATATGTACAGATATAGCTGTGAAGCAGGTGCTACAGGTTTCTTCCATTATTATTATTATTTTTTTTGTTTTAAATATTTTATATTATTAAACTAGACAAAAAGAACCAGAGTAAAACACTGAATGCAAGTTTCAAATGAGGATTTATTTAATTTAAAAAGCTGTCCGAACCAACCACGAAAGCAAACGCCTCCTGCAGTTCATAACAGATTGTCCCTGAGGACCAAAACTCCCATCAGGCATCAGAGTGAAATCAATAAGTGAGTCTCTCACCTTGCTGTGGAGGAAGTGTGAATGCAAAATTGTTTTAGTACAGCAACTCTGGCTTGTTTTTGAGAATGAACAGCCAGTTTAATATCACGCTACCACATCTCAATCAGATTCATGCTTCCGACTTTGAATAGGCCACCCCAAAACCTTTGTTTTGTGTTGTCTAAACCATTCAGTGGTGGATCCACTGCTAGTTAACCCACACATTCATGAGCTATAGGTCATAAAAGCGTCGGGCATGCGTCCATCAGTTACAGCAAGTAGCTGAATTGGACCCTAGAAAGGTTTTTATTTCCAAAATACTGTCTTTCTTTAGTGATATTGCTTTACTGTAATATGTTGGCCATATCATGTGCAGAACACAAAAGAGTCAAATTGAGGTCATCGTGCTCATTATCAGCATCCAAATCCATATAAGCAACTGAGACGTGAATGCTTCCCTGCCTCCAGTTGTCCCGTTATTCTGCATGAGCTGTGTGCTCTCTTTACAAACCTGATTTCTTCTGTTGTCCTTTCGAAATGTCATTACCGCATGCTCATGTTTTCTACCCGACACCCTAATGGGTTTAGATACTGAAGCCGAAGGAGAACCGCTGAAAACGGGGCGGCATGTCAGCCAGCGCACACAAAGACGTCTCTACTGAGAGAAATGTGTGTCGTTTCTGCAGCGGTGCGAGATTTATGTTCAACTCTAACCGATACAATTCAGGAGACGTCATCAGGTCGCGTTGATACAATGTGCTTCGAAGCTGTTTTTGATCAAATGCTGTGCAATTAGGATTTTCAGATGGACTTGTCTGATTAAAAACATTTGTCAGGTATTGATTTTGTGTAAATGTGTTGGAGAGTACGCATTAGGTTTCTCAGGCCACGCAGTCAGGAAGGCTTATAAAGCTCTAATTAAAAATTGTTAATATGTTCTTGCTCCTGTTCTTATCAGAAGTGATAAAGTGTTGGACTGAGCAGAATGACACAGCGCTCTCCTTTTCCTACCAGCTGCTGATCACTGCCAGTCAGCAGGCTGAATGAAGGCTCATGTTCTGTTCACTTGCAAGATAAATTCAGGTCTTTTCCAATACCATCACTGTGACAGAAGTTATGCAAATATCAGCAGATAGCTCAACTAAAATAACCTGCTCATTTCAGCTTTTTGATTGGCAAATGTGTAATTTCTCACATGAAAAATGATTTTAATTCTTTTCATTAAAATGTGTTAATGTAGCTGTCTGCCTAGTTACATTGCTGAATTAGCAATCAACAGTAAATAGAAACTGCAAACGAACTAACTATCAGCGCAGTAATCAATGTTACTATGATACATATTATATATAATATAATGATATATATAATATAATTATATATTGATATCATTAGGATGTTGCTGCCTTTATGTTTTAACTAGATAACGTTCATATTACAGATCTTGCAATTTCACTATAATGTGAATTATTCAAGTATTTTTGCACAAGTAGAAATTCTCTAGCTGTAGATAGAAGGAAAACCAGTTTCTTAAAGAGACTTCGTCATCAAATTGATTGTTTTTGTAATACTTCATTCCGCCACTAGAGGGCTTTCCCCTGGAAGACGAGAAAGGAAAACGTTACTAAGAGTTTTTACTGAATGCGTTGTGATTAAAATCGTTTTTGACACTCACATCCTGTGGACCCATGTCTGGACTGATTTATTAGGAAAGCAAAACCCGAATCTCATGAGAAAAAGCAACGATGATACATGAAGAGGAAAGGACAGGAGCGTCTGATAAATATTGCAGAATTGTAGATCTGTTGGTGGTGAGAAATAGCATTATAGAAAGGACCCATTGTAGAAATACAGCTTTGAGGAAGGTGAGCAACAGGGGATGTTTGGGGAGGAGAAACAGGTGTTGGAGAGCAGATCACCAAAAACGGTGAGCTGGAATCAGAGAAGAAAATAAGGTCAAATCAGGATCAAAGTGCTTTAAGCCACAAGGATTGGAGCTACAAATAGAATCAGGCTGGAGGGGCGGGAGAAATTACTGATAGCTTCAAACTTTGTAGTTTGAAGCCCCCCACTGGGACATCACTCCCCCTTTCAGAGTGGGCCCCTGGAAACAGATACTGATCCACAGAGTGACTGCAAAAAACTGGGGCAGGGAAGATCCTCAAAGAAAGAGCACTGACAGAAGCAAACTGGATCTGACAGCTTGTATAAAAGCAAAGTGACAACTGGGGGGATAAAAAGGGAAATCTCTACTTATCTAATGGCCAGTCGGAGAACGCAGAGCTTGTTTCAACAGCTGGTAATAATATGTGCTTTTAGCTCTTCTGGAGGCCGGATGGGTGACACCATCGAGGGGGAGGCCCAGCGGCCACACGCAGATGAATAACTCTGTTATTTATCCAAATTGAAAATGTAAAAGTTTGAACAAATTGCGACTTTAGTAGTATTATAAACAAAATACACACACAATAAATAAGCACCAGATTTTTCTGCCATTCAATGGTTTCGAAACTTTTCTCGAAACCATCTACAGTTAGCAGCAACTGTAGGTTCAGATCTTTATATCCTGTGTGATTTTAAACCTGCTTTTTAGAAAAAGATTGGAATCACCTAGCAACCATACCTTCAAAAAATAAAAAAGATGTTTGTAGAAAGTCCACCAGAGGCGTCACTGCAACTAAGAAAACAATGAAAGGTCTAAAACTAAAGCTGCTGCTGTTGTGTAAAAAGAGCATGAATATAGAAATTATATTGCTACCAGTGTCAGTTTAATAGAGCTCAAATAGCTTTAACAAATAATTATTTGGGGCTTTCAAAATAAAGTTTACAAATACTTTTCAAAATAAAAGCCATCATAGTACACAGGTTGAATAAATGCAAAAGGAGAAAACAGTTCCAATACAATTAAAACTAGCATAAAAAAAGGATTGTTAATTTAAATAAATAAAGCTCAGATATTTTCCAAAATAAAATTGTTGGTTTTTAATACACCAGTGAATGCAAAGGACGGTTCTGTGATCAGTTTAAAAGCCCAAAGTGATGCATGCACCAGCAGCAATAATACAATTCATAAGGAGCTAAATTGGGGCCATAAAGTTTGTTCAAAAGAAAAAAAAAAACATTGAAAAATTATTTTGAAACTGAAAATAAAAATTTGAAACTAAATGTTTAAAATTACTTTTCAGATTCAGTGTTTTTATTATTATTATTTGTTTTTTTTTTCTCTCAAGATACAGATTTTCTTTTCTTTATTTATTTTTTCCACTTTTGAGGAAAGTATATTACCAATTTAGCTCCATACATTTTGGATTGTCTGCACAAAACGAGAGGAACCAACAATATTTCTTCAAAAATGTTTTTTTATTTATTGAACGTCATCGTTTATTTTTTCTTTTTCTCTGCGTATTCCCCTCCCCCCCCCTGCCTCCCCCCCCCCCCCCCCCCACACACACACACTCACAAATTCTGCTGCCAACATGTTAAAAAAAAAACCTTGTAAATCTTAAAAACAACTCCAACTTTTGCTCGTTGTTGATTGTCGCGTTTCTCGCGTTTTTTACAGTCGTACTTCAAAGAGATGCTCGGCGGGGCTGCACGCGCTCTGATTGGTCAGATGCCCCACGTTACACGAACCCAAACAGCAGGGGAGGATGAAGCAGTCCGGGCTCCTCATTATCCCAGGCACCACACGTACCGCACGTAGCCGAGCGAGCATCTCTGGGCCGGACGCGTGAAACGCCGCTCTGTGTTTATCTGGTTTTGCCGAAGCTCTGCGAGTTTACCGGGACACACCGAGGAGCGTCGGAACCGGGGCCGTCTCATGTGTTTGTCCTTCTGGTAACACCGCCGCAGCCGCATCCCTTCCTCGTAGAAAGAGCGACGCCGCCTGCGCGCGCACAGCGACCTCGCGCGCCTCGCCATGGGCTCCAGACTGAGCCGACAGAGCAGCCTGGATGACGAGAATTTCTCCAAGAAGCGGCGCCGACTGCAGGACGGCGCCGGGGAGGCGGACAGGGGCGGCCGGGGCGGCGGGGACTTTCTGTTTGCTCTGATGCTGAAGTCGGACAAGCTGCCCGGGATGCTGCGCAGGGCCAACCACAGCCCCTACATGAGGAGGGTGGCGTGGATCAAGGAGATCCAGAAGCTGCTGCGCGAGCGCAGGATCGAGCAGGCGACCGACGTGCTGAAGCTGCTGCGGAAGGTAAAGGAGGGGACGGAGGGGTCAGGCGCCCTCGACACCATGCGTCCCCTTCTCGTTAAGGGGCAACAGATGAGGGGCTGATGTTAGCATGTTTTAGTCTCGTGCATGCCAGGGCCGCTTCCAGAAACTTTGTAAAGGGGATGGGCAATTGGGGGAAGGACGGGGACAGATTTGGTCAAATTATTATTAGTGTGCTGCACTCATGTTAGAGAGTTGGAGTAGATGAAGGACATTCAACTAAGAAAGACGACAAGAAATACAGGTGCATTAGATAATCAACGTCCTAATTTAAAATAGAAATGCACATTAAGCTCTGGAATCAAAGTCTATCAATATCTTCAAAAGTTTCTGCTATTCTTAAATCTTCATTCATGGAGTCCAATCTGGGGGCGCACCGATTGCAGTTTTCTGGCCGATTACCCATTTTTAAAAAGCATGACATGCCAAGTGCTGTATAATTTTGACCAGTGCTAACATTTGGTCTGCAAAGCTGGTAAATAAAGTGACAGAGTTGATAACAGTGGGGCGACTATTGTCAACCGGGCGACCTGGTGGGCCGGTCTGTCAGTCAGCGCTCTTTAGCCACAGAGTAAAAGAGGATGGGGGCTGATGTTCAGACCTGTATGGATGCGATCGGTTTCAGGAAATCTGGGTCAATAAATCAGCTGTCTGATAACAATCCCATGAAAATGTGGTGCTAGATTTAGTTGCATTAGTAACGTGGGATCTACTTTTGCCTGAGTCTTAGGTTGTTTTGGGTTTTGTTTTTATTCCTGTATTTGTAGTTTTGATCATTGGTTGTTTTCTTTTTTCCTTGTTTCTCTTTGTTATCCATCTCACTTTAGCTTAGACTATTTTTAGCCGTTATTTCCCATACTTTCCTTGCTGCCGGTCAGCTGGATGAAACGTGTATTTGGCTGTTTGGAAACATTCCCAGTGAGGAAAAACATTGACAGTCATGACATGGAAGCCATCCACCCAGGTAGTTGTGATAATGCTGTTTTAAAACAAATATTCTCAAACTACATGTTGGTAAAACAGCAGACTGCAGGCTAGTTACCAGAGGAAACAGCCAACCAATTAACCAGTTTCATTTACTCCTAGTGTTGCACCATGAACAGCAAAAGAGCAAAAAACTAAGACCTTCTGTGCATCAAAGACTAAATTTAACTGGAGTTTAGTCGATATTTTGACACATTCTCTGTTGCATAAAAAAAATATGAGAACTAAAAGTATTAAAAGTATCACAATCAATATGCAGTGGAAATATTTTATCTTTTTTTCTGTTGTGAAACCTACTAGACCATGTTTTATATTTTGTTTGAACTACATATGAGGCCGTCATTCAGGCTGGGCTTTGATTCCTGATCCCATTGACCTTTGACCCCAACTCACCTCCACCCTGGCCTCTTTGTGCGGTTTTGACCATCACTGTTTCTTTCCCCTCCCCTCTCTGCCGCGTCATTTGCATGTAAAGTAGGCCGCTCTCCGTGCAGCATACCTGTGACACGCCGTTTCTCGTGACTCAGAGCGGTGAGATGCGCAGCGCGTTGACATGAGATTCAAAAGGATAGTCGGTCAAGCCGCACACCGTGTGTGTGTGTGTGCGTGTGCGGGTGTGTGTCGCTGCGTTTCCTCTAATTTAATTTTTCTCTCCCCGGCTGATGGGCTCTGGATATTTGCACGCGCACGCCGACCCCCGTGCGTCCACGTCTTTGTTTCCTCTTCTATAGGCAGACTCGTGTCTCTCCTCAGGCTGTTCTAATGCTGCCATTACGGCTACATGCCCTCTTTATCGCTTCCCCACATTTAATGGCTATCTCCCTCCGCTGCAACAATTTAAGCCATGCCTGCAGGCTTTGTTTACCTCGACAGAAAAACAAATGCTTCTTTAAAGGTTATATTTACTCTTTACTACAAAGAATAAGGTCACAGAAGTAATATTAGGAAAAAAGAAAAACATTAAGTGCTGCCCTTGCCTCTGCAGCATAGACTTTCTTTGTTTATTCTGCATGTGAGCATTTTACCCTTAAATGCCTCTTGGACTTCTTCACATTTTGTGATGTTTCAAATACAAACATAAGTGTATTTTATTTGATAGATTAGCACTTAATCAGTGAGTGGAGAGAAATGGTTTTTGCAAATACAAGTCTGAAAAGTGTGGTGTGCATTTGTGTAAGCTGTAGGTCTTGTTGTTGCACATTTAGAATCACATTTTTTTTGTTGCAAAAAGCATCCCCGCAGCATGATGCCGCCACCACCATGTGGGTCACTGCAAAGTTACCGCAGGCCTTTGTGTCTCTGGTTAATGCTCTCCTACCCCAGCCTGCCAGCTCAGGTGGCAGGTTTTGAAATACAAATGGGCATTTATGTCATTGTTGATGATCACTGGCAGAAAATTATAAAAATATACAGTAAACTGTAAGAGTAATAAAAACTGAGCCAGTGGTGTTTGCAACCCCCAGAATCTGACTCTACTTTTAATACTTTTGCTGTTTGAACTTTGTCTTTTTTACCATCATCTTTAATTGTCAATACATTTGAAACACATGACTGAATGCAGTTATTATTTATTACTTAAAGATACAAGTGTGCTACTTAGTGCAACTGGTGTACTGAAATAGTCTTATTCGACGATAAGTTGTAGCTCTGGAGATGATGTATCATTACATTTATAATAATATAGGCCAGAAAGTCTTCATGACACAATTTTACGTCCATATTACTTGGTTTTTAGTTTCCCTTTGTGCTGTTCTCTCTCAACTTTCTGACGATGGATTTCCACCTCCTGTGAAATCTCCAAAGTTAAGGAGATTGTTCTGTGAAATAATGCCGCCTTTAAACATTTCCACAACTTCCCCCAGGCTCTGTCTGCCGTGTTTCTTAGACTTTGTGATTCTTTCCGTTCGCTAATATTCTCAGAGATCTTCTTGGCATTTGATTTTCAGGCTTCAAATCCACAACACACTTTTATTTTGAAAGAAAAAAAGCAGCTTTCTCACTTAACAACCCTACAAACCTGTAAAATACACATAGTTCTTTTTATTATTTTTTTCTTTTTACATTTGATGTTAATTGCTGCATATTTCAGCCGTTTCCACTTGTGACATGGAATAGGCAGCACCCAGTGACGCAGAGTGAACATGTGCAGATCTTAATTAGACGTTTGTTTTTAAAGGCTTTTCTCACCTGCTATGACATGTTGCATTAAAATGTAAGTAGGCGCATCCAGATCTAGCAGCATCTCCTGGGGGATCTCGTTTGTTTGGGTCTGCGTTTCAGCTGCTGAATACTGTGTTAATTACTCTGAAGTCTCCATACAGAGGAAGGGGGAGAAAAATGGCACCTCCTTAATTAAGACAAGAAGAAGAGAAACTGGCTGGCCTTCATGCGACATATGGGACACACATGCAGCCTTATTCTCTCTTCATTATCTGTTCCTTTTTTATTATTATTACTTATCTCTACACTGTGATGCTTTTCAGTGGATTTATGACAGATTTTGCTCTCAGAAGTGTTCGCTCTGCTCCAGGAAGGAAACAGATCTGAGTGTTGCCTGCAGATGCAGAAAGGATTTGTTCCATCATGTCACGCTTTGCAAATGACAATTGATCCGTGTCTAAACACGGACAGATGGAGGAGGGGGGGTGTATTTTTATACCTTTCTTCTCAGACGGGCAGCAGCTTCTTCTTCTCCGCTTTGGATTCAGTCTGTGTTTACTGTTGCCCTTGTTAAAAAAGGGGAGCTTGCCAGCCGCCCACTCAGACTGTCTGTTATAATCCATGCCGAATGCGCTGGGCAGAATATCTATGCAGATGCTTTTGTGCACGTATGTGCATGCTGCATGGATGACCTCGAAGGCTTTATTTTCTCATTAAAGCAGCACAACGTCGTGGACATGTTGATAAAACCGTGAAAGAGGGGGATTTGGTCCCATATAAAGTCAGATTTACGGCGGTTGCATTGTTTGTTTGGGTTTTTTTTTAATCCAACCTGAAAAAAGAATTGAAAGACTCAAATTGTTACGAGTTTGTGCGAATTATGAGTGAGCGTAGCATTCTGATTAGGAGTGAGTGACATGGACTTTTTAGTTTTATCACAATATGTTGTAAAAGTGACAATAAGAACTGTTCATTACTTCTTTATTAGATGACTCTAAATCTATGACTCAATTATAGTCCCACAAGAAGGAGTACTACTCTTGAAAAACCTTCCCATTTGAAATTACGGTTCCTTAGAACACCTGCACAGCTTGACCTCATGGCTGAAAAATATATCGTGATATCAGCGTTTCATATTGGTCGATATCAATAATTATTGATCCTTTTTTTTTTTGTTTTAAACATCTGGTAAACAATAAACGATACGATAAATGCCCAGCCCTACTTCTGACTAGCGATATTTTTAGTGCTGTCTTTGGGTAACATTCCTGCTGACACGCCGTCCCAGATCTCACTGCCCACTGTAGATGAAAAACTCTTTGTCTCTTTTAATGAATATTTAAAGGAAAGCTCTCCTTTTTTCCTCTCCCCTCCCCGACCCAGAAGGCACCTATTTCCATCCCGCTCCTTTCACCCCGTAGCCAGGCCAAGCGTTGGGAGTGTTAGTCATGACCTGCTTTGGTCCGGTCACGTTTTTGCTGTCGTCGTGTTGTTCCTCATTTCTCTTATCTCGTCTTCTTCGCTAGGACCTGGGTTTGGAGGGAGCCTCGCTGAATGACATCTTGTACAAAAACGCCGCCTTCCTCAATCTGGTGGACCCTATCTCACACGAACTGCTGCTCAGCTTGGCTCGAGAGATGCAGTGTCCCAAGAAGGTCAGTAAGCCCCGTGTGCGCCGCGACACGAGACATTTACTTTATTAATGATTGGTTCTTCGGCTGCAGAAACAATCCAATCTGAGGCTGGTGGTTTTTCCTGCAGACAGATGTTGCATTTCTGCTTGCTGTGCACCATGGGTTACTCTCTTTGATGTGTATGTTTGTTTGTTTTTTTCAAACCCAAAACTAGAGCAATCCATGAACACAGGAAAAGTTGAAAGCATCAAGCCGCAAGGAAAGAAAATGAAACTCACAGTTAATCATTTTAAAAATGCAGCCTTTTAATTTGAGTGCATTTACTCAGTGATGAAAAATATTCCTGCTGGCTGTGTTTGAACAAACTTATTTCAACAGTAGGACAGCGCTTCGTCATCTGCTTTAATATTTTACAGGGTTGGATTAGAGGCAGAGGCCATTTCTACTCATGGCAATAGTAGCACAAGGAGAATTGGCTAATCTTTTCATAAATTGGCCGATTCATATTATGCTGTCACAACATAATCAATCCGAAAATAAATATTTTATAATGTGTTTTGTATAAAAATTTTGTGCTGCAACTTTAAAACACAATCAAATGTCATTATTCATAACCTAGATTTCAGTATTCATAGCACACAGTGTGTGTCAAGGCTCAGCCTTTGTCTCATCTGAGCTGATTCAGTCTCAAGCAGATGACCCCATGTTTTCCTTCCTGATGGTTGGACGGGAAGGCCCGTTTATGACATCACTCCAAAACAACCAGCTGGCTTGTAAACAGAGTCCAACGGCTGTCATGGAGACTCGGTGACCCCAATATTTCCCGCAGTTATCCAACAGAAACAAAAAGTCACGTGTTTTTTATTGAAGAAGAGAAACTTCATGACACAATTTTGACACTTTACAGCCTTTCTTTACACTGTTTTGTAAAGAAAGGCTGCCACAATTCCTAAAAACTGATCAACTTCAAAGCTTAAGGTGAAACTAAAAGATGTTCCTGTTCAATTTATTTCAAAGCTACCAAATATTGGGCCACGCATTTTAAAAACTGCAGTTCCTCGACAAGGGATGTTTTTTTTTTCATGACTCGATGATTGCACTGAAATTAAAGGTTGTATTGTTCAAAGTTTTGCAGCATGAGATTATGCTTCTGCAATGAAAGATGGATCCATTTCACAGTTGTTTCTCATCATCCTCCCCAGATGTGCCTGTGGATGTGGCCTCCAGTGTCTCCTGAACTGATATTAACCTAAATTCTGCAGCTTTCACCCGCAGCTGTGTTTAATTTCTCCTCCGCGCCACGCTTCCTGTGTTTCTCTCCTCTACATGTGATTAGATTTTCTTGCTCCAACGAGGCGGCTAAATTGGGTTTTGTTGTGCACTCGCTCAAGGCGTCGAGGATAAAGCTGGACCTTATTTTGTTCCCCTTCCTTTTCATGTGAAAGATAACGCGCGACGCGTTTTTGGAAATGAATGGAAGTTTTTGCATTGATAAATCCAACGCTTGTTTCTCCTCTCACTGCTTCAACTTCCTCCTTTGTTTTTTTTGTTTTTTTTTTTATTCCTGTCTCTTCTTTTTGTAGGATGCGGACACCATAAAGTCTTCTGATAAGATTTGCAGGCAGCTGATCTACCACCTGACCCCGCACTCAAAGTGGCTGAGGCAGAGCATGTCCAGGCGGAAATCCCAGGCCTGGTAAGCCCTCGTGTCCAGACATCCAGTCTGTAACTAATCTGCAGATCTGCACAACAGAGAGTGGCGCTCGGTGCCCTCAGCCGGCGCTGATATCTCTTTGAATCTGTCCCCTTCCGCTCATGCAAACCTGAGTTATTCCACAAAATGTCGATTTTCATTACGGAGTGACTCCCAATCCCGTTTGGAACAAAAACCGTCGCAATTCTTTTGTAGATGCTTTTGCAGACACTAAAAGTAGGCGTTCATGTCATAAAAGAGAAAACGAAGACAATATGAGCTTTGTGATATCTGACAGCTTCATTATGAGTCAGTTGAGCATCAACAGGATCATAGAGCCAGCTGTCGATCTGCGTGAGCCGTGCTTTAATTCATCCCGAAAAAATGAAAAGGATCAAAGATTAATCTGACACCCACAGCGTCTTTGAGACTGTAAATACATTAGATGGCAACTATTCTTCAGCTGACAGCTTTTTTGCTTTTCACTTAGTCATGTTGGGAGCTTCATAAATCTGCAGAGGGATGGGCTGATGCAGGCGGAGACAGCAGCAGCAACACAAATCATTAAGACTGAAATCCGCCCTAAAACAGAATACTAATAGAGAGGATGCTAGGGTGGAGGTCTGACAGCTTCACCTGCTGCTGCCTTTGAGAACAAAAATCTGTCAGAGCTGAAGAGACGAGACAAGGACAGCCTGCTGTTCGCTTTGTCCCCAACTCCGCCCGAGTGAAGGCTTCACATCTGTGAGAGAAAACACGTCTTCAGTTTGTCACACTGCAGCCTCAAAGTTCATAGTTGTGTGGTAAAACGTGGAGTAGACAAAAGCCATGTCGTTCACCAGCTCAAAAGTAGAGTAAACTTTATTTATGTAGCACGTTTCTCAAGTCAGAAGGAGAGATAAAACAAAATACATGTGACATGAAACAAAATAGAACTAATTAAAAGCTAATCTGAGCAAATGTGTCTCCAGCTGCTTTCTGCTCAGACTGCGGCAAAATTAAACACATTAAAACTAACACTGCACATCAGTCTTACACTTTTCACAGTGATCAACTCTTCTGTTTGATTATTTTAATTCCTTTTTGAATAAGTAAATTAACATGTTAAATATGTTTGATATTTTTTTTGTACTGTTTTGGTTTAATTTCGGCTCTGACTGGGTTGTTCTTTTGACAAAATGCCTTTTCTGTATCTTTGTGCTACTGTTAGCAACTAATCGATTATTAAATTAGATTAATCACCAATAAAACGGTTAATCGTTTCAGCCTTACATTACGCTGAGCTCCATTGTGGCGGCAGCATCATGCTGTGGGGACGCTTTTCTTTAGCAGGGACTAAAACGTCAGAGAGTTTATAAGAATATGGATCCATGTGTGAGAATGACTCAGACAAATCTGGGCTGTTTTGTAAAGAAAGGCTGCCACACTTTTCATAATTATGATTTGTCAAAACCAGTAACTGTGTTGGCGTCTCACTGGAAGCCCTGCCATCGTTGATATCTGACTGGGCTTCAGCTCTGGGTCTTTGCTCTAATTAAGCTATTAATCGAGAAAAGGAAAAACAGGAAGTCCAAACTCAAACAAACTAATTAGATAGATTAACAGGATTCTGTTAATTCTGAGCATTTGGAGCGACTAATGTTCAGAGCTACTGCTGGATGATAGCGGGATGATGAAGCACAGCTGATGGTGATTTGCTTGTAGCTCCACACAGCAGGATGCTGAAGCAGATTAGAGTTTCTCCAACAAAAACAAAAAATGTGATATGATTTTCCTGGTGCGTTGATAAATATTTATTATTCAGTTCAAATAAGACACTATTTATCTTATCTATCTTATGAAGCATTTTTCTCTCTTCCTGCCAAAGCGCTTGCTATGTTCAGCTGAGCTTAAATTAATGAGTTTCCTCAGGTCATGTTTTGAATACGTCACTGAGTGTTTGTGTTTACTGTGAAATTAAAATGAGAGCATCATAAGAAGCTCTCATTTTTCCACTTCGTAGTCTTCCAGTTGTCTGTTTCTGTGTTGAAAGGGCTGGAATCCGAATAAGCTTTTTGTTTAGTCTTCTGAAAGTAAAAAAGTAAAACTCCTCAAAATGCCCACTGGGTGTTGACCAGCAAAAGTTAGATTATTAGCAACAGGTAATATAAACTCATTCAACCGTTAATTACAATTTAGTGATGGCTTCATCTTTTAACCAAGAAAATTAGATTCTGACGTTCAGACATTCCTGAAAGCAGCATATTTCCCACAAAGTGACATTGTGCTTCTTTGATTTAGCCTCTTTGCAGCTTGGTCATAAACACTAGACATTCACTAACAGGACTAACCCGCAATGTAGTTTTTAAACAAATTTAGATGATATGATGAAAAAAAACATAGAAAAACCTTGGAAAGCCTGATAACCTACTGCTTGAGACTATTTGACATGGAAACTGTAAAAAAAATTATGACTGCATAAAAACGTCAGCAGAGGAGAAAAGACAAAATGGTGCCAATAATGCAATATTCATTCAGAGTTGAGCCGAGGGGTAAAAAAATAAACTCTTAGAAAATTGGATGTTATTAAAATTCTTTTTCACATAAAGTTTTACTGACTTTGCTACCAGAAACAATTTGAAAATTAATATTTGAATAATTCATTGCAGCAATTTCATGCAGAATTCAAACTTATGGAGACTAATGACCCACTGGAGGCTCGCAGGCTGTTAGCAAAAAAAAAAAAACTTTTAAAATGTAAATTTGATTTAATAATTTTAACAAACATCTGTCACTAGACCATAGTGTTGGATTTGAATTATGAATGGTATCCCACCTTGTAGATTTGGTGGAAGTTGTTTTGTTTGTGCACTTTGCTCTGGGTCTTTCTAAACTTGATCTCAAAGTTCACATGGATTCATAGGTAACTTAAAATAAAACATTCTGTCTGGCATTAGGGTTACCTAGGAATTACCCGATTTGGAGCGACTAATGCTGAAGCATTAGTCGCTTCAGCCTTAGTGAAATATGCTGAAGCATATTTCTGGTATGATCATCCTTCAAAAAAATGTTTCCAGATAGATCGCCTCAGAAAACCATTTCTTTGCTTCCTGGGTGCAGAAAGAGGAATCGATCTAAGAGCTGTGTGATCCAAGCTATTCACACCTCAAGAGAAACCTGTCTCCATGCCTATTAGGGTTTTACGCTTCTGTCATATAAAAGGTAACGAGGGCCAAAACAAGACTGATAAGAGATACAGCTAGCCTGACAAATATGACACCAGCTGTTCGGGTCCCTCTCACCTTGCCTGCTCTACATCCAGGTTTTCCTCCATCTTTATGGAGACTCCTTATGCAATGACTGCTGAGGGCGTGACTATTTTCAATATGACGGAAAAAAAAAAACACTTCAAAGCATCAGAAGTGACAGGTACAGCTGAGGACGAAACTGTAAGTCGCCATGCAGCGGAGGATGCTCTAATTCACTCTGACACCGCTGCAGAATCACAGCCCATTTCAGAAAGAGCTCAACTTCGAGCCGAGACGGGCTCCTGCAAAATGAAGCCGACGGAGAACAAAAGGCCGAGCCGGGTGGAGTCATGAATAATGGATATGATTTTATCTGTAATGTTAATCAATGACTATTGTGTTATACCTCTGCTGGTAATTCTGAGTCTGCAGTGAAGGAGACAGCAGAGCAACATACGTCTCAAGAGACAGATGAAGATGTTTTTCTTAAAATCACCAAGGGAGAAGTAGAACACAGCTTCACTCAGGGTGAAATGTATCTGAGTGTTTGAGTGGAGAACTATTTGTGCTTCCTGATTCAGTCTCCGCCTCGTGTTAGATCCATCTATCCACGATCCATTTCTTTCACTTCTGATACGATATCTGAGATTTAGTAGGAGTCGATACCGATCCAATGCAGAAAAACAGAGCTGAGTTGATTTAAAACGTTTCTTTAAATAAAAAAAAATGTAAAAAACACAGTTATGACTTCACTGAATGAAAATGCATCATCATTTTTGGAGATTAAAAGATGGCATATCGGGGTCACAAAGCCTAGAAAACAATGTGATTGTGGTAATAATTGTGTCAATGTTGATATCAGTTTAGATAATTCAACATTTCCCATCGGTCATTACGATGCTCCCAACGTTCACTGTGACCTTTTACCGCGTTAAGACTCCATCCACCACGCTGGATTTATAACAGGCATGCAAATCATGAGTTCATGGAATATAACAGCCAGGAAATGCGGCTTTCCACGCAGTTCTTTGCTCTGTAGAAATTTCTTCAAGGCTCTATCACACATCTCTACCATCCCTAATCCACTAATGCAGTGTTTTGAAAAAGATCTTAGAAGTGTGAGTCAGTCATTTGTCAGAAGCTACAAGAACGCTTCCTGGCAAAGTCATTATTATTTTGTTAAATAAACCTTTGTTAGAGTCAGTGTAACTTTGCTTTACCCGCTACCAGATTTCACTAAGAACTGTCAAAACCTCCATCATTGTTTCATTTCATTTATTAGACAATGCATGCAAAACTTAGAAGAGAACAAGTCTGTGAGGATATGACAAGAGCATATAGCTGCAAGTTATTTGCAACTTCAGTGGTTTAGCATTTCTATTTCTATTAAAATACATGACATTTCTAAATCAAAATACATTAAGACTATGTGTTTTTGTGTCTATTTTCATGTAAATAGCCTTGGAACCTCCAAATTCATATCATTAAACCTACACATTAAAATACGTACAATTCATAAATCAAGATACTATAACAATACACGTTATCCTCTGTGCATGTTCATAAATAAATATCCTCACACATTCGACTAACAAATTATAACTATAATACTAACTCACCAATACATAAACTCCCACACAGATTTGCTCATCCATTAAGAATGATCACAGATTTGGTTTTCTTCCATTTCTTTTTACTCTAAAGTTAAAATATTACTACTAATAAACACAATTTGCAATGAAATCCTTCCTTAATCCAAGCTAAATATCCTTTTCCTATTTTGATTTGTTCGCTTTTTAAGTTCAAAGACTTTAAAGGTCCCTTTTGTTTCCTCCTCCACAGTCTCAAGACGACTCTACAGAAGAAGCTGTCCAGCGACAGCGTGGACCTGTCTGGGATCCCCCTGTCCACCCGCGACGTCCGACAAGTGGCTTTCTACCTCCAGAGCAACAGGGACAGCGTGGTGGCAGTGGACATCAGCTTCACCGAGCTCACGGACGACAACTTGAGGCTGCTGCTGCCTCTCCTCGCCCTGCTGCCCAAACTCAGCACCCTGGCTCTCAACGGCAACCGCCTCACGCTGGCCATCATCAAGGACCTGACCGAGCTGCTCAAGGACCCCAAGATGTTCTCCAGCCTGGCCTGGATCGACCTGGGCAATAACGTGGACATTTTCACCATGCCCCAGCCGCTGCTGGTGGCGCTGCGCCGCCGCTGCAGCCTGAAGAGCAGCCTGCCCACCATCTACGAATACACAGAGGGCCAGCCGTACTCCTACCACCTGGAGACCTCCATCGAGGAGCCCAGCCACTACGAGGAGGAGGAAGTGGAAGAGGAGGAGGAAGACATGGGAGACAGGTTTGAGCTGGAGTCGTGGGGCTTGGGGGAGAAACAGCTCTCTAAACATTTTACCCTTCACTACTGTGAGAGGTGATGGGCCGCTTCCCGTCCGGAGAGCTTTCGGCTGTGGTTGAAATGACGCCCCGCAGCACTCTGTTACTTCTTTCACCCTGTTGCCCTCACACCACGAGACAAAGTCACCCTTCACAGGCGATGGGGGAGCCTGGTGCCCACATTGCGAATTAATTGTCCCAACACAGATACTAAAGCTAATCTTTACCATCTCTGAGTTAACCCACGTAAGACGGCGAGGAAGAAACCGACGGCCTGGACGGCAAACTTACTGTGTTGGTGGATGGCGCTCTTGGGAAAAAGGTGCGGTTTCATTGGAGGGTGGCTGGAGGAGTCAAGGTGCCAGTTCTCTCTCTCTCTCTTTCTGTCCTTTTATCCACGTCTATCGCTCCATCTCGCTCTCTGTCGAGAGCCAATCCCCAGGAGACTTAAATCAGTTGGTCGGACGAAGGGGCCGCATCCCGTAGGAGAGAAGGGACACCTAGAGTGAGCTTTGGAATCTGTCGGCCCACCGCGGGTTCTCTACCAGGACTGAGACGCTCTCTGTCCGACAGGACCTAGCTCCACATTCTGTGTTCTCTGTTAATCTCTCAACAAAAGCTATGACACAAGTTCAACAGACTATACAACCAGCGACCCGTCACGTGGTGCTGGCAAAACTGCTTGGTCAACTTTTTTCGGGTTTTTTTTCCCCCTGTCCTTTCCCAGTGTCCACCCGTGAATGTCCATGTGCAGATGGAAATGAGAACAGAAGACAAAACAGTTGCTGTGTTTCGACGGGTCGTTTTTATTTTGTATTTTTTGTGCACCTCAGTGGACAAAGCAGTCTCAGAAGACAAGGAGTAGGACTCGACAACGGAGAGGCGTCTCCGGTTGTTTTTGTATTCGCATTAAAGCTGACATCACTGCGCTCTGTCAGGTCATAGCCACAGTATTTTCGACACATTTATGGCTCCTGAAGCCGAGGTGGCTTCTGAGTCAGAGCAAGGAGGGCCAATCCGCTCTTCCTACTGCCGTCCGTCTCCACGGGTGTCGTCCTTTCCACTTTACGTCGCCATATATCAGTGGCCCTGTGTTGTGATGCACTTCCTTGACTGTTATCTATCAGTTCCAGTCTTTCTGCAGTAGCATCATATGCTACTGCAGGATGACCAGAACACTGCGATGCACTTTAAGGCCCTGTCGTGTTTTTCAGCGTTACACTTCCTCCACAGCGTATACTCTGTGCACGTCGTTCATACCTGAGTATTTACAAGCCAGAAGTTGAAAGTGTCCCACATTCAGACAGTACGAACTACGCAGATGATGATTGTTAGCGGGATCAAAACAAGCTCACCATATATATAATAAGTGTTCAATACGTGTTATTTGTGTGTTTAAAACGTCTAAATGTTGTTGTTTTGTCTCGTCTGATTCAGCAGTTGTATTTAATTGTACGTAATGACAAAGAACAATAAAATTTAGCCCAAAAAAGTCCTGCTGTTGGACTGAATGGATGATGTTTTATGGGATAATGCAATAAAACAGAGAGTCGCTTTGTAAATGTTATCCAGGAGAGGATATTTATGTGGGATCTTAAATCCTCCCAGACTAAACTCTTGCCTCCTCTTGGTTCGTGCTACGCCTTGCAAAAGTGTTCATACAGCTTGTCCGTTTTCACATATTGTCACTTTAAATCCACAAACTGTATTAGATTTTGTTTGGGTTTGTGAGTCAGACCAACAGAAACCTGGAAAGAACATGATTTATGAAGATGTGACATGCAACAGCTTATGTGCATGTCTCTTTATCACCTTCCTGTTTTTCTCTACAAAATAGATAAAACTCAGTCAGATTGGAAGAAGAGTGTCCGTGAGCATCAATATTCCACTGAATCAGATTTAGATCTGGACTTTCACATGAATGTGTTTGGATCTGAACCATTCGACTGTAGCTCTGGCTGCAGAGAGATGAACCACTGCCACCAGTTTCAAGTCCTTCTTTTCACTTTTCCATGCTACTGTCGCTCACTATTCCCACATCATGACACTGCCACTGCCATGTTTCACATGGTGGCTTCGGGACCATCGACATCCATTTTTTTGTCCATTCTCAACACGTTTGTTACATTCCCTGCATCGCTCATTGAGAACTGGCAGCTACATATAAACATACGTCACATTTGTCAGATTTTCATTTTTTAATTCTGTTTATTACCTTAAAACCCGTCAGATGCATTAAAATTTGTGGTTGTAACGTTACACGTAAAGGTTCAAGGTACATAAATGATCTTGCAACGCTCTGCGGTTTATGTTCATGAGTCAGTAAGTGTCAAACCTTTTCCTAGTTGTGCTCTGTGTATATATGTCTCATGCATTCAATGACTGCCAATAAAAGAACCTGTCCAAACTGAAAAGTGACATCTAGTTGTGATTCTTTTTTTTTTTTGTTTTGTTTTTTTCTAGTCAGGTTAAAATGATTTACTGATCTGTTTTTATCAGCTGAGTCAGAACATGCAGTGGCTCACAGACAAAAGTATAACAAGCAGCTGATTGATTTCTCCAGATTAGCCTGTTAACGGAGCCGGGTTTGGGCCGTGTGGTTTCAGACCCGTAGCCGGGATGCTGTACGTGTTTTTGCTGTCGAGGAAACGCCTCAGCTTGCAGCCGTTCGCTGGCGAAGGACACGGCGGTCTGAGCGTGAGGCCCAGACCGTGATCCTCTCCTGGCAGCCTTTTGTTCGTGCTCCCAGACATGGTAATGTGGCATTTGCAACAGGTGGCTCCTATAAGGTCAGGGCACAGTGTGACTGTCACAACCCCTCCCAAGGTCCAAATATCGTGTGACAAGGCAACAGCCCGCGCCGAGAAATCACCAGGTTTGTGTTATTTGACCTTTCCTTTGCAGGATTGGTTTATTTCTGTGTTACCGGTGAAATATCAATTTCCTCAGTGCTGCTGTTGAAGCAGAGCTGTAGACCTTTAAGCTGACACAGACGGAGCTTCACAGATTCACTGAGGAAACTTCTCCACTGCTGGATGTCCAGAATTACAATTCAGACTGGTCAAAGACCCCATACTATGAACTGCCTCTAATATGTAGAGGAAAACTCATTTCACAGATCCAGCAAAGCATTTGCTCCCAGACTAACTTAGTTGTTCTCTTTATTTTTGAGAAGTCATTCTCCAGAAGTTTATTTCTAAAGCTTCTTGTTTTAAAGAGATGATACAATGTTGATATAATGTATGTTCTCCTTGACTCTCTTTAGCATTTGCTACTACATCCTTCCTCCCAACATTCATCCATTGTTTGTCTATACCTGCTTTTACTAACTGCTAGTTACTGTTCAGCTACTAGATGGAATCCTAGCTTTAGATGACCAGACGAAGGACATACAGCTCAAATGTGTTCAAGCCTTTTGCAGGAGTTGTTTGTTAATTCCATAAATTCAGTTCCATCTTATATATCTAATTTGTGCATGTGAAAATAAATATTTCCTACTAAAATGGCTATAATGTTTATATTTTATTGGAACAAACACAAGAAAGTCAATAAACTGTGGAACTACAGCAAATATTTAAAATGCAGTATTTCACAAAACCAGGTTCATGTATTTGTGAACCTTTTACAGGTAAAAATAAGAAGTTGCTGTGGAGATTATTTGGATTACTACATTCTCTTCACCATCTTCAAAAAAGCATTATTGAAAGCGTAAAATATTTTAAGTCTACCTCCTACATAAACATATTTTTTCCCTGCTAACATCTTGGTGCAGTCTGTCAGCTCATTCCAGACACATAAAGCCACGTTACAGCAAACACTCAGCAAACTAAACCCGTTTCTCCGCTTGTTGTTCAATGACGTTTAAAAACAACGGACAACTTCTGCTGCAGGAAGATCTCAGTCCTTTTCAGAACATCCTCCATGACCAGCATGACTGACTGCTGGTGTCAGTATCCAGCTGCTTTTCCCAGTTTCCTGTCATCAGACACAGCACAGATGTAGCCATTGTTTTTCTCCACAGCGTTAACAACATTGTAGAAATCATCAGACATCTGGTTGTGTCCCAACGCTTCAAGCTCTTTAATTATACCCTGAAGAGAAAGATAGGAAAAATGGGATGAGTAAAAGGCTGTGCAAGGTGTTCCCTGTTCCCTGTGAAGACAGTCATAAGCACATTACTCTGTGTATGCCGGGTTCGAACTTCACTGTGCTGTTAGAGTGAACAAAGAGAACAGGAGCATCAATCGCCTCTTTGAGGCTCTTCCCAAACCAAAGGTGGTTGATGACAGCCTGAAAGAAAAAAGAAAACACGCTGATGGGAATGTGACCATTAGAGTACAGGTAATCATGCTGTTGTCAGAGCTAGCTATGACACAGCAATGAGAGTAAAATGTGCAGCAGCTAATCCTGAATAGTCTTTACTGTGGTCGCGTACAGATGCTATTCCTGTCGTAATCATTCTTCCACCACTCGCTCCAATCACCAGTGTCTTGAACTTAGATGTAGAGGAAATAGGCTTCAGCACAGCAGGGGCCATGGAGGAGGGGGGGCGCTCCTCTGTAAAGGCAACACAGACAACCGATCACTGTCAGGGAAACAAGAAAGTGGTGATTGAAAATACTGGCAATTTTTAGTCATCAATTGGAGTGCTGTGGTGGCACAGGGGCAAAGAACAATCCACATGAAGAGTCTTCAACGTGACCGTCGCATATTCGAATCCTGCCCTGATGGCATTAGCCACATCTCTTACCCCTTTTTTAATTATCCATTTTCCTGTCTGACCACTTTCAAATAGAGGCAACCAGAGCCAGCAAAATCTTTAAATGCTGCAACGCAGCAGAAGATAAGTAAGAGAGAGAGAACGACATTGAGTTAATCTTATTGTCTCATCAAATTCTAGTTTACTTTTATGTAAATTTAAGTCTACGCTACTTTATGTTTCAAATGTATTTTCAGACTCCTTTGTTTCCTTTATTTATTGGCTTTTTCAGACTGTCTGAAGTCAGTGACTGTCACTGTCCAATCCTCCCTATGTTTCCTCTGTTTCCCTCTCCACCAGTGGCGGAGCCAGGGGTGGCCAGGGTGGCACTTGCCCCCCCCCAAAAGACCCTGGCCACCCCTAGTGCCACCCCACTGTAAATGGTAATTTTAAAATATAATACTTATGAGATCGGCAAAGATTTGCCAGGAAATCTGTAATTTCTGACTGTCCCTGAAGGCAGCTCGATGCCCGACGCTGTTCATTGGTTAAACTGACATGTGGGTCCTGCTTGATCCAAAACACATCAACGGCTTTAGAGTTTTACACCGTCGAGGAGTTTTGCAGGTATTTCCATTTTACCGCTCAGCAGTAACCGGTGTTACCTTCCTAATGAGAGGCGGCACTTGTCATACATTTCTAAAAAAAAAAAAAAATGGTTGTGTACCGCTGCATAGTGCCTCCTTTATTATATTAGCCATGCTAGTGCTGATAGATCGTGTTTTAGACAGATTCGTTTTAACACATGTTTTAGTGACATGCTGCCCTGTAATGTTTTATATCTCCCAGCTCTTGCTTGAAATGTGTGGTAAGAATATGTAAAAACCATCAAGTCTAATAATGACTGAAATGTAAGTAGGCTATGTCATATGAAAGCTTTGAATTATAACCTAACTAGTTTGTATTTTAATTTTAATTAATGTATTTTTTAATTTAGTATTTTAGCTAGCTACAGAAACTAAAAACTATAGTTTAAATAATAGTTAAAATAGTGTTGTCTCTGCCAACAGTCATGGAGTGTAAGGCTCTTATTTTGTGTAGAGCCCAAATGAAGAAAGGGAAGATCTCCCAGTTCTTCTTAAAGGGCAAAAACCGGGCCAGACCAGGACCACAGAATCCTGCAGCAGTGACCAGGACCAGACAGAATCCTGCAGCAGTGCCAGAACCAGACAGAACCCTGCAGCAGTGACCAGGACCAGACAGAATCCTGCAGCAGTGACCAGGACCAGACAGAATCCTGCAGCAGTGACCAGGACCAGACAGAATCCTGCAGCAGTGACCAGAACCAGACAGAACCCTGCAGCAGTGACCAGGACCAGACAGAATCCTGCAGCAGTGACCAGGACCAGACAGAATCCTGCAGCAGTGACCAGGACCACAGAACCCTGCAGCAGTGACCAGAAACCAGACAGAATCCTGCAGCAGTGACCAGGACCAGACAGAACCCTGCAGCAGTGACCAGAACCAGACAGAACCCTGCAGCAGTGACCAGGACCAGACAGAACCTGCAGCAGTGACCAGGACCAGACAGAACCCTGCAGCAGTGACCAGGACCAGACAGAAGCAGCAGTGACCAGGACCAGACAGAACCCTGCAGCAGTGACCAGGACCAGACAGAACCCTGCAGCAGTGACCAGGACCAGACAGAACCCTGCAGCAGTGACCAGGACCAGACAGAACCCTGCAGCAGTGACCAGGACCAGACAGAACCCTGCAGCAGTGACCAGGACCAGACAGAATCCTGCAGCAGTGACCAGGACCAGACAGAATCCTGCAGCAGTGACCAGGACCAGACAGAATCCTGCAGCAGTGACCAGAACCAGACAGAACCCTGCAGCAGTGACCAGGACCAGACAGATCCTGCAGCAGTGACCAGGACCAGACAGAATCCTGCAGCAGTGACCAGGACCAGACAGAACCCTGCAGCAGTGACCAGAACCAGACAGAACCCTGCAGCAGTGACCAGGACCAGACAGAACCCTGCAGCAGTGACCAGAACCAGACAGAACCCTGCAGCAGTGACCAGGACCAGACAGAACCCTGCAGCAGTGACCAGGACCAGACAGAACCCTGCAGCAGTGACCAGGACCAGACAACCCTGCAGCAGTGACCAGGACCAGACAGAACCCTGCAGCAGTGACCAGGACCAGACAGAACCCTGCAGCAGTGACCAGGACCAGACAGAACCCTGCAGCAGTGACCAACCTGGAGAATCCAGCCAGGAGACTCCAGGCCCAAGTGTATCACCAGCGGGTTAGAGGCTGTGACAGAGTTAAGTATTAAAATCCAATAAGCCTAATTCTAAAGGTTAGCATGATGCTTTTTGCATTTTTTTATTGTGTCTGTTTGTGCATTTCCAATTAAGTTCCAGAGAGATGAGGGCGATACAGATTCAGAGTCAGACTCTGGGGAGGAAGACAGTGAAGCAGAAGGAAATGGCACTGAACTGCCCCCACCCAGCACAACCTATTGCACACCAGAAGCACAAGTTTATTTATTTATTTTTGAGAATTTGTTTTTGGTCATATTCTGGGCTCTGAGTTTATATTTACATGTTCACTGTTTCATAGTGTCGTTTAACGTCTTGTTTGGTCATGGCAAATCTTAGTTAAAAAAAAACATTTTAATTTGAGTGTTTGTGAGAAAATATTTGTTTCCTTTCGTTCATCATTTGTATATGGAACCCTCTGATAAAGCCTTGCTCACCCTTTGGTCACCCCTTGAAAAAAAGTCTAGCTCCGCCACTGCTCTCCACACAAATCGTGGGTACACCTTTACTACTCCTCTACAGGGATGCAAATTCCCCCACAGAGTTCTTCTCAGAGATATAAGAAATGAGGATGATTGTTTTCCTCAGTATGCACTCAGAATTAACCATTCTCCATTTTCTTTCCCCGGTGCCAGGACTTTGTATGTTGGCCGGCTTTTCCGAGACAACACTTTAATAAGGGATAAAAGTCTTTTCACCAAGCAAACAATCACTACATGTGGATAAGGAGGAGTTTGTTGAAGAGTTTAAATTAACCTTTGATTTATCCATTTGTACGAGAATCTTCTAAAGCTTTGTGAAAATTAAAACATTGAAGCCATTCAATGGTTTAATTCACCATAATTTAAAAAAAATCTCTTCATGAAAGTGCAAAAGACAAACTAAGTCAGCAGGGTGGACCAAAGAACTGAAAATAACTTCATATTCTATTAGTACTTATTGTTAAAGAGACAATGGTTGCACTTCCGGACTTTGAAAATGTCAAGGTTAACACAAATGGTTTCTCCATCACATCCAAGAAATTAGATGATGTCTAGTAAAAAAAAATGCCTTCTGGATTTAGCTAAGCAAACAGCTCTGTTTTCATGTTTAATTAGAAACAAGTGAAAGGAAAGTTTAACTTACAGCTCTGAGCATGTAATCTCAGAGGTGCTAGTTAAAAGAAAGGGAAGCATCACACCATGTATTGATATTGTGCATATTATGTCCATCACATATGAAACAAACCATTAAACCTGAGTAGATAATCAAAGTGAAAGATGGTAGAAATTGATTATACTGAAATTCTGATGGTGACTTAATAAAAAAGTGAATATAACATTTTCTAACATATCAGAAAAGTTCACTTTCATTATTGCAGTTACAAAGACAAATAATAAAAATTTTGAAACCTTTGAATTCCAGGGCTGAAGGTTGTTGCAAAAAAAAAAAAAACTATAGTAAGGTTATTCTCTATTTAACTTAACAAAATAAAAAGACATCATATTAATGTGATTACCTGGAGTGATATTTGTCACTACTCCACAAAAGTCAGCCAGCTGGTTGTTGAGGAGGATTCCAGTGTTTGGAGAGTAGACCCTGGAGCCAAATCTGTTAAAAAAAAATGTTTTTCCCACTTTAGCCTCATATTTTTGGGGTTAGCTTGGCTAGCACATCGACCACTATTAAGCTTGGAGAAAGTAGATCCTAACCTTATAGAGTTAGTTTAGATTTTTAATGTAAGGTTCTGTTAAGTTGTAATTAGTAATAGTTTGCTTACCTACAGTAGGAAATAGTCATGTCATTCTCAGTTTGTTGAAAAAATAAATGTCATTGAAGTGGCAGATGGCTGATCAGTCAGATAGTCAGATGTATAATATAATATACTTCATATAGGAATATGGATGATGTTGACTTATGTCAAAATTCTTAGTTTGTTGGCTCTCTACAGTTTGCAAGGTGATTGGATATATATTGGTTTTACAGCCTCAATGTGGCCCAGAGTGACACATGAGCTTAAAGTATTGACCTGTAGTGTTGGCAACAGACACTGGGACCATGGCTGAGTTGCCCATTTTCACTTTAAACAGTACCTCTTGCATATGAAGTCTTTCTGGGATACTAGTGTTTAGAGTAGGACAAAATATTACAGTGTCCTTGTTAGCCTGAATGTGAGTTCAACAGTAAATGGTAAAAGCTTCATCAGAGGCTAGGCTAACTTTATTCTTTCCTGTTTTTAGTTGAATCTTCTTTAGAGGGCTTTGGTATTAATAAAATGTGGTAATATTAACTGGATAGCAGTCTTTGCAGAGCTAGCAATGTGAAAAGCACTACTCACTCTGTAATATAGTACTCATTCAGCTGCTCTTTAATGACTTCTTTATCACATTGCACCCGATATTAGGGTCCTGAGCCACATTCGGGTCACTAGAGACAAGTACAGGCACCAAGAGGCTAGAGCTGGACATTTTAAACCCAGAAAGTTTAAACTCTACAAGAATCCACCCTAGCACAGGTATCAGACTCCAGTCCTTGAGGGCCGGTGTCCTGCAACTTTTAGATGTGCCTCTGCTGCACCACCTGAATAGAATAATTAGATCATTAGCAAGACCATGGAGAACCGCCGACACAAGAAGGACGTAATTAATCCATTTCATTCCAGTGGTTTGTACCTGTGGCACATCTAAAAACTGCAGGACACACCGGCCTGGAGGACTGGAGTTTGACACCTGTGCTAAGGGGCATTTCTGTTTGATTGGCTGCAAGCCCATTTAATGGTTCTGATACTAAGAGCTCATCAATTCGCCTGGTAGTGGTGCGAGGTATAACTGGTATATTGTCAAAAGCGCAGCTTGCCATTTTACATCTAGTTTTGGTAGGCGTAAAATTAGTTTCTTCCCTTGTTTATGTGGGAGGATGTCAGAATGTTTCGTGAGTGGAAAATAACTCTTTCGTCCAGGCCTATAAACTCTTAACTCTTAACTGCAAACCTCAACATGGCAAGAAAATGTATTTATGCTGTCTGAATTATTTTTCCACAACTGGTTCTTTGGGAACAATGTTAAATCCTGAATCATTTTAAAAAGCATGGCTGACTAGAATCATTACTGTTTCATTGTTTTTTTAGCTGAACAGTTGCTTAATAAGTAAAATAAACTGTAGATCTAGATCAGAATGTGCTTCTCTTAACTTGCCCACCCCAAGATTTTCAGTGACTCTTACTAGATAATGTCTTTGAAAACTGTCTATGGAAGCCCTTGTTGAAGCAGAACAAATCAGATACTCACATGGCATTGATGCTGCTGGTGACGGCGACAAATGTTCCATATTGGTCCACCACAGACATGTGTGTGGTACCCACACTCTCATAACTGCAGCTGAATTTGTATTGACTGGAATTATGTGCACAGATGTCATTTGGGTTGTCTGCAAAGTTAATATCTGTCATTTCCTTTGCCTTCTTCCGAAAAAACTATAAAGGAATACAAAAAGAAAGAAAGATATCACGAATAAGAAAGTTTGTTAGTATGGGGATTATTTTAAAGGAATTTGTAATCAGTTTTCAAAGAATCATTTCAAAATGCTGTCACCCACCCACTGCTGATTCTTAAAATGAACTACTCCCCCCAGCTTACCTATTTTATTCTTAGTTCAATTAGGTGTGTTGTTGGTTTATTTAATTTCTGTTTACTCAAAAACAAATTTGTTGGGCGTTAGCCCTGGATGATTTATTTGTTTAGACATGCTTATTCAATAACATACAGGTAAGGGTTAGGGTATAGTTTTCAATACAGTTTGTCTGGTAGCAGTCTGTTTCTGCTTTGCTACCAGACAAACTGTATCCCAGGCAGAGAGGTTCCCTTTGTACCCAAGAGCATAGAGAGAGAAAAACACCTGTAACAGTCAAGTGTTCTGCAGCCATGCGGCATGAAATAACAGTCAACATGCCTTTGCTTGGAATAGTTTCTGCTGAAAAAAAACTTTTACAGTTATGCCAATGTTTAACATATCACTTACTTCTGGAACAAAGCGTGGATCCCGAATACACTTCCTTAAGTCATTAGCCCATTTAAGAGCTTCAACATAGCGGCCATAAAATTTTGTTTTTTCTTCAACAGACCGAGGGGCCGGTTTGTTTTCATACTCTGTAAATAAAAATAATAGTTTATTTACATGTGTATATTTATAATTTAATATATTGTCTTTCTACATGAATTATTACAGTAAATGTTCTAAAAGGTAATAAGTTGAAAGTATACAGAAACAGCAGATCTGACATCTGCATCCAGCAGGAACCTTTCATGAAGTCGAGGACGAGTCTAAGGAGTGATCCTCCTGATGGGGGTGGAGGTATGTACATCTGATAGTTCTTTCCCACCGGGACAACCCATGCATCAGTCTCTGTGGCATTATATAATTCGAAGTCCTTCTCTTCAAGGTTTCCTCCTGGGAAAAAAACTGTGAATTAAACTATTTCTGCTGATCAGGAGAAAAAAAAAAGATTTAAAAAATCATGAAAACCCACAGCCACTCCCATAAATGTAGCAGTATGGTGGCGCTTACAGATCAAATGAATTTATTTATTTGTAACTAGATAAATGGGCTGCGCAAACACACAAAGACAACTGTAGGAAACTCTAATGACACTACCTGAAATCTTGATTAAGTCCTTTGCTATCGTTCCGCTGTAGAAGGCGTCCGGTCCTTCATTTGCAATCAGCTCCAAAGTGTCGGCCAGTTTCTCATACTTGATCACGTCTCTATGCTTCAGCAGGTTTCCATTTTCATCTGAATATAGTTTTCTGAACAGAGAAAGAGGAAGATTTAAATATTTGCCCTTATACCTCAGAAACAGATTGTAATTCTTATGATCTTTCATACCGCAGGGACTCAGTTTCGTTAATCTGTGGGAGGTAGGAGCCCAGGATTAGAGAAATATGGACTCCCTCTCTGGCCAGCTTGATGGTCTCCTTGAACAGATCTGACCAGTTCAGTTTCTTATAAAGTTTGTGAGCCACTTCATAGCCTCGAATTTCCCCCGGAACACCAATCCACTTTGTTCCTGCAGAGATGAATGAATGGACAGTGTTACAATATTTCTTCTGTTATTTAGCATTATTGAATATAGGGAATAATTTTTTGACATTATATAATTACAAATGTCATGTTATTAGAATTGTATGTCTGTTACACTCTCACACCGAGACAGAGGTGAGTGACAGTAACAGTGTCATAGAGCAAATAAAGTAAGCTATGAGTGGAAACAAACTCAAAAGTTTGTATTGAGCTCTTCTAAGTAAGTTGTTGGTTGAATTACCCTGGAGAGACGTAAATGTTGTTTTTGATTTCTTTGGAAAAATACCTAAATCTCAGTCAGATGACAGGGAGAGAATCTGTGAACGTTAATTTTCAAGTTTTCCACTGATTCGTACCGTCTCTCATCTGATGACTGCTGAAGATAGGCACCACCAGCCCTCTCACCTCCCTGCAAGGATCAACGTGTTTGGATCATGGATGGAAAGATTTAAAGGTAGTTTGTCTCCCTTAAGTCCACACTTAAAACAGCTTCATAGTTGATGCCAGCATCAACTGATTCTATGATATTGTTGACTATTTTTCCTACTTCTAATATAAACAGGCAAAGAAAGACACTCAGAAATGTTTTTCCACTCCAGGCATCCGGTCCCACTCATCATTAGTTCTGATCGTGTCACTTACATAGCGAGTCCACAACATCCTAAAATTGTGACATCATATTAAAAAAATACTCTGTCCTTGGTGAAATATTTTTCACATTTCCTCTAAAGTAGAGGTTATGCTTATATACTTAGAAGACATTCTACATATATTATAAATGTCATTTGATCACAAAATAGTACACTTAAGATTTCCTAATCAAGCTCGTTTATATTACAAAAATCAATTTACTTAACATGTGCAAAGTTTACCTTTACTTGTTCCAAAAAATCATGTGATATTACATGTAGTACACTTCAAATTTTGATTTTCTACAATTTAATTATAATTAAAATACACTAGGCATTAAATTAGTGTGTTCCAAAATAAAATGATTTAAAGTTAAATAATCCTTAACCAACTTGAAGTATACTGATATGTGAAAAATATGTCAGAATATTGTTTTAATTAGTATGGCTTCAAGTATGCTGAACATGTCTTTTTATTTATTTTTGTTTTACAGTTTTTAGTGTAAAAGATTAATAAGGCATACTTCTTTTGCATAAAGTAGCAAAAGAAGTATGCTACTTAACAAAAGAAATTGCTACGCTATTATGTCTAATTATATTTGAATATAATTAGATACTATTTACAAAGTACTTATAAATATTATTGAAATGTGCTTATTTTTAGATTTTTGTATATACAAAAATTTGTACAGGACCTATTACCAAAAGTACAACTTCAGAAAAGTATTGTTTGTATATACTTGTAATGTTTTTTAAATGTACATTTAAAATATAAAATTTTGCAAATACATGCAAAGTGTATTTTTCAAAAGGATCATCCAAAGAATAATTTTCATGTATTTAATTGGAATTTAAAGTATATTTTAGAAAAACATATACTTCTAGAAAGTGTCCCAAAATACATATTTAAAAAGAGTATTAGAAGCATGTTTATAAAACTATATCTTTTTCACACTTTTAATCTAGTCTTATTAAGTGTAACCACTTGATAACTTACTAAAAATGTATTTCAGAAAAATACAACATTTTAAAAATATATTTAAATATTCACCAGGGAAAAAGTGCTGCAGTGGCTTATTGTGATGCAAATGTTTATTACTATCATTCTTCTCTGAAAAGAAGCACTCTTTTGGAGGCCTAAACATATATGAAAATGAACAAAACATTAGTCAAAACTGTCCCCCACTGTACTATTTTAATAAGGCAGCTAATAAGCTCTATTGCCCCGCCCCTCGCCATCCATGTGGCCAAAGTCAAGACACAGGTCTGCCTTTTGCAATACTTGAAAACAAATAACTCCCCAGTCACTCCTAAAAATGGTCGCTTCACAGATGACAGTGACTTATATGTTTATTTCTGTTTGACATGCTACATACCCGTAGCCTTTGAAGAATCCTTGGGGCAGGACTTGAGCAGATCTCTAACAACACTGAAGGGTGCGGCCTCCCTGGAGTTAATGATCTTCACATCACCTTTAAAAAAATGTTCACACCATCAGTTATTATCAGTAACTATTATTAAAAAGTTCTGCTTTATGAGGATTAGCTTCGTCAAAGGCTTTTTCTTACCAGATTTGTCCATGATGGTGAAAATGGAGCCTCCTCCGATCCCCGCGGTGTGCGGGTTCATAATGCCTGTGCACAGAAGTGCAGCGATGGCAGCATCTACAGCTGAGCCGCCTTGTCTAAGTATTTTCCTGTAAAATAAATACCCATTACTGCTGTGACACGTTTTTTTGTTTTTGTTTTTTTGTTGTTGTTTTTTTTTTTACTTTTTTGAGTCAACATTAACTACTTTATGTCATTTCTGGGGGGTTTTAACTTAAAGATGCAATAAGTTTTTTTTTTGTTTTTTTCCAAATTAAATTAAAATGATCTCTTTTAATAAGATCATTGTGCTGTTATTCGTCATTCAGTCAATCAAATGCACAAAAATGGAAAATTCAAGCTACCTACCAATGCACCACAATAAGCTGATTCAACAGAACAGATTAAATAAATGAAATAATTAATGTCTAAATGAATGTGTAGTGAATATACATTTTTCAAAGGAGTTCTTTATGTTCCCCCATTTAAATGTTTCGGAAAATAATTAAATGATAATAAATAATCATGTCTCCATATCCTTCATATGAGACACCAATACAAAAGTCTTTTTGTCAGACAATTTGTGCTTATTGGATGTAGTTTAAGCTGAAGCTACACTTTTGAAGGCCAGATTCTTAGGCTAGCAAGGAAAAATATATCATTTTCCTAAAATGCTACCTTAAATGCTATAGCTTTTGCATGACTCAATGAGAGTAACCACTTTTATGTTAAGACTCATAATTTCAATGAAATTATTGATATTGTACTCGTCAGTTAATTCTGTCTGCCACAGATGCATGTTTTGGTTGTACTGTTCAGCAACATGTAAATCTACACCTGCTCTAGACAGAAAGACTTGAAACACTTGTCACATTTGTCATTTGCCAGTGCATTTTCATTGTGCCAATAAAATGGCTAAACAAGAAAATAAAGTGACCTTTGAATTTCACATGGATTAAAAAATGTTTATTTATTTCAGTTTTTCCAAATGTTTGACCTTTTCTGAAGCATTCCAATTTAGAAAACAAATTATCCGTTTTTTAAAAAAAACATCTGAGAAATTTTGGACAGTATGTTAAATGTTGTGAAATGAAAATGATTTTATGGTAAATATAATTTGTACAGGGAACAAAGACTACAACTGCCATTTAATTACGTTTTCCAAACAGCCTATAAAAATTAAAATACTTTGTCTACAAAATTCAAACTTCATTAGATCAAGCAATCAATTAATCAAATTTTATTTGTATAGCACATTTCAGCAGCAAGGAATTTCAAGGTGCTTTACATCATAAACACAAAGTCATGCATCATGGAATAAACAACACATTGTTACATATTACATTTCAAAAGCAATTCTAAACAGGTGTGTTTTTAGTTGAGATTTAAAGGAAGTCAGGTTTCCGCTGTTTACAGTTTTCTGGAAGTTGTTCCAAATTTTTGGTGCATAGATGCTGAAAGCTGCTTCTCCTCTCTTGGTTCTGGTTCTGGGGATGCAAAGCAGTCCAGAACCAGAAGACCTGAGAGTCTGGAAGGTTGATACAACAACAGCAGATCTTTGATGTATTGTGGTGCTAAACCGTTCAGTGATTTATAAAACTAACAACAGTATTTTAAAATCTATTCTTTGAGCTACAGGGAGCCAGTGGAAGGACTTTAAAACTGGTGTTATGTGCTCTATTTTCCTGGTTCTAGTGAGAACGCGAGCAGCAGCATTCTGGATCAGCTGCAGCTGTTTGATTGATTTATTGGACAGACCTGTGAAGACGCTGTTACAATAATCAATGCGACTAAAGATAAACGCCTGGATGAGTTTCTCTAGATCTGGCTGAGACATTAGTCCTCTAATCCTGGAGATGTTCTTCAGGTGATAGAAGGCCAACTTTGTAATCGTCTTTATGTGGCTCTGAAGGTCAAGTCCGAGTCCATCACTACTCCTAGGTTTCGGGCCTGATCTCTAGTTTTTAGTTGTAATAACTGAAGCTGTGCATTGACTCTAGATCGTTCCTCTTTAGGTCCAAAAATAATGACTTCAGTTTTGTTTTTGTTCAACTGGAGAAAGTTTTTGGCACATCCAAACATTTATCTGCTCTAAGCATTTATTCAATGATTGGATGGGTTCAGAGTCACCTGGTGACATCGTAATGTAGAGCTGTGTGTCATCCGCATAGTTATGATAACTAATATTATTTCCTGTTATAACCTGAGCTAGTGGGAGAATATAAATATTGAATAAGAGGGGTCCTAGGATTGAACCTTGGGGTACCCCACATGTGACCTTTGACCTCTTTGATGAGAAGTTTCCAATTGAAACAAAGAAATGTAGGATTTAAACCAGTCAAGCACCGAACCGGAGAGTCCAACCCAACTCTCCAGTCGATTCAGTAATATGTCGTGGTCGACGGTGTCAAAAGCTGCACTGAGGTCCAACAGAACCAGCACCGTGGTTCTCCCACAGTCTGTATTTTTTATCTTAAAAGTAGTTTGTTCATTTATTATAAGCTGAAGGTCTGATTTTTACAGGCTAGAAAGGTCCAGAGATTTCTAAGAAGGCTACTGTAGATACAGCGTTTGCATAACTCAATGGATGCTACCACCGATTTTATGTTAAAAATCCATCATTTCTATGACATTATTGATGTTTCACACATCAGTTTGGTTTGTCTGCCACAATTGCACGTTTTGGTTGTTTGGTCTAATCTACATCTGTTCTAGACAAATAGAACATTTTTGTCACCTCTTTCCTCTACCAGTCCGTTTTCACTGCTCTGAATGGTGAAGCTAATATGCTATTTGACTTTTCCAAATAGCACATTAAAATTCAAATATTTTGCCTGCATGATTGAAACTTCACTACATACGGCTTCCAAAGAGTAATCTGGCCAAAATGGATGGGACAAAATGGATGTAAAAAACGGATGTCAGCTGTAGCCAGCTGAGGACGACATGTCTATCGTCACATCACCATGGAAACGTGTATACTGATCATGAAACTAGAGCCAAGTCCAGTTGTTGATGTTTCTGACTACTGAAGAAATGTGTTAATCAGCACTTACAGTCCGATCTCTGAGCACTTCTCGTTGTCCGCAGCCACAGCACCTTTGGTGAAAGATTCTTCTGGGCACTCGGGTGGATGGAGGCCATTGGGGCTTTTAGCAAGACATATGATCACACCGAGAAGGATACATACCAGCACCAGAAGTGTGGCAAAAGCACACACCATCATCTTCATGTTCCATGACGCCATGGTTCTGCGCTCTCACCGAAGCTGAAGAATAAAAATGAGTGAGTGAAAGACTGTATCTGGTTGGGTCAGACGAGGCAGGGCTCTTCTCCGCCTCCTACACTGATAAAGACCAGAAAAGGAAAGCAAATGTCACAGCCCAGGGAGGTGTGCTTCAAATATATTTTTGTTTTGTGGAGTTTAGTTTCATTTGGTGCAGATAAGTGGAAAATGCAGCAGTGTGCAAAACTCTGCAATGTTGCATGCCACTCACAACACAAAAAAAAAAAAACACCAGCAATGATAGAAATATTTTTCTGAGTTGGAGAAGAAATTATAGGGACTCAAATGTTCTTCCCAGGTCACCATTTTGAACTATAAACAGTCAACAGTGATCAGACATTACTCAACCTGTTCTACAGGGTAAAACAAGAAATGGTGCATCGTAAGAATAAACACCAGTTGATTTTACAAAACATAAAATTCTTCTGGACAACTGACAGGCTAGGTTTTATAATGTATGTTTTATCTGGTAAATCTATTGCAAAATAAATGTCTTGTATTTTATATTTTTAAGGAATTTCTAAACACTGCAAAAATTCCTTGCAAACATTAGCCCTCCGATGCATGAATTATGAATCCCTGAGTCAAGATTTTTTTCAGGAAGTTACAGAAATGTCCACTGCAGTGGACTACACGCGCTTCTGCACTTAACATAGAACAACATGAACTTAACTGAAGAATAATTTAATCTAAGTTTGATCATAAATCCATGACCACATGGACCACTTGGACAAAGCATGTCCAAGTGCTTTGAAAAGCACTTGGACATGCTTTCATACACATTTTATAGCCCTTCTGTTAATCCAAACCAAAAGAACAATATTCATCAAACAACCCTCTTCTAACTTCTCTCCTAACTCATTTTCCTAACTCCTAGGCTACATGAAAATTGACAAAGAATCCAGTGTACAGTGCCACATGGCAGTGCATGCAAATGTATTTGTGTAGTTCTGTGATTTCCTGCACCAGACCTGACTTCACTGGGTACTTTGGTTACTGCTCTGCACTTTGCTGGAGGTGGGGCTCCACTGGGTCTTTCTTCCAAACAAAATGGCAGCAATGTTTTTCTTCTCATTTGCTAGTTAAATGAGCGGAGCGCAGAAGAGCCAGTCTTTTTTCAGTTGTTTTTCACTCTTAAGTTTCTGACTTGCTAATTTCACTCTGTCTGTTCTGAATGTACCTGTGCCACAGATGCCAAGGTCTTTCAAGGCCTCAATGAGTGGAATGCTACAGAAGTTGTCAAAAAAAAAAACACTTTGTGGTTTTTGTGCTTTATGTCATCAAAGGCGCACCACTCCATCTCCAGCCATTCCCAAACCACTGCTCTGACTCCTAATTGCTGAGTCTTGGTATATCTCAAATTTGTACATATAACCTAAGGACCCTGCCCTGACCCACAAATTCACTCCACAGGGCTTGGACTTTTTGGGTATGTATTGCCTGACTGACAGTTGGCCTTTGAAGAGAATGATTCAATTGATTGGAATTCTTCAGGGTTTGCTGCCGTCAGGTGCTATTTTGAAGAGCCTGTCTGTGTTTGCTGGCTGGTGGGTATAGTCATGCACAAAGTGCAGATAACTCAGAATTTGCTCATATCTGTTTATTCCAAGATGTAGGCCATCCTCACTGGACCAGTACATCCATGTCGTAGGATACCGAATCTACCCCATGACCATGTTGATCGCTGCAAAAATGAGCATTTTTTCTCTTGTCACTGCCAGATTTTCTTTCCCTTTCTGCAGCGTATACATGTTGGTGTTATGCACTATCCCATCAATGAGATCAAAGGGAAACAAATATCTAAAACAAAAAATCAATTGGTTCTCTTCCATCAACATTTACGCTGCTGTCCCCTAGAAAGGTCGTAAGTCTCCATCAAAGTTATTGTCTTGGACTTTCTGAACATATTTGTGGGGTTGGGCGCAGGTGTGGCCTTTGTGAACATTTCTCTGAGCAGGTACCATGTGGACATTTTCCTCAGCTCCCTCATCTTACTGACCTCCCTCTGCGTCCTGTCCCTCAGCATCCTGACTTTCAGCATCCTGTCTGCATCTCCTTCATCATCCGCATCTCCATATTTCTCGTGTTCTCTTGCAGCCACTCCTCATCACTGTATAGGAACACTATGCTCGTCGTCAGAGGAGTCAGAGGGAATTTCCTCGACAATTCTGTAGTGTTCCTTATTCTTTGCTGCACTTGTGGTCTAAAAGTATGAGAAAATTATAATTTCTCGAATACAAACTACAAATGATCTGCATAAAAAACTTATACTTTTAAAACTAACTTATAGATATACTCAAAATGAATTTAATTGCCAGCGAAACAGTTAAAATGAAATAAATCAACTGCATGACTTATGTGAAAAATATGGTCGGGGCGTGCTGTGGTGGCGCAGGGGTTAGCACGCCCCACCTTTGGAGGCCTCAGTCCTCGACACGGACGTCACGGGTTCGACTCCCGGTCCTGGCAACCTTTGCCACATGTTTTCCCACTTCTTCTCACCCTCTTTCCTATCTGTCTACTGTAAAAGAAAAAAAATACAAGCCCTAGGGCCACAAAAACTCTTCGAAGAAAAAAATGAAAATATATATTTACATGTGGTCAGCAATGTCCACTGTGTTGGACACATGGTTAATCACAGTTTCCTAGTTACATGAAACTACGTTAATAATGTTGTCACCTAGATACTCCTGCATGTCAGCATATATTTTTTACCTCTAGGGCTCTCCGAGAATACGAGAATTGAGAGGTATATTCCAGGAGTAGTCATTGAGTGTGTATGTCTGCTGGCCATCTTGGACTCCGATGACATTAACTTTATAGTTACAACTTGCCACTGAATTAACCTCAGTGGAGGGGGGTAGTGGAGAGCATTCTAAGGACTAATATGCATTTCCACCATAGAAACAACTGCATTTAGGAAACAAGGCCTTCTAAACAGCTGTCCACTGTAGTGACCGCTGTGCACCAGAGGGTTAAGGTTCAACATTTTCTACTCATGTCAAATAAACCTGGAAAAATACTTACCCCATGGAATGTGATAATTTTCAGTTAATGTCCGTTCAATTAATAGTGTGAATTGTCAGCTATCACGTAATTCCATGTGTGTAAATATGTTTCCGAATATCCAGTCATAGTAACACTTTTGTTGCTTTTATCAGATCTTTAATAATTCTGTTCCACAAGAAGTTCCAAACGTCTTTCCTTATTTGCACAAAACCACTGCAGTTACAGACTATTTGCCAAAACCACTTTTCAAAATCGTTGACTCCTTTTTTTATATGTTTTTGGGACATTCTACCAACAAAATTATGCCAGTGCACACTCTGGAATGTTGTTCTATCTCCTCAGAAAGAGCCAACAAAACATCTTAGCGAGTTCGTCTGACCATTTCGGACCCGTCAGTGTTTTTTCACACCACTTTTTGAGGAAGCTTAACCAACATTTGTTCTCTGCGAATGAGTTTCTCCTTCCAGTTCACACCAGTCATTTGGAGAATGTGCACACTGATGCCTTCCTGGAACAAACAGGGTCATTCCTGGCATAGTTTCTGGATGCTTGCACCTTTGTCTGGACGTGTGCAAACTGAACCCCTAACCACTTCTTCTGCACACCCCCTATTCGTACTTAATCTCATTAGAGATCAGTGTTTGTAGCTTCCATCATCAAACTCAGCCAATCAACGCTTCAGTTTAACACATACGTTTTGAAAAACAAGTGGATGTTTAATTCATATGTATGAATTGCAGCTTTGACTATAATAAGTAAAAAAGACGCATCATGAAGAACGAGAAAACCCATATGAGTCAAGAAATGTGCTTCATCATCTGGAAAATAATTCACATGTTTTCTACATCCCACTGCATGCCACCATTTTTATTCATAAACACCTGAAACAACTGCATTTAGCCCTCCTGAGCGAATCACCTTCAAGAGACATTTTTTCTTCAGATGCTCTCTCTCTATCACAGCTGGTCGTCTTCACGTCCTCCAAAGGTTCTTGATCAGACTCAGGTGTGGACTAATGAACAGCTCCAAATGAAAAGTCTGATCTCATCAGTGCTACTCCTTGAAGTCTGTGTGACTTTTTTTTTTTTTTTACGCGTATTTTCTCTTCATATTCAACCGTGCATGTTTGTGTGGGCAGGTGGCTTGTGTGAACTCATGAACCCATATTTACACGTGCAAAATCCTGAATTTATTGAGAGACAGTGGCAGTGGTCAGTCTTAATGCTTTTGAGAAACATTTACTAAAGGGCAAAAATATTCAACACTTGCTCATATAAAAGACATTTTTGTTGTCTTGCTATAGTCTGTCAGCTCAACCAGTGACAGGAAGGCATGTTTCTGCAGAGGCTCTGCAAATTAAACCCGTTTCTCCGCTTCTCCTTCAGTGATGTTCAAGAACAACAGTCACCTTCTGCTGCAGGAAGATCTCGCTCATTTTCAGGACATCCTCCGTTACCAGCAATACTGACTGGTTGCGTCAGTAACCAGCAGCTTCTCCCTGCTTCCTGTTGTCGGACTCGGCACAGATGCAGCCGCCCTTTTTCTCCACAGCGTTAACCACGTTGAAGAATCTGCTTGCTGTTTCGTTTTTGCGCCCCAAGTCTCTGAGAGCCTCGATTTCACCCTTGATCACAAACAAATCACCTTGTCAAACTTGGGTTCAAACTTCAATCTGTTTTCAGAGTCAGCGTAGACAACCGGAGTATCAATCGCCTCTTTGAGGCTCTTTCCAAACCAAAGATGGTTGATGAGAGTCTGAAAGAGAAAGAAAACACACTGACTACAGTGAGGCGCGTCAGATGATCCTAAACGCTCCCAGTGTGATCACCATGGACACATACAGAGGCCATCCCTGTCGTGATCATGCCCCCTCCACTCGCTCCAATCACCAGCGTCCTCGACTTTGACTTCAGCACAACGGGGGCCATGGAGGACGGAGGCCGCTCCCCTGGAAACACAACAAAACCAATAAATGACAAGACAGACAACTGCAGTTCAGACCGATGGCTGTCAGGAGAACAAGAGGAATGATTGGAAACGCTTCCAACAGAGCGCCAAATCAAGAAAGACATGGAGTTGATCTCAATGTGCCTCATCGTGTGTTCAATGTCTCTCATCAAGTTCTGCTTTATTGCTAAGAAGGAGAATATTTTTGCAAATTTCCCCTTTTACTGTTTTTGAGAAGTGCCCTGTCTCTAATGTGTTTCCAGACTCTCTCCGGTTTTCTTTCCCTTTTCCACCCTCAGGCACGGGGCCAGTGAAAGCATTTGAAGGCAGCATGCATATTTGCAAAGAGGAAGGAAAATTACATTTCTTATTTCGAAAAGCCTGACAAGCAAACTGTGTGATATCCAGATTCCCAGTTCTGAAGACAACTGGCTGCATTTTATCAAAGGGTTATTACGTCAAGGGGTCGTGGGGTTGAATGCAGGCTTTCTTTGTAGGTTTTTAAATATTCCTTGGTTAGGTAAAAATTATTCCAGAATCATTAAAACACTGCGTTTTAGCCTAAAATATACTCCTAATTTGACATTTCAGGTCAAAACATACAGAATCACTTGAGCATAACTGGTCTGGAAGCACATGTAGGGGATGTGGCAATTAGTTTCAAACCACATAAATAAGAACAAATATTTGTGATTTGCAGAAGAAGGCTGTTTTGGTTCTTTAATTTGGTTCCGTTTTAATGTTTAACTAGAAGAAAAAACTCAGCCAGCAGCAGATTAATACCAAACCATTGACCATCAAGGGAACCATCGCATCCCAGCACCCTGCAGGTTCATGATGCGCAGAAGCGCAGCAGTGGCGCCATCTACCGCCCAGCCGCCTCATTGCAGCATTTCTCTGGAAAATTCACACCGGTTGTTTGGAAGGTTAAAGGTGACACAATGAAATCCATAAATATGCCATGAAAAACGTTTAAATTGACTCTTCCTTGAATTAATTGAATGCGTCACAAAATTATTAACGCATCATTAAGTTATTAAATTCATCAGTAAGTAATTACATTTTTCATTAAATGAATAAATATGCAATTAAGCAATTCAATGTCCTTTGAAGTAATGAAATGTGTATTTTTAGAGAATGAATTCAAATAATAAAATGGCCCTTTAAAAAAAACTTTTATTTCATAGCATTTAATTTTTTCACTGTGTATTTATTTCATGGCTCTTGAGTGAAGCGGCCATGGAATAACTCAAAATGTCAAACTAAGTGAAATAATTGTATTTAAATATAGTTTTTGAATAAGAGTTTTCTTTTACAGGACATTTTGTTATTGAAATCCATTGTTTTAAGAGGTAGGGCTTATTTCGAGATATAGTTGATTATTTAATTGCATATTTTATAATTCCATGGTGTATTTAATTATTAATTTAATTACATTAGTGATTTTATGACACATTTAATCAATTAGTGGGAGATTTACATGCATGCTTATTGATTTCACTACGTTACTTGTGACCCTCCACAGATTAGTGTCAGGAGCGGACTTCCATACTGGGCTATTGCGGACTCATCTGATCAGGATGCGACACTATGAGTTTCTATTGATGACCTTTGTTCATAGCGTTCTAATTTTATGAGACTGAATTCTAGGTTTTTATCATCTGCAAGACATAATCATCAAAAACTACAGGAATATTACACGCTGCGTGTGGCGATACCACATAGATCTGTAAAAACAGATCACCTCAACTCAGAGATCAGTCTCTTCCTTTATGTTATGAGGTGGAAAGTTTCCTGCTGTCAAAGTTCAACAAGGCATGTTCTCAATCTGAGCTCATCTTGAACATCACAGAGGGAACAATGAACAAACAAAGCAGGTTTTTAATTTGCATGTTACATTTTAGGATTGACGCAGAGACCTGCAGATCAAGTACAAATACATTCGGACGGTTATTGCGCTGACAATCCAGAGTTCACCAATGCATGTCTATACAAAACTGGTGATAAAAATACATCTTTGGTATCTGCTACAAATGTGCCCTGGGTTGTGGAGGCCAGCGTTCGAAATCACTGTGACTTTTTGTCCCCCAGAACTATTAACAGAAACGAGATGCTTTTCAGTCACTTGAAGAAGAGCAAGATGTCGACGCTGAGTAATGGTGGTCAGTGGTCCTCCAGTGACGCCGACAGAAACCACATGTCTGTCGGGGTTTCCAGTGAAAATTAGAAAAGGTTTCAATGAAATGTAAACTTGGATGTTTACATCCCAAGTACAAACCCAAAAGTACAGTGACAGTATGCAAGATACTGATAGTTGCAGTTTTCATTCATGAGTTTCAATGAAGTACATATGAAAAGCATTTAATAAAAGGGGAAAAAAAACCATTTCAGACTTGCACCTAGAAAAGCACGCATAAACCTGCAGCGCCAAAAGAAAAGTCTCTTTTAATTTCCTCTTTCTTCTTCTTTTGTCCTTGTAACAACATGGTATGCAGTCTGTCAGGAAGGCATGTTTCTGCAGAGGCTCTGCAAATTACTGACTGGTTGCGTCAGTAACCAGCAGCTTCTCCCTGCTTCCTGTTGTCGGACTCGGCACAGATGCAGCCGCTCTTTTTCTCCACAGCGTTAACCACGTTGTAGAATCTGCTTGCTGTTTGGTTTTTGTGCCCCAACTCTCTGAGAGCCTCGATCACGCTCTAAAGAGAAGGGAAGTTAGATGAGGTTAGAGCAATGCAGCGTGCTTTCTGAACCTGAAACTGTCACAGACAAATCACCTTGTCAAACTTGGGTTCGAACGTCAATCTGTTTTCAGAGTCAACGTAGACAACCGGAGTATCAATCGCCTCTTTGAGGCTCTTTCCAAACCAAAGATGGTTGATGAGAGTCTGAAAGAGAAAGAAAACACACTGACTACAGTGAGGAGCGTCAGATGATCCTAAACGCTCCCAGTGTGATCACCATGGACACATACAGAGGCCATCCCCGTCGTGATCATGCCCCCTCCACTCGCTCCAATCACCAGCGTCCTCGACTTTGACTTCAGCACAACGGGGGCCATGGAGGACGGGGGCCGCTCCCCTGGAAACACAACAAACCCAATTCAGACCGATGGCTGTCAGGAGAACAAGAGGAATGATTGGAAACGCTTCCAACGGAGCGCTAGTGAATGAAAGTCAGGCAGAGAGAGAAAGCCGTGGAGCTAATTTTGGCCAGTCTCGTCTTGTGTTCAGTATCGCTCATCAATTTCTAGGTTACTATTGATAAGGGGAATATTAGCTATTAGAAGTAGCAAACACACATGCCTTACAATTCTTCTTCCCCCTTGAATACTCAGATTTCCATGCTCTTCACTGGCTTTGAACCTAATTGTGACACTTTTGTCACTTTTTTTTAATGTATGAAACACCGACAAGTGTAAGATGCACTCATACTCATCCACCCTGAGTTAGCACCTTTCACCACAATAATCGTCATGCTTGCGACGCTCTCTGAAAGCGTCGCAAGCAAGTTTGTTGGGACGGTTTTAAAACCGCAGAAATAAATGGTGCATTAGGAACATTTTCTAACAGACTGGTTTTGTCTATTAAAGTATTTTGGCTGTTTTGCTTTGGGTTCAATTTTCATGTTCAAGAAAAGGAAAAGAAGAGCCAGCGGCTTTATGAGTCGGTCATCTGATACTGAAAGGCTTTCAGCTACATGCAAATGAGTACCATGTTTACTGCACACCAAACACGTGAATAGATAATAGGAGTGGAAGCTGCACTGCAAAACCACAAAATATTATCAAGTAGTTTTGGTCGAGTCACCAGTGCAAGCACTTGAAATAAGACAAAACAAAATATAAGAGCTTGTTTTTAGTTAATAATTCCTTAATACTGATGAAAAAGTATAGGTTGCACTGGTATATTATTAATCTTATAACAAGACATTTCAAAAGTGAAACTAGTACATTTTCCTCAATGTCAATTAATTATTTACTTAAAACGAGCTCTTGCATCTTGCTGAAAAGTTATTTTGTCTTATTTCAAGTGTACCAAGATATTTTCACTGGTAACTGGACCAAAACTACTTGGCAAGACTTTTCTGTTTTTGCAGTGTGGGTAGAAGCCATCCCAAAACACAGGAAGCGAACGAGGCCGGTTAAAAGAAAGAGGGCATAACCTATCTTTCTCCCAATCCAGGCAGCTCCACTCGCAACACAAACAGGCAGACATGGACACAAGTTGTTCCCAACCAACCACAGTAAACGATGAAAATGCGTCAGGTTCGTCTGATTACCGGGAAAGACGTTCTCGACCCTTTTGCAAAAGTCCCACAGCTCGTTGTTCAGGAGTATTCCAGTGCTGGGAGAATAGACCTGGGAGCCAAATCTGTTAAGAACATGTGCAAGTCAGCGTGACGACACACAGCACGCAGTTTCTTTACTCTGACTCCAGAACGACAATAAACAGGGAAAAAGAGCAGGAGTTATCAGGCTCTGACATGCGGTTGATGGTGCTGGTGGCAGCGACGGCCGACCCGTCTTCGGCCAGGACAGACACGTGCGTGGTACCCAGACTGTCCAGAGACGTGGTGAGATTGTAATACTGCTCATCGTGTGTCCTGTTGCTGCTGATCAGGGTCCCTATGTGTTTGGCAAAACTTTCTGCTATTATTTTCTTTGCCATCTGTGAAAAGCAAAGGAGAACGCACAGAAAAATGAAATAACAACAGTTTATTTTTATTATTATTGTATTTGGGTTATTTTCACTCATTTGGCTTTCGATGCTATTTTGCTTTTAAAAGCTTTAAAACTTTACAGTCCAACCATTTCAAACCTGTCATTTGAAAAGACGGAGGGGACTTTTTTTTTGGAGGACAATTTTCACTGATAAACCGGGTAAAACGTATAGAGGATATTACTAACCCTGACTAAAAACACACCTACTTAAATCAAAGTGGAGGGCAACAGGATCTGCATTATGACGTTTGACAAGAGGAAAAGCAGGAGTGACTTTCCACAGCATGCTTGTGAATGCAGGACACTCTGGAACACGGACCACATGCAAACGCTGCTCCAACAAACTCACTACTGACTCCACTTCAGCTGGCTAAGGTCGAACAGACCATTTAAATTTGTCAGTCAAATTCGGTGTGGAAGATTATGATTCTGCTTCACAGGATTTTCAGGAACTGAACCATATCCAAGCTCTACTTTTTTGTCAGGTTTCTACAATATTACATCAAACGTTTTTCAGCCAGTCGGTCCAGGGGTTGCAGAAATGTCCTTCTTACTTTCCCTCCATTAAAATAACAAAATTAAAATTACAATAATGCACAGGAAGAAAGAAAAGGAAAAAGTGCTGATTTGAGCTTCACATTGTATCCAATTTGTCAATTGCGCGTTTGACAACTTTGCGTTTAACACAATTGATATCAATCCACTTATCCATATCACAACCAAATTATTAAAGCAGTCGTGTTACCAAAGTGAAATCATTGTTAAACCTACTGCATCGATGGTATGATGCGTTTACTGGTTGAAAAAAAAAATGGATTAACAGCTTTTTGACCATGCGGTCAGGGCCAGGAATGCAAAAAAAAAAAACTAAACTCAAAAAAAACATGATTTCAATCAGCAGCTAATATGTAAATCCAGCATTATTTGTAAATCTATTAACACGCATATTGAAAGTTTAATTTGATACTTACTGATTCTGATTGGAAGCGTGGGTCCCGAATGTGCCTCTTTAGTCCATTGGCAAATTTAAAAGCTTCAACATAGCGGTGATAAAACCCAACCTTTTCCTCAACAGAAAGAGGGGTCGACCTCATCTGATACTCTGCAAACCAAAATAATAGTTTACTTAAATATAGATCTTAAAGGGACAGTATTATGCTTTTTTCTTTTACAGCACAATAAAGCAGCTACATTACCTTCAGTTGTTATAAAAATGCTATCCATATCAAATATGACTTTTCTTTACGTCCTGATATAACGCCTTGAAATTGGGTCACTGTCTCTTTAAAAATTCCAGTTCTTTCTGAAACTCCTTCAGGAAGTCACCACAACATGACTCCTCTATTAACCCTTCAACAAAATGTTTTTGTTAGTTTCACCAGTTGTTTGCTAATTTCTACTGGCTAGTCTGAAGGAGCTGAGTGAGTGAGTTGCAGGAAGGGCTGCTCTGTGAGGCGGGAGCTCAGATGCTGCAGCTCTGAGGAGGAGCTAAACCTCGAAGGCGGAGCTACGTCTCACCTAGTGTTTTGCAAAGGTGAATGGTTGCCACGGGAGATTCAAGGACTTCTCAAACATGAATCAAGGAAACACGCCAGGTGTGTTTTTGAAGAGGGAATAACATTATAACACGGTGAAAAGTCAATAAAGTTTACATGAGACGTCCCTTTAAACTGAGTTGTCAGTAAACATTGGTCAAAAAATTAAGAATAAATGTTCTGAAAGGTAACGTTCCCTCATTTTGGGGGGAGTAAAAAGTAAAAAGAAACAGCGGCTCTGATGTCTGCGTCCGACAGCAACCTTTCATGATGTTGAGGACGAGGGTGAGGAGCGGTCCTCCTGACGGGGGCGGGGGTATGTACATCTGGTACTCTCCCATTGGGACAACCCACGCATCGGTCTCTGTGGCCTCGTATGATGCCAAATCCTCCAGTGTGAGCTTTCCTCCTGGGCAAAAACAATGAAACGAAAGCAAAAATCTTTGTTTTGCCGAAGCAAAAATCGTGAAAGTCCTTTGCGGTCCACATAATCTCTGATGCTTAACAGATCTGGGGCGGTCTGAGTGGGCACTGTGTTCATTTGTAAACTCTGAAGGCAATACCTTTCTGCTGCACGTCACGGACTAAATCCTCCGCTACTCTTCCGCTGTAGAAGGCGTCCGCTCCTTTGTTTGCAATCAGCTCCAAAGTGTCGGCCAGTTTCTCATACTTGATCACGTCTCCGGTCTTCAGCAGGTTCCCATTTTCATCTGAATACAGTTTCCTGAGAAGAGAAAGAGGAAGAGAGACGTGTAAATCTGTATCCCTCAGATTTCTGAGCCAGACTTAGTCTCTCTTAAGACACAGTCTGTTTCTGTCCACCTTAGGGGCAGCGAAAAGTTAAAGGCTGAGATGGTCAATCCTAGGACCGGAGGAATAGGGAATCCCTCTCTGGCCAGCTTGATGGTCGGCTGGAAGAGCGTGGCCCACGGCAGTTTTCCATAACGTTTGTGCGCCAATTCTAGGCCTCGAATTTCCCCCGGCACACCAATCCATTTGGTTTCTGCACAGATGGAGAAAGGGACAGAGTTTGAGTATCTCAGCTTTTCTGACAGCCTTTACTTCATTTCTTGATATTACTGTGCATTTAACGCTGCGTCAGTCGTAAACATCGTCTACCTTTCAATCAAAAACTCTTGTTCTGGCTTTCTTGATCCCCTTGAACTACGTTTTCATCCACTGACACGCAAGTTTCTTAGTATCTACGCCTGGATAAAGCTGCTGAAGAAGTTGGGTGACAGAGCATTGAAATGATACATCTGTTTTAAGTTGGAAGTTTACAGCCAGCCCTCCCGGCAGATTCCAAATCCAATTTAGACTTTGAATAGGCCATTCCTATGAGACGGGCGGTGTATCTCTGATGGCAAATGTGTGTCACAGTTCTCACACAGCAGAAGAGCAATAACAAGCTCTGCTCTGGAGCGTAGCAGAGTTCACTAACAGTGACTTTTATTAGGTGTTTTGTATTTACCTACTTTTTGGTTGCGTTTGCTATTATTGTAATGTATCAGGCTTCCTTTGAAAAGCGCCAACCTTTTTTTTTTCTCTCACAAAAACCGACAAGAAAAAGATGATGACTCTGACAAAAAGCGAAAACGACCTGATGGTGTGTAGGATATTTCCTGAACAGACCGATTCAGAGTGTATGTTGCATAAAATTTGAATAAAATACATGACTTTTTCTAGTCTACAAGCGTGAAGTATTACAGCAGGTCCAGAAAAAAAGTGAAATAAAAAAAAAATGACAAAACGGAAATAAGCTTTGTGCGAATGTTTTCATACCACACCGAATTCCTCAAGATCACCGAGGCCTGCAAGAGAGCTGATAACATGTAGGGTGGAGAAGAAAAAATAAATAAACATCTCTGCAGATAAGGAAGCACATTCGTTTGTCTACCTACCATCCGAGCTAAATGGACAGGACTTCACCAGATCAGGGTCCACCTTTGACGGCGCGGTCTCCCTGGAGTTGATGATCTGCACTTGACCTTTGACAGGACATTGACGGAATCGTCAGTCACCGTTATTGCATCGACGACACGCGTTTGGCTACATGTGGACACTTCCTCACCAGATGTGTTCATCACTGTGAAAATGGCGCCCCCTCCGATCCCCGCGCTCTGCGGGTTCATGATGCCCGTGCACAGAAGCGCGGCGATGGCGCCATCTACCGCCGAGCCGCCTAGTTTCAGCATGTCCCTGCAAAAAAGTATACATGCCGGTGTTACTGCCGCGAGGCGAACGTTCTCACTTTGCACACGCGTGGGTGTACGCCGAGCCCAGCCGCGTCGGAAACGAACTGCACCCCACAACATCCTTTCTGACTGAGTTTCAAACTTTTACACATCACCGATGCGCTTCTCTGTGCAAAAGAGCGCAAATGACCAATAAGGATAAACGCGAGGATGTCATCTGTGACATCGCGGGAAATAACGCAGATATGAACAGTTTTCCAACGACTGATGAAGAGAAAAGTGCTCGGCACTTCTCACCTTCCGATCTCGGAGCATTTCCTCGTGTCTGCAGCCACGGCGGCTTTCGAGAAAGTGTCGTCCGAGCACGAGCGTCTCGTAGTGACAGCAATGATCACAATGATGGCGATCAGAGCACCGCCGAGCAGCAAGCAACAAGTGTACACCTTGGCCTTGGATCTCGCCATGTCTCGCCGTGCGCCAGGCTGATGAACTGAGCGATCTGCGGGAGTGAAGGAAGAGCTGCGCACCTGGTCGGACCAGAGGGGGCGGGCACCGCGGGGCCCCTCTGCACATCAAGAGGAGGCTCCTTTAGGCTCCTTTTAGGTTTTGTTTGATGGAAATATGCGGAAATGCAACTGGAAGCAAAAATCCCCCCATCCCCCTACACACACACACACACACACACACACACACACACACACACACACACCCAGCCCCCCCCCGCCCCCCACACACACACACACATCCAAAAAACAACCAAAACTACAGATTTTAAAAATAACCCAACTGGTTTTCTTTTCTTCTTCTTCTTTTTTCAAATCCAGACCAGGCTTGATTAATCATTTTGGCTGGAATTTTAATAACAAAAATAATAACAAGAAAATAATGATATTAGTAATATCATTAACAATAATCATGATTATGATGTGATGATGATGATGATGATAATAATAATAATAATAATAATAATAATAATAATAATAATAATAATAATAATAATAATAATAATGGGCATTGCCATTGTTGATTTTATGGTTAAATCAAAAGTTTTAACGTAAAAGAAAAATGAGAAAAATGTTTTAACTACCGGAAAAAGTCTTAAATTGAGCACAAAACAACTGATAACATAAATGTACAAATGTAAAATGGAGAAATGACTGTTTTCAATTCTTCTGTTTCTTGCTGTCATGTCAGTGCAGCGAGGCGCAAATCGTCAACAAACAGAAAATTCAGAATAGGATGTAAAAAAAAAATTATAAGGCGGCATTAATGATTCACTGTGACAAAATGTTTCTCAGTCTGCAATCAAATTAAGAGTTGTTTAGTACAGACAACGTGACTGACAAAAGAGTTTACACTTTTCATATTTCCTCTTTATTCAACAAGTCGTCTGAGTGGAGGGAAGCCTGAAGCTCTCTCCTCCCATTAAAGAGCAGCCGGGGTTCTTCCGCCTGTCCAGCTTCCCCGCCCCGCCATCACGACCGCTGTGACGAAAACCTGGGAGGACGCGGAGCATCCTGGGAAATGCTGTCTGCGGGCGACATGCGGAAGAGGGGACTAGCGCACAAACGGAAGTGGACAAACTGTACTTTCAAAGTAAAACCATTTGAGACAGATTGGGAACAACATGTGCTGGATATTATCACCCTTTGTGTTTCATCTGCGTCTCCCACGTCAGTGGTGCCCAACCCGGGTCGTCACTGCTGCCAGAAACATGGGATAGTTTTCAGCCTTTCTTTGGTTTTATCATCGTCCCGCAAGTTTCTCCACGTCGGTCTCTGGCCTGCTGGTTTGCCTTCATGAAGCTGTTCGTTTGCAGGTGTTCTCTGACATCTGTTTTCATGAAACATCTGGGTTTTTTACTTATATTAAATCACACTGGCTCGGAGGACTTTCCCTCTCACGCTATGTGTTGCTCCGTCACATAAAACGATAATTAAATGACCTGAAACCTGTGCTTAATTATTTATTTATTTATTGCAGGGCTTTATTTTGAAAGGAACAAGCGGAACCAGACGGTGATACTCCCCAACGTGACTGACTCTGGGTGTCTTCCCCAGAGAAGCGTCAGTATTTACATCAATATTTTCTGAAGGCATTTCCGACACTCTCTGTTCGCCTCCGACAGGGATTCCGCCCGTCGGTAGGACCGCTTCCGATACACACATTATCATTATCATTATTACTATTATCATTATTTTCTTCTTCTTCTCCATATTTAGTCCCCCTCTCCCGCTCCGTGCAAGGGGGGCGAGCTCCGTCCGTCTTCGTGTGATTTGGAGCGGACTCCTGTGATGTTGCTGCGCGGCCCCCGTCTGCCGTGTGCACTGCAGTGGTGCGCAGCGTCGCCTGGAGAAACACCTGTGCGCCTCCGCTGTCCGCCGGGCGGCCTCGGCCACGCATGCTAAGTAGGTATGGATGTGCACCAAAAAAAATAAAAAAATAAAAAAATCAGCGCACCAACTACGATATACACGCGGCAGCATCGGACACGGGAGAGCATGGGGTTCTGCTCTGTTCTTGCCATCGGCTTGTTTACCAATGGTCGCTCCCTCGTATGTTTTGCTCGTGGGTTTGAATGGCAGCTGATAGCTGCAACTCTTCCACTCTGATGGCTTGGAAACAAAAGGGGTAATAAGTGTGTGTGGGGCGTGGGGGCGTCTTGATGCTGTCAGGCAGGATGGAGGGGAGGATCTGCTGGAGCAGGAGAACCGGACCATTTTTGGTGAGAGCGCACCGTGGAGTGATCACAGCTGACGCATTGCACTCCTGGCCTTGTGGTTGCTGTTGCTGCTGCTGCTGGTCCATTCGCATTATATAATCACACTCATGTAATGCAGCCTTCTTTTGATACCAAGACCCCCCCACATCCCCAACAACACACACACACACACCCTCCTCTTCCCCCAGGAGGCATTTATGCAGCTCCTGCTGAGCATCCTATGAATGCCAATTATAACTGTGGGTGGGTTTCAACTATGTTTATGTTTACATAATTGTGTGTTTTGTGTGTATGTGTGTGGTGCTCAGTCACAGGAAAGGGAGAGATTTGTTTTAAATGCAGCAATGTATCCATGACTCATGGCTTTATAAAGTGCAGTACAGAGGGAGTGTGTGTGTGTGGAGGGCTGGATTCTCGTTTCTGCTCACTCTTCGTATGTGTGTGTGTGTGTGTGTGTGTGTGTGTGTGTGTGTGTGTGTGTGTGTGTGTGTGTCAGTCATGTTCAAGTCCAGCAGGCGTTTATTACATGCGGTGAATCAAGACGGCAATTTGCTAGTATAAAGAGACATGTGTTACATTTGGTGTACTTATGCCAAAACCATGGCAAAGAATATTGGGTTTCTCCTGCAGTAGGCCTGGGTCAGTGTAAGATGTTCATGCTGTGAAAACCTGTGGGTTCAACGAATGCCACAGTTTCGCAGTATCTAGACGTAAAAAATTGTGAAACAAACGTCAATTAGAGATGCAGCCATCAGACATCCTTTGGCCGACACCGGTTCCCCGTTGTCTTTGAGGTCTTGCCTGCTGCTTGTGATTATTCAAAATTTTTCTCTAGGGACTGTAAAATCAAGCAATACATATGTTTTAGTTACTTTGAAGGAGTTGGTAGATTTGAATTCAACTAGTAGTTAACAAATTCAAATATTAAATCCACTTGTGCATCAGGGCACTTGACCCTCACCTGTGTCTGTTCATTACTGAACTAAAAAAAAGTCAAGCAAGGTCCATGTTATCGATTGACTGAAAATGGAGGGCGATGCATGTAATGAAAAGGCAAAAACATATTTATACTTCTTTTCAGTATTTAATATGCTGATTACCAATCGGAGCCAATCCAGGGAAGGCCAGCAGCTTCCAGACTCTTGAATCGTCCGTCACCACCTGTGAAAAAATGAAGCTCCTCTGTCTTCTCCCAGTGATAACAAACAAACAAAAAAAACAATCAGAGCCCAGAGGCAGGTCTTACAGCTGTCAATCACAATCTTGTGTGGCGCTGCTCATCACCTTTCACCCCCATCCCCTTCGCGCTCTGCTACCGCTATAGCTTTTTCCCATCAGCAGATCCTGTTGTGAACGCTAAGGCTAGTTAGCATAGCTACCGATAATGCTGGACGAACAGTTTTCCTGTTGCGGTGAGTTGTTTCTTTGCCATTAGCACATTTAGGAGCGAGTACATGAGATTGAGTGGCAGCGCTGAAACCGTCCTCCTGGCTCTGATTGGTTGGTTTTGGTCAGGAACTGCTTTCCAAAACCATTCTGCCGCCATTCTTTCTGATGGCAGCAGTAGCTCAGGAAGGCGACGGAGGGAATGGGTCTTTTCACAGTTTATCTGTCTCCTAACATGCTGTCAAGACCTGGTGACAGTGGAAAACATATTTTATAAAAGTTTCATACTGCAGTTTCAACAAACAGTCACGCTCGTCTGCTTGTCCGCTGTTTCCGTGCCGTGACGCGTCTTGTTTTTTAACACCAGAAAATACTTCTAATGCAGATGGCTTCTTTCACTCAGATGACTTGCAGTGTGCAGCAGCAGGTGCGGGAGGGGCAACGTCACTCTACTCTGTTTTGTACAGCAGGAGAAAACTGTTCACACCGGTATCTTCTCTAACTTCTCATAAACTGTAAAATATAGCGAAACCTCTGGGTTTGAATCCCAAACTCGAACAAAGTCCATATACCTTAACACTGGTAACCAATCCCTGCCCTCTCAGCACACTCCCAACACTGTGAAATATTACATCCTGTTCTCTTCTGTCTCCCTTCCCCTCCTTTTGTCTATGTTTTGCAGAGAAGAGACAACCCTAAGGCAGGTGTCTGTCTGCGTTTGTCGGAGAGAGAGAGGCGCGAAGGAGTCGCGCAAACACTTCACGGCCCGACACCATGCAAGCAGAAACCTACACTCACCGCAGAGCGCTGAAATGCTAGACCTGAAGAGCGAGAGTGTCACATCCAATCAGCAGACTGTTTACATCAGAGGCGGCCACAGGAGCCGCTTGACACCAGACTCCATAACAGCAAGCGAGTGGTTTAAGGCCCCCTTCAGTCACAATCAAGAAACGACGCATTAACCGATCCTTCATCACCACTTTGTACTTCTGTTGGGTTCAGCAGCCCAGAGGCGAGCTGAGATGGAGTGGTCGCTGGAGAGCGTGAGGGAGATGGTGGCTGGCGGGATGCAGTCTGTGAGGGAATGCGAGATCTGTGTGTTCGCCATAGCCATGTGCGTGCTGCTGCTGTTCATGTGGTACTGCTATAGAGTGGGCCGCGAGCACGGCACCAGCCCCTTGCGAGGGAGGTACCTGAGCGGCACCAGCCGGATCGGAGGGGTGGTCGGGGGTTTCATGAGCTCAGACTGTCGGGGCAGGGGCAAAGGGAAGCACGGGTCACTTCTGGAAGAGCAGAACGGCTTCGCCTTCTGCCAGTCGTCCGAGTGCTTTCGTTGCACCAGCGCCGGCGAGAGCCTGAACCAGAGGCTCTACCACAGCCTCCAGGAATACGCCAAGCGCTACACCTGGTCCGGTATGGGCCGCGTGCACAAAGGAGTCCGCGACCAAGGCCGGTACCTCAACAGCCGGCCAACTATCCAGCGGCCCGAGGTCTTCTTCCTTCCCGACCTGCCCTCGGCGCCGTTCTTCTCCAGAGAAGTGCAGAGACACGACGTGGAGCTGCTGGAGCAGAGCTTCCCCGCCCTTCTGGCCGAGTTTGAGAGCATCTATCACCAACCCCCGGCCCGCAGCGGCTCTTCCCTCCCGCCGGGCTGGAAGGCTAACGGCACGCCTCGCGGTCAATGGTGGACTTACTACCTGGTGAACCAAGGCACCCCTTTGGTCCTCAACGTCAGGAGATGTCCGCGCGCGTGGCGGGTGCTGGGTCAGCTGCGCACTTTCATCGCCAACAATGTCTTTGGAAATGCCTGCTTCTCCGTGCTGACGCCCGGAGCTCTCATCACGGAACATTACGGTCCAACAAATGTCAGGCTGCGCTGCCACCTGGGTAAGAGGGTTAAGTGAACTGAAACAGAAGAGGCTCGTTATGTGTTAACCTCAGTGCAGCATTTATAAGCAGAAGTAAAGTGTGCTTTACTTCTTTTGACTCAATTCTCTTGAGTAATGGAGGCGGATGGCTGAAATGTGCCAAACGTTATTATTGGTCTCTCTGCACCTGAGCTCTGGTTTTATTTCCATCTGTGTCCTTACAGCAGCCTGTAAGGACACAGAGACTATGGATGGAAGTTGGATGGCAACGAAAAGCATTTTTCTAATTTTACACTTGACACATGGATAAAGCTGTTATTTTCTCCTCTGCCAGGTCTCAGAGTGCCTCCGTCCTGTGAGCTCGTCGTCGGTGGAGAGCCACAGTGCTGGTCTGAGGGCAGCTGTCTGCTTTTTGACGACTCCTTCCTCCACAGGGCGTTCCATGACGGTAAGAGGGATCAAAACTGCCACAGTCTGATGTAAGAAACATAGAAAACCTTCCAAAAAAAAAAAAAAGTCAGCCATTGATTTTTCTTTTTGTCTTTCTCCCTTTCTTTGAAATGTTGTTTGCGTAGGCAACCCAGAGGACGGCCTCAGGGTGGTGTTCATGGTGGACCTGTGGCATCCCAATGTGGCTGCTGCCGAGAGACAAGCTTTGGATTACATTTTTACCCCGGGCCGCTTAGAGGACAGGGAAGGGAAATAGTCGCGAGTGAGAAACCATTATGTTTGAGTGAGAGACCGTCGGAGTTTAGCGTCTGTACGATTGGGGAGCGGCTCTTTCTCTGCCTCCAGACCAGCTTTTCACGTTCACTGTGTACATATTCTCCAGCTCTCACAGTATTACTCATGACTCCACTCTGCAGATAACCAGACATTGGGCCTCTCTTATCAACTGCCTTCTCACCTGTGGAGCCATAAAGCATCACAGTAAATTAGTACGGTCTTGTTGTATTGCCTATACGTAGAACACGTCAGCCAAACCTTGTCAGTTTTAAACATTTTAATTTTGGTAACATACTTAAGAGGTCTCGTTGTACCTCAAGTTTTCCTATACGTCGATGAGTTATCAGTGTTTATTTCAAAGCTTCATGTTTCCTTTCAGTTTATCGCGTTTACACAGATTGGTTCCTTTTCGATCTGCATGAACGTATTGAAAAGTGGACGCAATTGTCAAAGACATTTGAATTCAAGGGATATTTAAATGTCTTTGAAACGGCGAAGCACTCCAACAGAGGTGTCTGCTTCGCTGTTTAAAAGTCAAAGAGCAGAGTAAGCCCGATGACGAGAAAGTACACACATCTCAAAGGAAACATTTTGAAATGATAAAATGATGTCAAACAGCCCATCGCCATGGCTTTTGGCATCCGGGATTTCTGATTTCTGATTTTGTAAGGGTTAGCCGTCTTTGCCAGGGACCAGGGAGTTTCAAGAGAAAGACCGAACAGAACTGTTGCAGAAATACGTCATTCAGATGGGTTTTTCCTTTTAGGCACTAACACAAAGTGAACAGGACATAACAAGACAGAACAGATCGCTGAACTCCAGCTGGGGGTATTTTCTGAGCTTGAAAATAGAACTAAAGAGGGCAACTTAAACCTGTTTTCATAGACGATGCTTAAGATGCACTTGGAGAACTCTAAAGGAAGCACACACTGAAATTCCCACCATTATTCAACAATCATGCAAATGATTAATATTTATTTATTTACAGCACATTGTTTGGATTATAGTTTAACTATATTTACTGTACATTAACCTTCATGGTTAAGATGCCATTTTTCCTAAGTACCAAAACTTCTGGTTCTTATATCTGTTATTTATACTCTTCACTACGGGACCATGCTGGACCGTTCTTGCTGTTCGATTACAAATGACTGAATGTTTATCTGCATATATTTCAGTGTTGTAACTAATCGATCCCTACGTTGCATTTTTCAAACTTTGGGTTGATTTTACAGAAGCAAAAGAAAAAGGCAGTTCTGTGTATGGACCTGGAGATTGTTTGTTTTGGTCACCAGCTGAAGCAGCTGAGCTGTTTGGTGTAGATAAGGAGCGGAGTGCATGCGAGGTTTTCAATTAACCGAATCCATTCGTGACATTTCTTAGAACATTATGGGTCCATAGGCCAACCAGTTTGGTCAACTATTAATGAAGCCTCTTTTAACAACATGGAGATCCTGCCTACATTCCCAAAAGGGCTAAAAAAAACCCCATCATTTGGTATTTTCTTTTATGTGTCTCTACAACTCCAGTTTCATTTGCATTCACATGTTCAGCATTGGAGCACTGTTTACATTTCTCTGGATGACTGGATTCCAGTCACAATGTCAGTGATTGTATTACCCTCACAACTAGCAAAAAGTCACAATTACGCAGTTTTTTTTTGTTTGTTTGTTTTGTTTTTGTTAACCTACACTTAAAAAAACACAAACAACAAGCACATCGAGCCACATTTAAGCAGCACAGAACTGTTTCATAAACAGGAAGGGATGACTTTTAATTTTTAATGAAGGGCTGGGTACATTAAACCAGGGAATCTTGGTTTAACATCCAGACAAAACAGGCACTGCAATCTTTTTTTTTTTTCCTTCTCCATCTTTTTACGTCAGGAATAGGATTTGATAACTGAGGTCCAATGTCGGCGATGACTTGAATGTTTACAGTTGTGGATGCTCTCTCCGCGCCTGCCCAATGTGGCGGGCACTTGTGCTCCCCATTGGAAACCAATCCTGTTTTCACTGGACATGGCTGCATAAGTACATTTCAAGTTGCAAATCGGCCTGCAGCGAAACAACCTTTTCTTTATTTATTGGTGACATTTACTAAGCTCTTCGAATTTGGTCGTATTTGATAACACCAGGTTTGTATTTCTGTAAATACGTTTGGCGTGGAAAGGAACCCGAAACCCGGAATGACGCTTTAACTATTGTGTTGTCTTGATTTTTACAGCTAAAGTGATTGCTAAAGTCATCCTCCGACTGAACAAGCCTACCATGAAAAACAAAACAAACAACAAAAAAAACGACGTTTTTGATAGATTTGATCGGTACGTTCTGTGAAATGTTTATGAAGTACTCTCTTTGTTGTTCTGTGGTGTTTTCTTTAGATCACTGTAATTTTGCAGCTCGGTATAAAAGAAGGCACCGACCCGAACTCGCTCCTCACGCCTCCATGAATAAAATGACTCCCCTAGGCTTTTACTCGTCCCGCTGCAGCTCAAGCAACCCGCGTTCAGTTCCGATGTTTACAAAGCCGCGGCCATTTACACGCCATCGAGCGACGCCAGACGACACTGACTACTATGTTGAGCTGTGCATTGTTGGGTTTGAAGATCAACAGCGACAAGCGGCGCATGGAGAAACTTCCAGCGCGCTGGCTCTGTGCACCCATTTTGTTTACATTTGGATTAAGGATTTTGTCCTTCAACACTTTCTTGTGTGGGTTTTTGAACAGTATTTCTGTACATTTAATAAATGGTGGAGTATCTTATATAACCAGCTTGTGTCAGGGGGGTCTTCACTTTTGCACAAACGTCGCGGATCCGAATCTAATTTCTTTAAGCTTTACAGTTTCGGTTGCGTCTCTCAGGTCACTGAATAGAGCTGTTTGGGGAATTAGGCCAGCCGTGCAATCTCTTCTTTAGCACTAACAAAAGCGGTGTGGTAAATGTGTAATCAATACTTGGGGAGGATTTCTGGGGAGGACTGCATCCCCCCTGAAAAGCGTCCATCAGCAACAGCATTTACCAACCAGCGGAGGGACAACTAGGAGTCAGAATCACATTACTGGAAAAAATGCAGTTTGGATCGACAAGGATTCATTTTGGTTTCCAGAAGCTATTTATTCTGCTTTCGAAACGTTTAATAACATTTTGATTGTTACGGAATCAAAGTGAAAGATTATGTAGATTAATTAGATGATGTATGTTTTCACACATTTGTTAAAACACCTGAAAAAAGATTATCTTCGAAAGATGCCATTAATCTGACAAGCCTGATCAGGACGTATATCCGAATTTATTGAATAAGAGTGTCTGGCATTCACATGTAAGTTTATTTAAAGTTTATTTATTTATTCTAGCACCGAAGAAAAGGTCTGCCAGTAACTGTGGGTCCATCTGGGTCTCCTGACCACCTGGCCCTTTTCGTCCCCAACTCGCAACACAAAGTTACACACCTTGTTTTATACAAAATAATATGGAGGAAATCTGCACAACATATGTGTCAGGAAAATGGTCCCCACAAGGTATTAGAAACAAACGCGCGCACACAATTAAACGAAATATTGTGTTGTGTCCGTTTTCTTTCCAACTGCGCCCTCCTTTGCATTTGAACGTCACACAAAATCCCCACAAAATACAACACGAAATGAAACTTCGCCACGAAAAGGCGCCATGAACGCTTTCTGACTACAATTGCGTAGCCGATTTCTGCTACTTGTTGCGGCCTCCCTGTTCAATGACAATCAGACAAATCCCCATCTCGAAACTTTCCGGCTCGGCTCCACACCTCCGTCCTTCTCGACGTCAGAGCCGCGGAGAACCTTAAAGAACAGGTGACGCAGCCGCTGCAGCGCCGCAACCGCTGCGCCGCCTCTGTGCGCAGCCTGCGCGCGCTCCGGCTGGACTACCGCACCGCGCCGCGCGAGCAGGTGGGGAGATGTAGCCCAGGCTTAGAGCGGACAGCCTTCACTGACACACACACACACTAAAGAAAAGAGGAAAAAACTCAAAATCATGATTACAGCGCGGAGAGAAGACGACGAGGTGGATGGAAGAGCCGCGGAGGTGAAATAGATCGGATCCGCCGCGATGAGCGCCACCTTCCCGAAATCTGATTCCACAACCTCGTTACTGAAATCCTCGAGGGGATCGACACACCTCCCTAATCAGACTTCAGAGATCCGGAGAGGTCAGCATCAGCAGCAGCCCCGCCGCCGTCCCGTCGCGCTCCAGGGCAGCAGCGGCAAAACGGACGAGTCCTTCTGGTCGGCCGAGGGCGACGTCAGCGCGCGGAGACCCCTGTGTCATCCCTCCCTCACCGGCAGCCAGGACGTGGGGACCGCCGCGGCCTCTCGGGGCGACTGCAAGCCCCACGCCCCCCACAGCCAAGTTCCCGTCCAGCCGGGGCCAAACTGCGAGTCGGACCGCGGGTTGACCGAGCGGATCCGGACTAACCCCAAACCCTCCCACCGCCACCACCACCACCATCACCATCACCACCACCACCGCAGGAAGCACCACCGGGAAGACCACCCGAATGACGCGGAGCATCCCCGTCCCTGTCACCAGCTCACCCACAGGGCGCCCTCGCTGTCAGACAGCACCGACGACAGGGCCCCGCTGTGTGAACCGAGGGACAGGAAGAGGGGCAGCTTGGCCAGCGGCGGCGGCGACGGTCAGGTCAGCAGTCCGTCCCCGTCTTCCTGCTCACCTGTCCCGCCGTCCAGCAGGTCGTCCCGCCGCTCCAGGAGGTCCAGCACCACTTCCTCTGCATCTGACGTCAATTTAAGGAGCGTCCTCAATTCACTGTTCGGGCAGGTATGGTATTTATTATTATTATTATTATTATTATTATTATTATTATTATTATTATTATTATTGTTGCTATTATTATTAGTTGTTTGGCTTCAATTCATTTCACTCTCATGCCGTGTGTGAATATGTGCTTTTGGAAAATTCCCTCACAAGTTGTGACAGTGATGCCCCCAAAATCCACATTTAGCTTCAGTGAAGGGACAGTGTGGTGGGGGGGGGTTGTAGCATCTGTCCTCAGATCCTCTATAAACAACCAGCCCCGTTTTCTCTGAGACGATTTTTGTTTGGGTTCACACTCCATGGGCTCCTCCATCACCTCCTGTGTGTTCTGTGTCATTACTGGGCAGACTGGGGAGAGAGAGACAGAGAGAGAGAGAGAGAGAGAGCTCCTTTTTTAAACGCATCCATTTCTTATGTAATTTGGAAAATACAGTTCTACCTCCTACAGATTTCCTCAATCAAGCAGCTCTTTCTGATTGAAGTAGGACAGAAATACGTTCCAGGACCACAGAGGTGGAAAATCTTTGATGTGCTGATGCCTCTCTGGCGAAAAATTGCTTGTGTGGACTCGTGTTGCTGCACACCGTTCAGTCAGAGGCGCCGGCTGCGGTGATTGTTTTGTGTTGGAAGGTAATCACTGATGTTCCTGCTGGTGATGGAACGTCTATTTTCAGCTCTGAGATGTATTTATACAAAGAAGAAGAAGAAGAAGTGCGGCTTCAAATGCCCGCTCTCTTATCTGTGCTGTCATTCTGCATAAATTGGGGCTTTAAAAGCAACCGTCTTTCCAGTTCCACCAATAAACCACTGATAATATGTTGTTTACTGGGTGCATTCCGCAGAAGTCAGGGTTTATTTGCCTCCATGTTCTGTAATTAGATATTATCCAAAGGGATTTCTCTTCAGTGCTTTGCAAAAGTGAACTTTTGCAAAGCACATTTTTCTTCATGCTACAACCACAAACCTCAATGTATTTTCTTGGTATTTGATAACAACACCAAGCAGTGCACATCACTGAAATCCTGGAAAACACAAATAAATCCTTCAAATACAAATCTGAAAAAGCGTGGTACATTAATATGCAGCCTCCCCGAGTCAGCAGTTACGACTCAAATTTTTTCTTAGGGCATGTTTTCTACCAGTTTTGTATATTTAGAGGCTCTGATTGTTCTTTGCGAAATAGATCCATGTTCATTCTCATTAGGCCAATCAAACCACATAACAGCTCCGTCTGTTTTTCGATCAGCTCCGACCAGCTTCCCTGTCCCTGTTAAAGATTCCCACAGCATAATGCAGCCACCGCCAGTGGGAAGTTTTTGCTCGGCCGCACAGCGCCCTCCATGTTGGAGTAAAACATCATTTTTGACCAGGTCACATTCTACCATGTTTGCTTACGAGGCTTGTTGCTCGATTTACTTCTTACCGCTTTTCTGTAGAGAACAGATATGTGGAGCTCATGACTGAACTCCTCAAAAAAGACTGAACTGTTTTTTTCAAAAGATCTAGATCTCGGCAAATTGTGGTGATTTTTTTTGTTTGTTTGTTTGTTTGTGTGTGTTTTGCTGTTTTTCTGACATTTGCGGAATATCAACAAAGTTTTGCGCATGTTTGTGATGGAGATGCAGCTGGAGTTCTCTCGCACAATCCTACTTCAGATTTGCTCACGACTGCCTCCCTGTGCTGTCTGCTGTGCCGTTTGGTCTTCGTTATGCTACTTTTTCACTAATGTTCACTAACAAACTCTTAAAGGGCCTCACACACCATTTATAATCAGAATACATACAGGTAGACCCCGTTTTTTGACAGGCTAACTACTGAAGGTAGCGCTAGATTTTAATTGGGCTACCAGAGTAAAAGGGGGCTGAATGCAGATGGATGCCACACTTTAAAGGTGTTTCTACAGAGATTTTGAACGTCTTCTTGCACCATTTCCTTTCAACCTCGCAATTAAAAACTACTTGGAGTGACATTAACCCAATAACCCCAGACCCTGTACATTTGATGAAATGAAAAGCTCTCAGTCATAAAGACGGACTTGTTGCTCATCCCTCAAGGGAAGCCATCTGATGCTCATCGTATGAAAATCCATTTGTGCAGCTTCCCCCATGAGTCAGCCTGAGAGCGTTCTGTGGAAAACACTGGCGTGACCCCGAAGGCGGTCTCAGCTGAGGAACCTATAGTCGGTTGGTGAGGAGTCTACAGCGACGCATGGCTTCACACGCCACAGTTCGAACAGGACGGGTCTGTTTGACAGGCCTGCGCAGAAATGCATAAACAGATGCTCGTCGGGCTAGCGTGTCACTGTTTGCAGCACGCGCTAGAAAGAGAACGTCACGCTCACGCCGTAAATACGCGCAGGATTCGGGAGGGCCGGTTTAGACACAAATGTCACGGCGATAACCAACGGTAGCTGCATTTGTCCCACTTTGTTTGTCCTGCTGTCTGGAGGTCAGCGTGACCTTGTCACCTGCAGAGGGCAGAGGGTGGCCTGCATGGCGACAGCTGGGGTGGAGGGGATGGTTGAGGCAGAAAAAAACAAAAGGCGTGTGCAGAAATCCCAAACACAGTTTACCTTTGGGTGTAGCTTAGAGGTTGGAGATGATTAATTGTATTCCCCACCCTGAATGCAGGTGAGGAGGACGACAGGAAGCTGGAAATAGGTCGCAACAGAATGTTCTCCTGAACTTGCCTTGTCTGGATTTTCAGTTCAACTGTAAACACTTTGCGGCGATCAGCGGGCGTCAGGTGCACATCTGTTAATCTTATGCAGCATTTTTCTTCTTCTTCTTCCTCTGTTGTTTATTCTGGTGCTTTTAGAGCCCATAAGCCTGCGCCGAGGTGTCGGCACTGTTTACAGAATAATCAACAGTTTGGATGTTGTGACAGCTGAATGAAATGTCTTTCTGAGGTCCCTTCTCCTTTAATAGGCATTATTATCTTTCCTTCCATAGCCCTCCCTCGTACTATCCCCCACCCCACCTCCACTCCACTTTCCCTCTCCCCCTGATGCTGTCGCTGTCACTGCTCCACACGGTAAAGTACGGCGTAGTTTGGCGTTTTTGTCTCTCGCGCCACATAGGGACAGGCTAGCAACCACCCCCCCAGTCTTCATGGGTCTTGCTGAAAGTAGAGATTGCATTCCTCTCAAAATCCGACCTGCGAACCTGAAGCAGAGAAAGTCCTCATGGTCGTACTTAATGCCTCTTTTCTCGGTTGGAATGGGAAACTGCTTAGTCTGGCCTCTCAGAGCGGTAAGGCTTGTGGCTGTCCTCTCTGTCATCCGTGTTTCTTGGACTGTTTGACGGTTTTTGTGGCACAGTAGAAACATGCAGCAAGTAAACTGCTCAGATTACCATAATTTAACCTCTGTTGAATAATTTGATATAGGTCTGGGTTCAATATTTCCTAATGAAGCTCTTGGAAAAGGCAATGTGCGCGAGTTGCATAGTGTCCTAATGCAATATATTTTGTGACGCTGTTTGGTTCGCCTTTTCTCTCCCTCTGAGCATGTTTACTGTTCCTGCGACAGTGTATAGGTGTAAGGTGCCAGTCTGTATAAGTGTCAAGTAAACTGTTATGAATAATGAGTGGAAAGTTGGCAACATGTTTGTCTTATAGATGTATTTAGGTTAGTTTTCTGCTATGTCTTCATATATTTGACAGTGTTTTTCTTGTATTGACACGCAGCAAAGCTCAGCTGCTGCTCTAATGTCTGAAACACAAGTGAACAGGCTGCACTGCATTTTCATATTGCAGAGTAACAACGGCCTTGCGAAAGTGTTTGCACCCGCTGAGCATTTTCACCCTTTGACACCTTATTTTCCCAGTGTTCACTGTGAAAATTTGCTGGTAGTTTTGAAAAGTTTTCGCAAAATCTGTGTCGTGCGGCATGCATTTGTCATAAAGCCCCGTGATCAAACAAAAAGTCTCGTTGCCTGGTTCTAAAACTCACAGGAGGGATGATTGAAGCAAAAGCCATTTTTTGAAAATATCTTTTGTCATTTGTCATTTCTTTCTTAGAAGAAATGACAAGAAGAAGAAAAATTTGACTAAAAAATTTAATCTGGTATGAAAAGACTGGAGAGACGCTTAATCTTCCTTGGGAAATGTCTCTTGAGCTGTGGATCTCTATAGCTGTCCCGCGTTACCACCAGTTGCTTCTCTTACTCATCCCGTCCTCGCCTGGCCTGTCAGCTAAGACGTGCTCTGGTACATAGTCGTGCCATCCGACCGTTTCCAGGTGTCGGATGGAAGGGCTCTGTGAGATCTCCAAAGCTCGAGATATCGTTTTAACCCCTTACTCTCCACTTCTGTTCCGTCTGCTGTGTTCTTCAGTCTTCATGATGCCGTTTGTTCCCTGACGCCTTCACAGAGCAGCTGGATTTTTACACGGATGATTGTACTTGATTTTATTAGGGGCATCAAAGTAAAGAGGGCTTTATTGCAAATGCATGCCACACTTTCTGAAATTATATATGAATACAGCCACAAAATGAAAATGGAGTCATCTTGATATTTATAGAATGGCCAAGTCCAAATGCATCACATACTTTTTAACGTTTTTTTAAATTACTATTATTATTGTTTAAAACAAGTTCTTTGTTGCTCTAACATAAAATATTAAAGGTGCAGTAGTATTATGTAAAATTGAGCTCTACGTCATGTTACAGTGTCATTTCCTCATCCAAAACACACCTGGAGTGTTGCCTTGATTCGCTTCTCCGGTGGCAACCATTCAGCTGTGCAAATCGCCTGTTTGGATCTAGCCCCGCCTTTCAGGCACAGCTCCTCCTCGGAGCTGCAGTTTCTGATCTTCCAAAGCACTCCTCTCTTTACGTTCCCCCACTCCGCTCATTCAGACTAGCCAGGAACAATTAGCAAACACCTGGTGGAGCGGCACATCAGCTGAGCTCATTATAGGAGCTGCTTCTCAGAGCAACACTGATAAAAATATTGTTTAAAGGTTAATAGAAGCAATGGTGTGATGACTTCCTGAAGACAGCGTTTCAGAAAGGGCGGGAGTTTTTAAAGAGACAGAGGCCCAATTTCAAGGTGCTAAATCAGAAAGTAACATTTTAAAAGTCATGTTTAATATATAAAGCATTTTTAAAACAACTGAAGGGAAGATAGTTCCTTGACACTATGTGCCTAATTAACACATAATACTGTCTCAGCTCTTCCCGACACCTTGCTTAATTCTCCTCTCCCTTGTCTCTGCACACTTGTGGAAAGATGCTCCAGGACGCTGAGAGGAGACTCAGACTTGTGCTGTCTTGTGAAGAATCAGGGTATCTCGGGCCGTATCAGGACTCCATTGTTTCCGTGACACAAAACTGTGTTCTCGTGAGCAACATACTGGGACAAACCTGTGTCTTCCTGGGTAAAGGCATGGCAAAGTGCAGGCAGGCTGTACGTAAGTCTCTCACAACACGCTTGCATCTGCTGTCGTCATATTGGTGAAACTTGCATTTCTCTACTGGGAGTTACAGTAGCTCACAAATATATTGTGAGCGAGTTGTGGGTGAAAAAGTTAATTCAGCTTGACTTGTTGCTTTGGCCAAGCTATAGCTGTTGACTTGACTGCTGGCCTTAAACACAATACTATACAAGATAGACTTTCTGACTGAAAGGGGCTCGCAGCGTCACCCCTCCAACGCCGTGCTCTACATTGTCACCTTCTGCAGACACAGAGTTTTCTCACTCCCTCATGGTTTTTCTGTAGTCTTTAAAGAATTCATTGGCACCCCTAATGAATATGTACAAAATCCGTCATGCAAATAAATTCATCTTTAACAACTGTAGCATAATCTCACACTGTGAAAAGTAAAATAAATAAATAAATAAATTATTTGAGTGGGGAAAATAATCTCAGCTTAACGACTGTCTTTCTCCACCATTGAGCATCGTAGCTGAGAATTTGTGATGCTGTCTGCCTGTTTCTTCTCCGAACGTCCTTTGCCATAGATAACAGTGGGAATGAGGTGCTTTTCTATGTATCCATTTCTATGCCACACTAGGGTTTCTGCACAAATGTAAGACGTTTAAAGAAGCATTATGAGTGGAATTTCACAAATAAATCAACTGTATGAGCCAGTGGCTAAGATGAACGTCGTACAGCCAGCTGGCAATAAATTTGTACTTACCCACGATGGATGTAAAGAATCTAACCAGATTTATTTTCTGACCTCACTTCCAAACCATTGGTTAAGGCTGTGAAGACCTGGTGACCCCAAAATGTCACTCTTTGCTTTGGAAGTGAGAGTTTGAGATTATTTCAACAGGCAGAGAAAGAAGAAGGAAGGAATCCAAATGACTGCGGTCAGCACAATTCTCCTTTTGTAGGGAACTCCTTGACAATCAATTTCTTAAAACATCATGACACATCTTTAGCGGGGTTGCTGTCAGATTTAGCCCATTTGAGGCAAAACGTAGAAAGTTTACATTAGCTATTCACTTTAACAAATGTTAGCGGAGCTCTTAAAAATACTTTGTAGATGTGAAAGTCTCTTTTCGAAGATTACGCGGCTCAGAACATGTCACCCTAACGAGTTGGTATTGATGGGTTGACCCAGAAAGTACTGATGGTGTTGGGCCGCCTCGTTGTTTTCGAGCCTGTGTTTTCTGTGTCAGAGTTTCTGGTCAGTATGTACTTGGGGCCTGACGTCAGCACTTTGTGTTGTGTTTAGACGTCTCTCCACTCCCGCTGTTAACCCCTCAGTGCTCTGGGAAATGTCTGCTGCGCGCTCTTGTCCTTTTATTGTATACAGACACTAAAAAAACCCCAGTGAAACAGTAGCATTCTTCTTTGAACTGCATCTTTGAGGTTCCTGGTCCAGCACACTTTCCTCTAAAGCTTTGCTGTTCCCGTGAGACTTAGTTCCACTCAGCTGTTGACATTTTCTTACCGTTTAGCTGGAGCGTCTGTAGGAGCGTTGGAGAATGTTGTGGAGAAGATTCGGGATTCAGATTTTGGCATCACTTCCGTCACATTAATGTCAGAAGCATGTCTGCATGGAACATGTTGACAAAGGAACTTTATATCACTGTTGTAATTATGTTTGCTGTTTTTCATTTTTGTGCAATCACTTGATTTTTACCATCCAATTACAAGATGTTTCGTCTCAACAGGACAGAGAGCTGCGGCCAGAAGAAATGGACGGTAAGATTTTGTTTCTCCAAAGTACAGCCACTCATGTTTGAGCCACGCTGTTGGTGTATCACTATAATGTCTGCTGTTTTCGTCCCAACAGAGCTGCGAGATGCTTTCAAGGAGTTTGACAAAGACAAGGACGGCTTCATTAGCTGTAAAGACCTGGGGAACTGCATGAGGACCATGGGATACATGCCGACAGAAATGGAGCTGATAGAACTGAGTCAACAGATAAACATGAACTGTAAGCCCATAACTGGTGTGTGTGATGTATGAACAAAAGATCCCCATCAGAGGTTAATGTGCAGTCATCATGAACATAAACATCATCGTAATTTAGGGCACTGACCAACTTCAACAATGTCTGGAACTGGATGCATAACTTTGAACTGATTGTAAATGTTCCTCGACAAGCAAACTTATAGGTTCAGTCATCAAGCAAAATCTGAGCAAACGTCCCATGGAAAGTTTCACTTTGATCACATGATTTTTACAGCCACTAGCATATTGGACTAGCTCTATTAGAAAAATTTCTAAAACAAATTAAGATTGGTTGTTTAAATGTCACAAATCTATCTTTTATTATGGTCCATGTGTTTCCAATACGGATGAGGTCCAAACCATTACCAAGGCTAAAAGTTGTACCCTGCTTTTTCACTCCAAAACTATTTCTGTGTGAACATTATCCTGTTGGAACACCTTGATGTGTCCGACTACAAATCATATGATCCAGATTGATAGCATAAAGAAAATGGGTTAGGATGGATGTTCGATAACAAAGCCCAATCCTATCGCTATGGCTGCCCGTGAAGAAAGATTCTCTTATCTAAAAACTTACGAAAGTGTAAATAACCTTCCAGAAGGAAAGTTTTATGGTCACAGGAGATAAACATTGAGCCTCTCAGCCACAATGATAAGAAATATGTGTAGCAGAGTCAAAGTGGGATTTTCAACTGAGGATAATGATCAAAAGGACCCCCAGCGAGTCCACCTCCAAATGACTGAAAAAAACAAAACAAAATGAAGGTTTTTGGAATGGCCTAGTCAAAATCTGGATCTGATGCAAATGGGTTGGCTGTAAACAAGGCATACGTGGTCAAACACCCTCTAACGTTCTGCATTACAAATCGTAGCCATGAGCCGCATAAGTTTTACAGAAGTTTTTCTTAGATTTTTATCTATTAAAGGAAATGTGCAGTAGGTGTTTATTTTGGTTATTTTTGCCCAAAATTATACAATAACTTTATGCTGTGGGAACAATACAAAACCCACCAAAAACTAAAGTTACGCACCTCGTTTTTCTTTCATGCTGCTTAAAATGTCCCATAGAAATGTTTAAATGCATCATTAAAAGCCCAAAATGAATCAGCAATCGTGTTTATGACCCTAAATGTGTGCCCTGAACTGTGTGTAATTGTATCTGGGGTTGTTTTTGTCCATCTTACATCAGTGGGAGGTCATGTGGATTTTGATGATTTTGTGGAACTAATGGGCCCAAAACTCCTCGCCGAAACTGCAGACATGATTGGGATAAAGGAGTTAAAAGACGCATTCAGGGAGGTGAGGTGGTCTGACTCTTTGCTAGTTAGTGCACTTTCATAGCTTTTAACATTCATTTAAATTGTGTTGTTTTTGATTGTTGTTAATGTTACTTCTCTGCTTGTTACTCTCAGTTTGACACAAATGGGGACGGTGCCATAAGCACCACTGAGCTAAGAGATGCAATGAGGAAGCTATTGGGCCAACAAGTAAGTGATCACAAAGAAACAAAGTGAACTGGATTTTTAGCCCCTGTGTGTGGGGTTCTAGTTATTCTTTCTGACCTATTTTCCTCTTTTTCAGGTAGGTCTCAAAGAGGTAGAAGATATCCTGAGGGATGTGGACTTAAACGGTGACGGACTTGTTGACTTTGAAGGTAAAATGAGTTTCATCACCACTTTCCAGTGCCTTCAAAAGTATTCACGCAGCTGGAACCTTTTCACATTTCACCACAGTACAAGTCTAAAACTTCCAAACTTGTAATGGGATTTTGTGACTGCCGGTGCAAGGCTTTTGGGGTTGGTCTGTCTCAGCTTTGGAGATCTACTGAAGAAGCTTGTTCTGTGCAAAGCAGTTAAGCTCAGTCAGATTGGAGTTAAAACACTTGTGATCATCAATTTCCAATTCTTGCTGTAGATTCACAATTGGATTGAGTTACGGGTATCTAGAGTCTGAAGCTGTTTACAGCCTCTAATGGCCCTTTTCCATTAGCACCTTCTTAGTGCGGCTCGACTCGGCTCTGCGCGGTTGTAAGAGTTTTCCACTAGTTGCAGTTAAGTGGTACCAGCAGTCTGGGGAGGCAGCTCAGATTCCCCAGGGAGATTGTCATGCTCTGGCCAAACCTAACCACAGTCTGTAGCTTCTGTCAGAGCCACAGAGGACTGTCCTGTTGGTGGAGCTCACCCTCCTGTAGGAGGAAAGCATGGTGGCTGTCAATGAACGGAAGCATCCTAAGTATGGGGATCTGTGAGAAGATTGCAGGGAGGATGGAAGTCCACCATGTACTCCTCCAAAGTGGCATGTAGGGGCTTTGTTGAGTCTTCGTCTGCTCTGTGACTTGGAATGCACAGGAACATGATGACCGAAAGCCATTAAAGATCTGGCAGAAGAGCCAGAGAATGGCAGTGGCTGAGGAGGAAGGATAGGAGTTTGGGGGGAAATAACACTTAGGTTACCAACAAGGGGTGGCGGGGAAAGGTCTGTGTCATCGCCCCGCCCCCAGGAGACGTACTAAAGTTAAAGGAGCAGAACATTAGCCACCAGTGGTCTCTAGCTGATGCCGACAGGGGTATGCAGGAGAGCACACTTCCACAAAGGCACTGGTGGAGGTGTGTCAGGCAGCAATGCCTAACAGGTAGATCACTAACCTGTACTTGGGTAACGTCCAGATCACATTACGGTACTTTTCAGACTGTGGGACAGCCCGACCTCACTGACTAAAGTTGTTTATTGTAATGGAAAACCAGTCGAACTCCGTAGAGTAGAGCTGAGCCGAGTTAAGACGCACTTCTGGGTGCTAATGGAAAATGCCCATAACAGGCTTTCTTCCAGGATTGCCTTGTATTTAGCTCCATACATCTTTCCATTAACTCTCTGTATCTTTCCTGTTATGGCTGAAGAAAAACATCCTTACTGCATGATGCTATCACCCCCAGGTTTCACATTGCAGATGGTGTGTTCAGGGTGTTATGTGTTTTATGTATGTTGGCCAAAAAGATATATTTTGGTATCATCTGACCAGGCCACAATGTCTCTGTTCTGTTCATAAAATGTTACGTTTATGCGAACTTTTTTAAAGTATGCAAACTTTTGCAAGGATTTGTATTAAAGCTATACAACAGGGTATGGCTTAATTGTTGCATTTTGTCATTATTTCCTCTCATTCTTTTCTCTTTCAGAGTTCGTTCGAATGATGTCTCGCTAAGTTCGAACATCGGTCCTGAATGTGAAGCTTCTTCACGCTAAAACCACGTCCAACTAAAGGACACGCCAAGATCTACTGAGCCATCGAAATCTAAACGACACTGGAATTCAAACTCCTCGAATGTTACAGAGCGAGGGTTCCCCTCCCACTTTCAATCAATAAGTGTTCTTCCTGAAAACTTTTCAAGTTTGACCGAGGCAGAGTTTGCTGTAGCATAGCTAAAGATTGTCTAATTTATGTTTTTGCACTTTAACTGTCACTTAACAACAACTTCCTGTGTGGATAGATTGTCGGTGTCCTGTCTCAGATTCTACATGGTGTAACTAAGTGTCTTGCAAAATGTGTCAGCAGCATCAGAATAAGAGACTGAATGTAGGAAAGACAGAACATTAGCACTGTTGAATGTTTATATATTCGCACATCGTCTGTTGTATTAGAAATGTATTTGAAGGTACCTTTGTGCAGCAATGGTGCTTGACCAAGAAATCAAGGTGGCAATACCCACACCTGTAATGTAACTATGTGACCATGTGTAATTTTGCACTGTGCCAGACCTGTTCCAATGAAAAAGCATCGCTGTCTGACATGAAGCAAAGAGAGAAATCTGATCTTAATGAGACACAAATGTCTGAAATGTCTCCATATTTGTTATCCACTGAGATCAGCAGAAGAACAAAGGAGAAGAAGAAGAAAAAATACAGTGAATGGTGGACTTCTTAAGCTCGAAAGTTTGAAAAGTGCTCACCGACACCGACCAGCAATACAGCACATGTTAAAACTGCGTCTTTTTGTGTTAATGTCCAAATTCGCGAAAGCCTGTGAAGTAGAAACGGCTGTTTTTGGAAGTCTGTTTAGGTCAGCATGAGGTCACACACATGTCAACTGTATGTACAGTGGATCCGATCATGTTGTACCCGTCATTGTCGTTATGACTCGATGTGTGGTGACGTTCCCAACATCTGTGCTGTCGAACAATTTTTTATGCATGCCAAAGAGAGACATTTACTACATTTAGTATGCACAATTTTGTTTATAAAAACAGGAAACAAGATATTTGGACAAGTCAAACGTAGAAAAATAAATGGTGTTTACATTTGATCCCTTTTTACTATTGGTATGTGTGTTTTATTACACAGACTGTGTCAAAATATTACAATGTTGGTGACTGATGTTACTGCAGGTAGTGAGGACAAGGCTAAACTTAGCATCTATTATTTATGTGTGTCACTGATGAAGCTAGGAACCGGCCATGTGTGTTGCAGCAGTGCTGCTGTTATGTCATGGCATAGGTCTCCAGATGAAACCATTTGGTTTTATAACGCCGCTGTGTTCAAGTGAGAGTTCTCATTCATTTTGAGTGAGGATAATTTATAGATGCATGAGAAAAATAAAAAAATTGTGGTATATATTGAAGAGCTATCAAAGGACAGACTGCAGATTTTTACGCAACATTTTATTAAGGACTATAAAAGTTTGACTTTCAGTCAAGTTTTCATTAATATTCAGTAGTTGTTTACTTAGATTGTATTTCCATTTTATTATCTTTTACACCAGTTGATTGTATTCTTCTTGATTATTTCAGATTCCACCAGTATTGTTGTGATTTTAAGTCTCAATCTGCCTCTCCTTTTTATGACATATGTTTCATAATTTTCGCATGCACATATGTCTCCCTCTGTTTCCTCAAAACACCAGGAAGTTTCTGGGACATTTTTTCTGTTTCTGTTCTTCATTTTTACACACTTTGCCCTGTGTTTCTGACCTGTTCAAAATTAGTGTCACACTAATTTGTGTTAAACCTATAATAATAATAATAATAATAATAATAATAATAATAATAATAATAATAATAATAATAATAATAATAATAATAATTCAGGGACTCGTTTCTGGTTTGAAAATATTTCCTGTTGCCACAGTAACTACACCCATTCATGTCTTTCTGATTAAGTCTCATAAGCACAAGAAGCACGTTGCGTTGGACTCTCCTGATTGGACAACACTTGGACCATACCATATTGGAAAATAAAGGAGGGGGGGCGTGACATTAGGAGCACTTGTGTTATTTACCTTCAGATTTCTTTTACTTTTATTATTATTTTTGCAAAAAATAAAAAGTGGCGTCTGCAACTTGAATGGACGAAGAATAGTCATTAATTCAGACAAATTTAAGCAGAACGTGATGACAGGACCTGAATACTGTGGATCTTTAGCGAGGTTTCAGATGAGTGTAACACTGATTTTATGTGTATTCATCTATTTATTGCTCTCACCGGTCACACTCACACATGTCCACGACGCATAAATCGTACTCGTTGAATCAGGAAGCTTTAACAGGAAGCTGTGATTCGGCAGAGTGCCTGTCACTCCCCGCTAAAGGGAAACCTCAGGTTCGGTAGCGCCGCCGTTCCGCCTCCTTCAAACTGGCGAGTCGCTGTGGTTAGCAGCAGCAGCAGCACGGCGAATGTTACTGTGAATATCCACTCATTGAATGAAAGTCGGGGCCAGGCTGTGGCCATTCGCTGCAAACACGCCGAGGTTTTCTTACGGGGCGGCTGGTGGACGATTGGCGACACTGTGGGAGCATTAGTGCGACCGGTACAGCCCGACAGAAAGAGGTGAAAGGCGGTTGTGGAAGGGGAAGGTAAGGGACATTTGCATTTACGTTAGCCAGAGAGGCTTCCATTCACCAAGAATTTCTGGTTAGACAGGTAGGTTAGCTACACTGTCAAGCTAACTGATCAGCGTTCCTCGCTGATTAAGTGTCGGGTTTTTTGTTGTTGTTCATTAATTAAGAGCTGACGCGTCGCATGCGTGTCCAGGTTAAGTCGGAGCACTTGTCCGTGCTGTGCGGGTATAACTGTCATTTCCCGCATCCCCGAGTCACTGCTACTCTGTCCTGTTAATGTTAGCATAGTGGCTAACTTACGGATATCATGTTCCATGTCACCAACACACGCTGGCTAGCTGCTTTCGCTGGCTAACCTTGCGTGCTTTTAATGTTCCGAAGCTTCGGGCTTGGTTCGGAAAGATACCGACCCCCCCCCGGCTTTCTCTGTGACCCAGGAGCAGGGGGAAGACCGCGCGGCGTGTGAAGCAATGCAGCGGGTCACGGCGCAGCTCGTCGCCGGGCTGCTGGCAGCGGCGCTGTCTCTGCTGTCCGAGCAGTGCCGGGCGGACGGCGGGGGCCCCAGCCTCGCAGAGCGGGTTATCTGGGCTGTGAACGCCGGGGGAGACTCGCATGTGGACGTGCACGGTATTCATTTCAAGAAGGACCCATTGGAAGGGAAAATTGGTAAAGGTGAGTCTGCTTAATGGAAAACGTTTTTGTTTCATTTTTTTTTATTTCTGCAAATGAGTGCTTGTTCCACTTATCAGGCACAGGTCTCTAATAAAACATCGCTCAAATGAAGGCGCTTCTTTGAGTCGCTTGTATAAATCCTCTGCACCGTGTGGCTTCCGCAAGAAGCTACAAACTAATGAAGAGTCAGCATAGAGCGCTGCAGCCCCGCCCCTCTCAACATGGAGAGGAAGCAGGTGATGATAGGTCCAATTAGACGGTGGGAACTATACTGTCAGGGCCAGATTTACAAAGTTGAGGGGCCCTGGGCTGGAGCAAGTTCGGTGCCCATCCCACAAAACTCCCCCGAAGGTTTTCTGGCTTTCTGAAGGTGAAGCTAGTGCTTTTCTTATTCTGAAATCCCTATTTGGGAGCATTTTGTCCTTTCTCAGGAATCAGGCTAGTTTCCTGGGGCTATTGCATCACCCCGTGTTTCCTCAAGGGTGAAAAACACAGAGGTTTTCACCTCTAAATTCTTACCTACCAGAGTAGGTAGGAATTTACCTACCGAGCCTTACCAGGAACTTTTGAATGGCAGCTTACCAGGAACTTTTGAATGGAGTTTTGTGGAGGAAGAGAGCCAACTATTCATCTTTTTCCATACTATTATTAGTCACATCAATTCAAATAAGTCTACAGCTCATGTTGTTTGTCAGTGTAAACTGAAATAGATTTTAAAGTGTTGATGTAGAAGCTTACAGTAGGAAAAGTTAAGACATTATTGCCCTCTGAAATTGAAATTTTGACTGGAAAAGTCAGAGCTTAGTGAACAACTCTGAGATTACTTAATATGGGTTCAGAATCAAATAAAAGTTGCCAAATTAGCGATTTGTTAGCAGTTGTGATGCATTTTAAAATCCCACTAAACCAATGGTACACACAGTGCTGAAAAACATGCACTTGTGAAAATGTTCTTTTAGTGTTGGCTCTCCTGTGTTTTGCTTATGTCACTACTAATAGTTGCACAAAGACAGATAGCACTCTTCCCGACTTGCAACACAACACTCAACTCAGGTGTCATGTTATTCCCAGCTCCAAGCACCGACTCTTGAGACTAATCAAATCCCTGGTTAATCCTGCAGTGAAAGTAATAGCTTAGGCTTAGGGAAGGGGTCTGGAGCTGCAGCCCTCCAGGCCTGCTGGGCTGCAGCCTTTAAAGTCATAGTGACTTTTAGCAAGTTTTAAAATGTAGTCGCTGTGGCAGAAGTATAGACTGTAACTCCATTGCTTTTATTTTTGCAACGGGAGAGTCTCTCCACAACACATTCAGCTGTCAAATGAGATATTGGTCAACACCTGTGCAGTGTGGGGAGTTACCAGTCCTTACACTGGGATGGTGACGGCTCTGTTCTGGACTCCACAGTGGAAGCGTTTGCCTAATAGCGGCCAGACGAAATGACATTTCCAAAGTGGGTAAAAAGTTCCAGGCTTCATTGGCAAAAGACAAATTCAGTCCTTTCTAAGAAGTGAACACCAGGATTGAAAATGGATGCATGAAGAATGTCCTTAAAGTTTAAGGTTGTTAAATGTGACGTTTTAATGGTTGGTGTTTTGTGAGATCATTTTGTTATCGGGATAAACATGGTCCAATGAAAGTGGACCATGTTTGTGGAAATTTGTCTCAGATGTTACAAAAAAAAACAATGTTTGACCTAACTGAAGATGAGCATATAAAGAAAAAAAATTTTTAACGCAGTACTGGATTGTTTTCTACATACAAAATAATCAGATCTGAAACATTTAATCTACATCTGAACGGTCAAGATTATATCCTCAATTTTACTTTTTTTTTTTTTCACCAAAATCGCAGAAGACAAAAATAATGACTCATAGAAACAAACCAGGCCGCTCTATTCAGCTACAAAGTAGAACTAATAGTTATAATTAAGGTAACTTTTGGTTGTCAACATCCCACAACTTTCAAACACTAATCAACATGAACTCAAGTAAAGAGTTCTCTGAGTGTTTTGAAGATTAATCTTATTAATTTGTTTATGTGACCTTGTTGGTACTGATTGACAACCTGACAGTCATTCAGGTGGAAAGGAGTAAATTTTAAGTTTCGGTTTGGATTTTTGGGGGCGTTTTAACAGATTTGAGAACAGAGGGAGTGATATTTAAAAATATTAATACAGTTTTATTACACATTTATTTCTAACTTCCGTTTATTATAAATGTATAAACCCAGATGATAAGGGATGAGATGGACTCCGACTGTTATTTTCTACCTGTAGTCCTCGCTGAGCTACAGAGAGTCAGGCAGTTTATCTCTGATTGTGGCAATAAGGGAACACAGAGTCATAACTCTATTTCAGACAGAATGCGATTATTCAGATGTGTTTTGGAAAAAGGCTCACTGCTTATGTAATGCTTTACTTTGCTTGACATAAAACATTGTCCGGTTTTGGTATGCGAGAAGTCCTGTGAGCCTGACGCTGTCCTCCTCTGTAGCATCTGATTATGGGGTGCGTCTGCCAATCCTACGCTCCAGTCCTGAGGACCAGATTCTCTACCAGACAGAGCGGTACAATGAAGACACTTTCGGGTATGATGTCCCCATTCGTGACGACGGAGACTATATACTAGTCATGAAATATGCAGAGGTTTACTTTGCACAGTCACAGCAAAAGGTATGGCGGTTTGTTATTCAGACATGCTGAAGTCAGGTCGTGTGTTTTTTTTGCTTGTTGGTGTGTTGAGGGGCTGGAGTTCATGCATGTTGACCGATTTGTCAATGTGTCTCCCTAGGTGTTTGACGTCCGTGTAAACGGCCACACTGTGGTTAAGGACCTGGACATCTTTGACCGAGTGGGCCACAGTACCGCTCATGATGAGATAGTGTCGTTCTCTATTAAAAAAGGCAAGCTCAGCGTGCAAGGAGAGGTGTCCACCTTCAACGGCAAGCTCACAGTGGAGTTCGTAAAGGTGAGTGGAAGTTATGTGGGGAGGCGCCGTATTTCTTGATGTTTTTATGTCACCGTTGGATAAACTTTTGTTTTATTATGTATGATAGTGGGCCCTTTACCCAGGGATGCACCCACAAATAAGCTCCAATTCCCTGACTTTTTGTTTCTCATTCAATCAGTTTTAATTAATCAGTTTACATGCGTCAGTAAGTTTGAAAGGCTAATAAATGTATTCATAAACACAAAAACAAAGCATGTTATATCTATGATTTCAATGTGTTTTTGTTGGCTTTATAAACACAATACAGTTCATTATATTTTCTGCTTTTCTTCATTTCGGTTAACATTTTCTCGAATGCATATTTCATTATTTTGTTAGTTTCTAGTTTACTGTAAAGCCTCAGTCTGCAGGTACAAATCTTGCCAACTTAGCAACTTTGTCGGCAAAAATCAGAATCGGCAGGTCAGACTTTTTAAAGATCGGTGATCAGCCAGAAAGCTGCACCCCTGGTTTCAACCATTTAATTGTCTCCTTTGATTTTTTTTTAAAATATATATATAAACGTATCTGTCATAAAAATGGTCCATTGTATCATATCTGTCAGAAACATGCAGATCACCTTCTGGGGAGCAATGGCTGAGTTTGACCTGAGTTTTTGCTAGATTGTTTTGGGGTGTTTTTAATTTAGGTTTCATCAACTTTGCTTGACGATCCTTAAAACAGAAAAGTACCTGCCGTTATTTTCACAGCAACAGAAACTTTTGCTTTCTGTTTCACTTCATTTTAGTGTTTTTTTTTTTTTTTTTTTTTTTGGTGCATCCGTTTCCTATAACCTCCTGATATTCATTTCTATTTGCTTAGTTTGTTGGCCGAACTGCATATTGTTTCAAATAAAATTGCAGTCTTAACAGTTAACCCAAAATTTTGAACTGTAAGATTTGAACTTGGATTTGTTTCCTGAAATGAAAGATCTGATTCACTTCATGTTTATAGCAACTGGTACCATCAAAAACCTCAAGCTTATTTTCTAATTTTTTATTTTTTTAAGAAACAAAAATGAATTGCTTTGGAAAAAAATCAGAATATACTTTGTTGATCCCCAAGGGGGAAAAAAAAGTCTATCACAGACTGTCAAGCACAGAGGTGGAGGAGTTATGATCTGTGTCTTGGTGTTTTCTGAACACTGACCCGGTCAGTCTGAATGTTTCCTCCCATAGCAGCAGATCTACAGCAGAATAAACAAACACTCAGGCCGTTTCAGTCTTTCTTCATTCAGGCCATTTACATCATGTTGACTACCTGAACCGAAGACTGCAGAGTCTGAATTTTTATTCAGAATTCATCAAAAACAAGTTTATCTAATCCTATAAGTGTAAGAATGAAGTGGGGCTGACAGCGAGGCTGTATGTGACTCTGATGCTTTACTCATCAGATGTGTTGAGGTTTAAACCCAGATAAATTAAACCCCTGCAGATAAAACGGCTCACTAGTTCTACACCACTGCATTAGCCCAGGCTGACTTTAAAATAGAAAATGCACAGCTAGCATTTGATTTCAGCTAACTTTGCTACTTGCCATATAAATTATACACACCCCTGATTCACACTCTTTGATGCAGGGAGTTCAGGAGCTGTTTACAGATTGGTGCATGCAGGGATTAAAAATAATACAAATGTAAACCAAAAGGTTGGCAAGCAAAAGAATTCAGGCTGAAACAGTAAAAGGTGACATGTTCCAAAAAGGGTTTTACAGCGGTCTTTCCCCCCATCTTGGAGAATAATTGAACAAACTTTCCTTCCCTCCCTCTGAAACGAGGCACACTTACTGTTCTACTTCCAAATGTTGAAGCGCCGCTACGGGGAAACTCAATTTAGGTTATTAAGGCAGGGAGCAAAAAAACAGAAACCAAAGTGTTTTATAATTTCTATATTCTCGAACATTGTGGCATGATTCTCTAATCCTTTCATTGGTGCAGCATCTTTAAAACTCGGTGCTGTCTGACCACTCTGCTCTGTGATTCAGGGTTACTATGACAACCCCAAGGTCTGCGCGCTCTACGTCATGAAGGGGACTTTGGAAGGTGAGTCTCCTAAACACGCTTGGATCTGTGCAGCGTGTTCTGAGTCTGTGGCTTCGAAAAGTATTCATGCCCCTGGAAAGTGTTTTGGGTGTTTTAGCCGATTAATCGCTCATCGCGACTTTCTTAACGGCGAGTATGAAAACCTTCACAACACGCCGTTTACTTTGTTACATAAGTACAAACCTGCTTCATGTGCTTTTTTTTTTTTTTTTTTTTATCTGCCTTGTGCTTAAAAGATGTACCGAAGCTTCAGCCTCACCCCGGCCTGGAGAAGCACGAGGACGACGAGGAAGAGGAGGAGGAAAGCGAGGAAGGGGGGAAGAAAAAGGTCCAGCCGGGCTCCAAGTACAGGGTGCAGTCGGGCCCCCGGACGCCGAACCCCTACGCAGCCGACAACAGCAGCCTAATGTTCCCCATCCTGGTGGCGTTCGGAGTCTTCATCCCCACGCTGTTCTGCCTCTGCCGGCTGTGAACTGGAAATAACCGAGGGGAGGGGGGGGAGACGCCACAGCAGGCAGAGCATAGAGAGAGAGAGAGAGAAAAAGAGAGAGAGAGAGAAAGGAGGGGGGAGGATGGAGAGGAGGTCACCGTGACAACAGCAGCACAGGTACAAGCATCCACACAGGAGAGGGAGCCAAAGGCCGGAGGAAAATCATGACGGAGGGCAAGAAGAAAGAAAAAAAAAAAGAGAAGTTATCGGAAAGCCACTGCCAGATGAAGCGAAGCTTTATTAGGAAAACAACAAAAAAAGAAATGTGGGAAGTGTATTCTGCACGCTTCTTCGAATGTGCTTCGCATCCACCTCTGCTGACACTTTTTTTTTTTCTTTTTGAACAATCTTAGTCATTTCCATTAAAAAAAAAGAAAAAAAAACAAGAAACCGGCTGGGCAGGATTTCCAGAAGTTCAGCCGTCATGCAAGTAGCCACAACTCTGCAGCTCAGAGATGCTCAGGAGTGATTTGGGTCTGGGCCAATTTTTCTAAACAAAAACACTTGGTCTTCGTACGGAGCGCGACGCGGGAGAGCGCTCCCTCACAACTCCTGCTTAGCATCCGGTCAGACGCGTTCGGCTCAGATTGAAAACGGTGCTGCTTGGAAATTGGGTATCTAGAATAGAAAGTGTGAATGAGACGGTTTGTGTGTGTGTGTGTGTTTTTTGTTTGTTCAGATCTTGCTGGCCTTCTGTCGTCTACCTGCCATACGACGCTGAAAGATGGAGGGAGTCGCGCTTGAACCAGCTCCGTAGCTGGCACTTCGTTTGCTGTCCTTGCCTCTACATGAACACATTTTATCACGATGCGTTAAAATGCATTAAAAACAAAACCGTCTTTGGAGTCATTTTCACACAGATCCTGATTTGCACTTGTTAGAATCGACCCAGCGCATTTTAAATCGATTACCGCTCCAAACGTGGATACGTCGGGAAGCCTTCCCAAACTATTCGTCATTGTTCAGAGACGAAGTTTGTGCTGTGAAATGCTGAAGTATCCATAAAGGTCATACAGGTGCAGCTCAATAAGTCAGAATAGCAGGCAGAACATTTATTTCAGAAATTTGGTTCTAAAAGTGAAGCTTGTGTAGATACTTTTTTAAAAAAATATGGCTTACAGTTAATATCCCAACATTTCAAAAGATATATTTAATACAGAAATGTTGGAAAATATCTCCACCGCTGCAGTCTCTCCAATCGAGTACAGAAACTAGGATCAGCGACATCATCGTTTTAGAAAACAAAATGTGCATCTTAACAAATATTGTCGATTCCTAAAACAACAATCCAAGTCATTTTTTAAACAAAGATGTAGGCAAAAAAAAAAATGTTTGGCAAAAAATGGCTTTGATTGTTATTTTAGGAAGGTGACGATGTGCTGTGAGATGATGTACTGACGTTGGACTCGATTTAAGAAAATAATACCTGAACGACACTAACAGTTGAAATGGCTTTTACGAAACGGTACTTTTGAAGCGTCGCTAATCATCTCCAAAATCTTAAAGCTGCGCCAGTCCGTGGTATTACTTCCTCCTCTCCTGCCACACTTTTTCCTTCCACTCGATTTTTCATGAATACGGACTCAGACCAGCCTTCTTCGTCCTTTTGTAGGCCAAAATGACTGATGTTTCTAGAACAAAAAATTCATTTTGCTTTGCGGTTTTCATTCGCTGTGAGCTGCAGTAGAATCTTGAACTGCATGTCTCTATGGTGGATCTACGCAGAGGTTGTTAGTTTTCGATCCAAATTAAATTACTTAAATGATCAAACTTTTTAATACATTTATTGTGTTGCACCTGTAGAGATTTTTTTCAAAATGTTTTCTCCATACATTCTCTGTTTCACCAAAGACTTTCCGCTTTTTCTTCTTCAGCAGACGGAGGAGTCGGCCGGTCTCATTTCAGTGAGCGCTTTTCTCCAAATTGCCAACAACATTTGTAGAGAACGCCGTTTGTCTAAAATTCATCAAACGGCAGATTACAGTTTGACATTTTTCCCAGCTTCTTCTAGGTAGTGAATTTTCTGTCATCTTCTTAAATCGAGGATGTCTTCTCTTCGTGCCATAGACCTGTCGCTCCTCTGTCTCCATCGAAGCCATCGTCTCCACGTTCCAAGCGTTTCGTTTCCCGTCCCAACCGGCGCCCGCTCCGCGTCTCGCAGGTTCCCCTTGTTCGCATCACAACTCTGCCGGCGGGGGGAGAAAGCACAAGACTTAGAAATATCTGATGTCTACCAACTTGCTACACGCGTTTTCCTTTTGGCCTTTTCAAGCTGTTTTGTCTTAAACGTTTGTTTTTGTGTTTTTTTTCTTTTTTGGTCGAGTCCTAGTGAATCTTCCTGTTCATGAATCTACTTACCTCTCCTAAGTGCTTTTGCTCTTACGCAATGAATGACTTCAGCTCTCCTTCTCTCAGCCTTTCCCTCTCCAGCATATGAAAGTACTTTTGTACACTGGAGAATTCACTTTTAAGCAAAAGTACCGTTTACGGTAATCTGCTGTAAGCGGTAATTCAGGTGGGAAAAAGAAAGGGAAAAAAAATTAAAAATCAGATGTTGGGGATCCTTCCACAGTTATCGATTCTCCTCTCCCTTTTCTTAATTTTTTTGTTTTGATACACGATTTTCAAGAAGTTTTGTCCCAGAACCTGTTGGGTCGGTCGATTTTGCAGTTCTGCCTCGGCTGTTTGTGTGTTTTTTGTTCTTTTTTCCCCCTCATTGAAATTGGAAGCAGCTTTTCTTTCTTCTGTAAAGAGGCCAAGCATTCGATTAGTTCAGCGCCAAAGTCACTATTCTACTTCTGCTCTATATATGCGGTACGGAAACTGGTTTTGGTCTCATCGTCTTTGGGGTCTCCTGTCGTCGTTGTGGCCGAGGGGTTCGTTGGGGTGTTCAGATTTGTGGCCTTTCTTTCTGGGTGGGGGGAGGCGCGCTCCTTGGTATGTAGCGTAACTGGGGGTGGGAGGCAGGAATGACAAAAAGCCACATTAAGTGGCTGTTTAGAAAACGTAAGATGTCAGGATGATGTGGGATCTAATTTAAATTGGAGCGTGGGCTGACTCTGAGATGTTTTATATTATGCCTGGATTTTTTTTTCTTTTCCTTTTTCTTCCTCAGGATCTGTTTTTGAGTTCGTGAAACATATTTTATTGGTGTGACATCTTTGCACTGCCTCATGTCATGTTTTTAATTTTTTTTTGTTTTGATTTGTCTTTTTGTTGCCTTGAATTGTCGAATACATCGTGCTTCACCATCGTTCGCCTTGAGATTGCTCGCTCGCTCGTTGCGCAAGAACATCCTGGCTGCTTTTGTCGTCGGAACAGTTTTCAGGGATTTCTCATTCCACGTAACGGCGCGCGCGCTAAGAAGCAGATCAGCAGAATTATTACTCCTAAAGACTCACTGACCTCAATTTTACAAAGGAGCAAAGCCAGTCAAGAAACAAGAGAGAAAATCCATCCTGCTCTGATTTCTAGGACCTGTTGTCTGTCCATCTCAGCTGAATGAACTAGACTGTAGTTTTTTTTCTTCTTCTTTACCACACAAGAACCAAAGAAATGTCATCATTCCATCTAATTTCTTTTATGAAGTCACACAAGATTGATTTCAGTGAGAGATGAATCAATCTCTCTACTTCAAATACATTTATTTTCTTTCATCTCGCCTGATTAATTGAAAAATGTCCTCAGATTTTTATTTTTAAACCCCGTTTCTCCTCCTTGATGACTTTAGAAAAAAAACAACAACAAAAAAAGCCAGAACAGCTCGTGTTGTTAATAACAAATGTTCACTGGCGTCTTTGCTTTCGTCCTCCCCTCCACCCAGATTAGCTGAATGAATTGGACTCGTTCACAGCGAGACGCGGCTGCAGAGCGGAGCAGCTCCCGGCTCGTCAGCCGCGCCACCAGCCAGGTCCGCTGCTGGTCACGCGGCGCGATTGTGTGAGAGAATGAGGTTGCTTTTTGCTACATGCATCCCGTCATACTGTAGATACACGTGTCGGAGAAACATCCGAGAAGGCGGCGGTGGCAGCAGCAGCAGGTGGACTGACAAAACATTTGTAAGACCTCTGATCTCGTGATGCAGATGTGGCATATTTCAAGATGCAAGATGGGGGGGAAAATTGCTGATTTATGCTGTATCTTTTTAATAAATGTGCTATTTTTATCAGAATTTGGCCTCAAATAGTTTTCATTTTGTTTTGGTCTCCAGCGAGACTGAATGTGTTTTCGTGTCGGAGTACAGGAGAGTGCGTTGCTTCTCCTGTTTGTCCAGCTGTTTCCCTCAACCTTCGTCCCACCAGCAGCTCCCGTCTGATCCAGGTGAACTGAACCCCATCCAGGACTGATGCAGATGAAATGATGTCAAGAAAATATTCCAGTAGTTCATTTTTAAGATAGTGAAACTTGGTGTGTTGATTTGTAACATTTCTGATCGAATTGAGGCTGAAAACCAAAATTCAGTTTGAAATTCAACCCTAAATATTCAGTGAATATTTTCATTTTAAGTAAGGCTATAAATATTCAGCAACTTCTTAATAAAAATGAAAAGGGGGGAAAGGTCGCATTAATTCTAATGTACTTTATTTCCATTATCTTTTTTAAGTTCTCATTTTTGTTGCTGGGAATAGTCTCAGATTTTCAATTAAATATAAACTAACAGGTTTTCCATCTTTTTAGAGAAAATATAGTAAGTTAAATTTATTGCTGAGCAAATGGGGAGGAAGAAAAATTCTCACAAATTATTTTGTGCTTTTATTTCTTGGAAAAACATGTCTGTCTCCATACGGTGCCTTGAAAACTCTTGGAATAAGCTTTCGTTCAGTTTTTCTACCACACTTTTTCCTTCCACTAAACTTAAACATCCAACGTCGTTATCAATCAGCCACTTATGGTTTACAAAATAACTAATATAAGTGTAACCAAAACTAATAGTCTCACACCATTTTTACAGAACTTTTATCACCAACGAATGACAAAATAAACTTTGAGCAAAATATGTACATAATATACTTTTATATATACATATATATATATAATGTTTAGCTTGCAAAACCACTATAAATTATGAAACTTGACATCGAAGTGCGTAATACTGTTAACAGTTTTGAGTTTTTCTGATGGATGAAATGCTTCCACACTGCAAAGTCCCCTCTTCATGTGTAATACACAGCCATGAAGGGAGCGTCTGAGAGATGAACGCCCCCACTGTCACAGGGGACCCCCGATCCGGCCCAGCTGCAGCCCAGAACCAGGCCCACGTCCCGAGCCAAAGTCACACCGTTCCCGTCACGTCGCGCTTCTCCATCGGCGCCCTGCACAATTCCTAAAGACGCCTTTCCGTCCTCTCTGGGCCGCGGTCTCCCCAGCTGCGCGTTCACCAAGCCGCGGCCTCGGCCTCCGTCGCCGGCCGCCTCCTGCAGGAGCCGGAGGAGGAACAGGAGGTCCACTCTCAGCTCCACCGCGTCACCACGTGACGCTACGCTGTACCTGCGGTGCAAAGAAACGTCACATTCCAGGATCAGTTTGTTCCTTTTTCATAAAGGTGTGGAATCCCATCTAAAACAGAGAGAGTCTTTTACCTGGTCGGTAAGTTCCTCTTCGCCAGGAAGGGGATGACCGGGCTGATGTCGAGCCGCCGCGGGTTGAAGAGCTGCAGATGAAGCTCGGCTCTGGAGGCCGTCGTCACCAAGACCTCCCTGGTGAGGACGAACTCCACACCTGCAGCTGGAGGGGGAGGGAGCAGAGCATTGGGTCCGGTTCATTCCAAAGGGAAACGCGGTGGGAAAATGTGCAGCAGGGAGGATCACACGTCACAAGGACCCAAGCCACGAATTCCCACAATTTTCAGCTTCTGATCCACAAAATAACAGCGGAAGAAACTCATGACCCAATCAATATTTCCATCCATCAGCCTCTGAAGTGAGACATTTATTTTGAACAAACAAAAGGTTGAAGAATCCAACTATGTCTCACATTATGCATATTTACACGTCTAGTTTTTACTCGTCACAATTTCCATTCTTTCCCAATTATATAAATGCAATTGATTTATTTATCCTCGTTGATCTCTACTGGAAACCTGAATAATTTATGGAGAGAATGTTGGACCCGGCGAGGATTCCTCTGTATGCCGATGACACAGTCGTCTTCTCAGCCGCAGTAATCGGGGCCTCAACACCCAGAGCGCCGCTTCACGTTTGGTTCTTCTTACTCAAAGCCAACTCGTGGCATTTATGAGCTCACCATGGTTCGGTCTGCGTCTTCCTCACATGTGGTGGCTACGCATCATTTCCTCTTTCGCAAAGCCTCTCCGGTGTCAGAGAATTGTCTTGCCTTTAAACCAAACTCTTAACTGCAACACTGTCAGTGTGGTTCTCAGCTCGACCTAAAACTGATCACATTTGCATTTCAAATGTTAGGACTCAGAACCGGCTCAGACCTTACAGTGGCACTAGCCCAGGGCTCCAAGGCTTGGGGGCGGAGGGTGTGCAACCCATAAAATAAGCAATAAAATAATTAGATTCTTGTCTCAGGCAGTTTTGACTTAATCCTTCACTGCAGTAACAGGCGCTTGTTTAAGTATCTGCTCTTTATTTTTAATCCTCCTAAATGTCACTCACTCTCAGCCTGAAACCACGTTCACAAATTGGGTCAAAAATGAGGAAAGCAGCAGTATTTCTAAATCACGTGTAATAAAACATGTGCTAACAAATGAAATCAAGGGTTGTCTAGGATTGTCCGGAAGATTTTTTTTAAAATTGAAGTTCTGCCAAATAAAAAAATGTTAAAGGTTAGTGGATGCGCCCCATCGTCACAGGAAGCTGCAGGGCCGCTTCCGGTCAGGAGGAAGGTCCAGAGGAGCTTGTATGTTCTCCCAGTGCGTCTCTCCGGCTCCTCCGTCAACGGGCCAAAAGTCAAAACCACATGAACTTGAATCTCTACACGGTTTACATAAAATTATCGGCAAGAACCGGAAGTATTTATAAGGTCGTGTTTCCTCACCTCCTCTCAGTCTGCTCTGGATCCCCTTGACGCTCCTGCAGCCCGCTCCCTCCTGACAGCAGCGGTAAACCCGCCGGATGAAGCCGAAGAGCGGCTTCCCGGGAAACACCGGACCTCGCGACGCTCCGTGTTGGAAGGGCCGCGCGCGCAGCTGCAGCACGGCGCCTCCGCGCTCGGGAGCTGGGAGCCGCCAGTTCTCCAGCCAGGCGGCTCCCAGCTCCGCGCAGCGCTCCCCGTGCGCCGCGGTGGCCACAGCGCGCCTCCACCGCCTCACCCCGGCCGTGCGTAAAACCTCTCCAAACGGTTCATCGCGGGCTCGCGGAGTCCGTAACAGAAACCCGAACGAGTCCACTGCGCGACCTGAAGCCCCGGCGTCGCTTGTGAGGAAGACGACGACAGAAACGATCCATATGCAGCTCGAAGCAGCCATGACGACACCTTCAACTCTCTGCGCTTTTTGGGGGGTTTTGAGCCGTGACTTCTCTCCTCGCGCTATATACCCCACTGACAAAGGGAATCCCGACCCTCCTCACGGTGGCTGTACCCCTTCTACCCCACCTCTCTCTCTTTTTTTGTCCCTGCGCCTTAACTACCCATTTGACCCCCCACCGCGTCCTTCTAATGCGCCTACATAATGAGGCGCCCCAAAGCGCGCCGACCGGGTCCATTCAAATTCAGCCAATCAGCTAATGACCCTAATCAGCGCGCGATTGGAGCAGGCTTGTTTACGGCACATTGAAACCCCAACACGGCAGAACAAAACGTAAACTCACACATCAGTGTTTGGTTTTTACACATGCTGCTGCTTCTTTATTTATTTATTTAGCTTGAATCCTTTGGGAAAATAAATGAGAAGGGGAAAAAAAATGGAGGTAAAATTTGAGGGTCATCTCAAATTGCTGCTCTCAACATGAAGAGACTAAAGCTCCTCACACAAAGCCTGAAGTCTGAGCCATTTACTGCAACTCCTTCAAAGGATTGACAGATCACAGTACCTCACTTAAACAAAAAACAACAACAGCGAGAAGATCTGGGAAATATTTGATGGTTTTATTACCAATAAACACAAAGGTTGCAGCGACGCCATTAATAAACATGCCGTTGCTTTTCGTCTTGTCAGAAGAAATAGAAAATACAGGAGCAACGTAATCTGCTGCAAAACAGAAAGTATCGCCAGCATGGGAATGTACAGTGTGTAAACAGACTCTTAAGAGACTCTTAAGCCCACGTATTACAGTAAAGCGATGTATAAATGACCCAAACTGAGGATGAACGCCGAAAGCGACTTCAAAAGTATTCACACCTCTTAACTTTTCTGGCATTTCGTCGCAATGAGCCGATGCTGGAAAGCGTTTGCTCTCGGTCTTAAAGGGAATGTCTCTTTCAGCTTCGTACATCTTAAGACTGAACATTTTGCGACGTCTTCTTGGTCAGACTTTGACTAGGCCATTTCAAAACCTGACTATGCTCTGATCTAAATCATTGCATTATAGATTGCTATATAACAAATTTTAAAAAAGGCACTGTTAGCTTTTCTGTTTAAATATTTAAGGCAGTAATAACGTTTGGAAACAAAGTGCGTCTTACCGTAGAATAGTCAGTGTGTTCAGGGGAAGTTCAGCAGGAACGACAGAAAACATTTTATCAAGGACAAAAGCTTGATCAAAATCCTTCAGCGGGTTCTTTTTCTATTCATTTGTTTGTTAAACGGAGTTCTGAATCCTGCCGTCCGTTCACAGCAGGTTGACCCCGTGTTTGAGGAGTCTGTGCCGGGCCTTGCTGGGCAGCGAGAAGGCGCTGTCCTGCTGGTTGGGAATGCCCGAGTTCCTCATGGATCCGCCGTGCTGCTGGAAGTAGGTCTCCTGCGCCACACTGCGGGCGCCGTACACAGCTGTGCCGGCGCTCCTGTGGTGACGAAAAAAGCTCTATACATCAAACATGACTTAAAAGAAATTTGACATGACTTAAAAGAAATTTGACTTTGTAATTCAGTGCCTGGAAATTGGACCCTGTCTCTTTAAAAACTCCGCCTTCAGGAGGTCGTCACATCGTCGTTCCTCTGTTAACTCTTTAACAACATTTCTACCAGCGTCTTACTGACTAGTAGCTCGTATAAAGAGCTCAGCAGATGGCGTTTCAGCAGGTGTTGCCAATTGTTGCTGGCTAGTCTGAAGGAGCTGAGTGGGGGAGTGTGCTGTGAGGCGGCAGCGTGGAAACTGCAGCTCTGAGGAGGAGCTGCGTCTCGAAGGTGGCCGTTCAACTTTGCGCAGTTGAATGGAGGCCGTGGAGATTAAAAGATTTCTCAAATATTCATTACTGACTCAAAGCCAACACTGCAGCAGATGAAGGAAGAACATTGCAACACAACGTTAAGCTAAAAAAAAGTCAATTTCACATGATGCTCCTCCATTAAGACAAGACATTAAAAAACGTACATCATGAATGTTAAACACGGAGAACCTGACAAAAAAAAACTCCTCCCCCGACCTCAGCTGTGCTGACCTGATAATAGCCTCCTGCAGAGTCTCAGTGTCAGAGAAATGCGAGTGGAGAAGCGATGTGGCTCGGACAAAGGGATACTCCGGGGCTCCCCCTGGTCGGCCAGACATGTTGGCTGCAGACACACACAATGACACAGGACCATTAACCCGGCCTGAGCATGTCTCCTGCACAAAGGAATGCTGATCACAGTTTTACTAATTAGCCGTTAGCTCATTCAATGGCAAGACTCCCTCCTCAGATCCCGGCTTGTGCTTGCTCTGGCAGAAAAAGTTCAAACCTGGAAGATGTCTTACTTGTCAGAGTGCTCTGGACGGAGTCGTAATGGGCGAATAAGTAAGGCCCCGCGGCGCCTGGGGCCACAGGAGATATGGCCCTGAGGTGGGCCTCCAGTCCATTGAGCGAAGCCAGGCTGCTGTGGTTCTGGACATGGGCCACAAAAACAGGGTCAGTGTAATGTCAGAAAAAGCTTGAGAATGGCGTCTACGTATAGAGGTCGTTTTCCTCACCACTTCCTCCAGGGAGGCAGAGTCGCCCATGAAACGAGGTTCTACCAGCAGAGCCAGCACCAGACTGTTGACCCGGTGCACGTACAGGACCATGGGGATCAGAGGACTCTCCTCCAGGCTGTCGAAAGAGCAGGAACCAGAAGAAGGCTGCCTCATCGCCGCCTTGTGACCTCTGGGCTTCCTGCAGCAGACTCTGCTCTCTTCCACTGCCATCTTTTCGTTAAGATGGAGGGATTCCTCGAACGCCGAGCCATCTCCTTCGCTGGGCATCTGGCTAACTCCACCTCCGCCGCTGTGAAGACTGTGACAGTGCGACTCGTCCGGTGTTCCTCCCTCCGCTTGATGAGCGTTCCCTCCATAAGAAAAACGGTGGATCGGTGACGGAGGAGACGGGTCGGGGGAGTTCCCAGAAGAACCTTGTGACGGAGCCGGACAAAACACGGAGTCTTCGGAGCCCGACGTGTGCGGGCTGAAGGACGCCCTCTGAGGGGACTGACAGGATGCTGGACGAGACGGCGTCGACTCTGATGACGGGGTGTCCGATAAAGTTCTGGAAAGCCTGGTCTTCTTTGGGGGAGCGTCTTTCTCCGGAGCAGAGTGGGAACTGGAGTGAAGAAAACCGAACCGTCAAAACTCTCTTTTTAAGACGTTTGACTGCATCAGATGTGTTCTGTTGAGTGGAGGTGAGGTATGAGCGATATGTGTCGCGTCACAGACTGGGCCAGACTTTACGAAGGGCTTATGGGGCGGTCGCCCAGGGCAACAATTTTCTGGAAGAGACCAGTTCTTTTATATGTATACATATTGGTTCATGTCAGGTGAGATGTAATGATCATTTTAGATTTTTATTCATTTAATAGTCATTTTTGGGGGGGTGTCTAAGGCACAGGTGTCGTACTCCAGCCCTCAAGAGCCGCAGTCCTGCAGTTTTTAGATGTGCCACAGGTACAAAACACTGGAATCAAATGGCTTAATTACCTCCTCCTTGTTTAGATCAGTTCTCCAGAGCCTTGCTAATGACCTAATTATTCTATTCCGGTGGGGCAGCAGAGGCACATAAAAGTTGCAGGGCAGCAGCCCTCCAGGACTGGTGTTTGACACCTGTGCTCTATTGTATATGTGCTGTATAAATCCTACCATCATTAGTTCAAAACTAATTAGATCTACCTATTAAAGTACTATAATTTGCATTAGCAAGTTCACTTTTATGTAGTGGATAGAGAAACAAAACAGTCTCAAAATTCCCTGCTAACATTGACATTGATTACAATCAATGAACAGTGAGGCGCACAGAAAAAGATAGGCAAGTTTTTACTTTTTTGTTTGAATCCAGAGTTTTGAGTTGGGAATCTAAAAGCACACTGCCGGGGCAGAAATGGATCATTCTACTCTAAACTGAGATTCTCCAAAACATGTCACGAGACAAGACAGGAAAACTCTACCTGGATATTTTGTCGACGGGAGCAGATTGCAGGTACTGAAGCTCAGACGGCGTCAGGAACACGGCAGTGGAGCTGACCGGCCCGCCGTCTGATGTCGGCGTGCTCCTTCCACTCGACCTCTGCGTCTTTGTACAAAAAAAAGTAAATAACAGGAGCTTAATTTCTTACTAATAGGATGGTCTGGGTTTCATCTGAACTCTTTTGTCAATGTTAATATAACCACAGATAAAATGAGCAGTTGTTGGGAGGCTAAAAGCTACTAAGCTAGCTCCTTAGACTAGCTTAGCTAGACACATGGTATGCTAGCGGATTAAATCTTCAATAATTACAGAAAAATATGTCTTATTTTTATGTTTTGCTCTTTTATAAATAAAAATCACAAACTGTAAAGAGATTTAGTTTCAATGTCGTCAACTAAATGAAGTTTTAATGTTTTAAAGTATTCTTAAGCTAATTCTTTAGACCTTCAAATGAACCCAGTATCAGCAAAAAAATATATTTCTCTGTCTGCCCAAATCTAATATGTACATTATTGTCACAACATGTGAAAAAAATAAAACTTTAGTTATGGAAAAATACTAAACCTCCAGCCAGGTTTAATACTAAACCAGCTTCCATGACAGAACAAGAATATACAAAGGACAGTAATAAACATGGGTTAGTAACTAGTATTAACATACCAACATGTTGTACAGTAATTTTCTAAAAACTTAAAGACATAGTACCAGAGTAACAAGAGAATAAAATACTGGAGAAATGCCCTGCAACCACATGTTGTTAAGATATCAGATAAATACAATGTTACTCAAATTCAAACAGTAAATGTATGTTGTAAATTTGTTATAAGAATAATAGTTGCTGTCTTTTGGTTGCTTTACTGTCAGAATCTGAAACTGTTCGACGCCCAGACAGCAAAAAGCATTTTGAAGAACAAGTCTAGCACTTTGCCTTCCATCCACTTGTCCCTAAGGGGCTGCCATCAAATTAACAGAGCCAAACAGCCGCATTATTGCAAAGCAAAACATGAAGTATTGATTTCGCACATCAACTACCAAAAACCACGATCATCTACATCCTCGCACGTCTAACTTCCACTAAATAGGCAGCAATTATGTTTCTTTCGATCTTTATAGTGAAAGTGAAACATTTCACTCTGTGGATAGAAATGGCTGTTGTACACGTTCTGCCGTAAGGCACATTGTGAAACATTTCTTGAGGTACGCTAATCGCCAAAAACCTTTTAGGAGAAAGCCTATTATATTACAATGTAATAAGACACAAAAGTCAAAGATCTGGTCATTTAAATCCAGGTTCTGTAAACAGAAGATCCAGATTTGTTTTGGCCACGTGAAGAAAAACAAGACTGACAGATTGCAGAGGAAGAAACTGCTGTTAAGCATAATGGTAGAACATAGAAATATTATGGAAATATTATGCTCCAGTAACTTTCAGTGGACCACAAATTTAGTATCTTCAGAGATTAATAAGGGAAGTCATATGTTAAAAAAAAAAGTCTGACTGAAATATTTGGCCCCATCTGATTTAAGTTCTACCTATATGTTTTGTTTCTTTGCCAAGGCTCTCCAAAATGTACATGTACAACTACTCCAACACTTGATTACGGCAACATTCAAACACAATATTTCCTACCTTAGTGTAGTTTTCACTCTCATGCACCATGACCTTTATCGTCAGCTGTGGAGGCATTTGTGTGCTGACAACTCTTGAAGAGATAAATAAAAAGTTAGATATATGTAAAAGAAAAAAAAGACAACAAATAACTGGTTTGCCCTCTTAAAACATCAGCTCACCTCCCTCTAAAGAGAACACAGCCAGCTAACACCAGGGGGCAGCGCTGGCACGCCTGGAGAATGAGGGCAGCTTTGAGGAGAAGAAGTGGGTCAACCTGAGAAGAAGCATGGAAGTAGTTATATTTCAGGCCCTGCAGGAAGAAAACTGACGGTTTTAAATTTTTTAAACAGAGTATGGTATGAAAAATGGCATGGTATTTTCTTATATAAGAGTAGGTCATGTGTCTGTTTTCAGAAACACAAAACAGACAGAGACACACCACTGCAGACTTGAATATGGCTCTACAAAGTATTGGCCCAGACGGGGGCTGAACACAAACCGAATGGTTTGTACCAAAGGAGCCACAGCTAGTTATTCTGTGTAAAGAAATTAACATGTGAAGAATGATATTTCTGTTTAGACTTTTTTTTAATTGACCACATACAGCAGAGGAGCAGAGCAAAGTTATTTTAATTTTGAACCGTATCAAAACTAGATGCTCTTAAAGGGCCAGTTGTGCCAGAATATATTAATAAAACCAACAAATGGTTGCTTGTTTTAGTGGTTTTATTTGCAATCAAACTTGTAGATTTTGTGGTGCCAATTTAGATATGTTTGTAAGGAATTTTTATATTTGCTCTAATGTATGAATGTAACTTCCTATTACTCGCCACATCAATTATGGATTATAACTTGACATCAAGTAAGGCTGAGGCAGCAGTCACTTAAACTCAATGTTTTTCACCAATTTTGAAAAAATTTGCAGTAAAAATTGCGAGGGACAAGAAATGCGGAGATTTGTTTATTGTGCAGATTTGTGAAAACCAGAAGGACTCATTGATTTAATTTGGAGTCTAGAGGGCCACATAAAAAGCTATGGCGGGCCAGATTTGGCCCCCGGGCCTTGAGTTTGACACATGTGACATATAGCATCCTAATAGTTTAAGACAGAATTTCTTTTTACTACCCGCAAGTCACATTCATCAAAATGGCAAGAAAAAAAATATTTTTCTGAGTCAAAACAATTTAACTATGTCGCTGTACTAAAATGTCGCTTGTAAATTGCTTATTCTCAAATTCAGCGTTTCTGGAGACTTGTAGATTGTGGTTTTGGTTTGGTTTTCAGGGACGTTTCATGGAAACCTTCTTTTTTTCTTTGCATTACTAAGAAATATTAAATCATTAAAGTTTGTTATGGGAAATGTGATGGATTTTTCATTCAATAAAAAAATCTGCATGATTTTCAAGTTACTGCATCCTGCTTATGTTAACAAGCATCAAGACGTAAGCAAGGTAAGCATGCAAGACAGAGACATTTGCACAGTTTATTGAGACACGCCGAGCACAACACCACAGGACCATTTCACAGAGTCACATCCTGTCTCATCATCAGCGGAGCAAGATAAGAAACAAGCAGCCGAAAGCAGAACCCTGGTGACATTTGCTTACGTTTGTCAGGTCTAGGGTTCGCACGCTTTGTAAGATGTAGTGCAACTCGGACGGTCCGGACAGAACATGGGAAAGGTACCGCGCCCACTCAGCGGCCAGAGTTTCCTTACTGTGGAGCTGCAGAGAAAACCAAATTCACTTCACAGAATGCAGGGGGGGAAACAGATTTTAGAAACCAGCAATCAAGTCCGAAATCTGAGCATAGTGACGGATTCAGACCCGAACCTTCAGAGACGCGTAAAGGCAGATACAAAGTCAGCCTTCTATCACCTGATGAACATTTCAAGGACTAAAGAACTAATGTCCCAGCAAGACCTGTGGGTCTCACCTGTTGCGTTCATTTTCCCCATAGGACACAAACATTTTTAAAATTTGTAAAATTTTTAGTGCATTAGGAAAACACACATTTTTCACAGATGAGAGATAGTTAAGGAGAAATTTTCTGATTCAAATATCTGGCTGATATCTCTTGAAAAACATAAGCACACCCTTAACTTTTACACTTTGTTAGATATTTAGTTTGCTGCGATGCTTCCTAGACAATCAAATATGGCGGAGTTACACCGGCCTTACCTGATAGCTCTGGCGAACAGAGCCGCTGTAGAAACAGAAGAGGTTGATGAGATGATCCAGGAGCTCACAGACGCTGACAGTAGGGACGTCCATGGAACAACCAAACGCCTTAGAGAGAACACACACACACACACAAAAAAACACACATGGTTGAAAAGTAATGCAATAAATAAATAAATAAATAAACAACTGTAGATTAAGTTGCACCCATTGGAGAGCTCTTACCCAGAAGAAGTCATCCTTCATGCGGATGGCGAACTTGCAGCGACGCAGCCTCAGGACGCGTACAGCGGAGGAGGAAAGCTCAGAGACACAGCGGCCCACTCCTGCAAGCTGACCACACAGCAGGTCCTGCTTGTCCATAGGAGTCTGAGGTGACAAAAGGGGCAAAAGGCCTTTAGAAGGGGATATGATTATTTATCACAGTGTCTGCACATCTGTAAAAAGTCTGAAAATCCATTCAAAATGAAGACCTTAAAACGTCTTAAAGTGAGTTGGCCATAAATACCTTTATCACAGGTCTTAAATTGTGCCGTAACAGGACTATTTAATCTCATATTGTTTCATGAGACTTTTGTGTATGGCAATAGATTCAGTCGCGCGTAGGGATTTTCATAGCGTCCTGTGGTTGAAGCTACCGCCCACTAGCTGCCAATGTACACTAGCTGCTACCGCCTACTAGCTGCTAACGTACCTTAGCTGCTAATGCACCCTAGCTGCTAATGTACACTAGCTGCTAATGTACACTAGCTGTTAATGTACACTAGCTGCTAACATATCCTAGCTGCTAATGCACCCTAGCTGCTAATGTACACTAGCTGCTAATGCACCCTAGCTGCTAATGTACACTAGCTGCTGACGTACCCTAGCTGCTAATGCACGGTAGCTGCTAACATACCCTAGCTGCTAACGTACACTAGCTGCTAACGTACACTAGCTAGCTAGCTTTTTGCGTCTAGTGGATATGTTTGTCGCCACCAACTTACTGCTGTTGCCAACCCCTAATAGCCTTAGGTGCATTTCTAAGGTTAAGGCTATAGAGAGCCATGAAAAACACAAAGTCACTGCCAGGAGCTACAAACAGACCCCGGACATTTTGATGTTTTTGTTATGCTCTATTTTAACAAAACAATCCCCCTAAACATCCATTATATTTATAGTTTTTTCATCTTAAAATGTATTAAAGAAGGCATTAAAAAAGTCTTAAATTTAACTTGGTGAAACCTACGGATACCCTGTTTGTATTTTATGGCTCCTGTGAGGTTCCTGACACACCTCCTCGGGGTAGAAGTAGCAGATGCCGTCCCTGGTGGGGTCCCCCTCTCCTCTGACCTTTGACCCGTCATAGAGGAAGAAGTATCTGCACCTGCAACACCAGCAAACAGTCCTTTCAAGGTGGTGGAGGGGATTCGGAGAAAAGTTAGCTGTTGCTCTGAAGCCAGGAAGTCACAGCAATGCAGATGAAGGATGTGCAGGACAGGTTAACAGATCAAATGGGTCCGATCGGGTTTTACCTCCTTGCGTCTGGCGGCTTGAGCTCAGCCATAAGTTTTTCCTCAGTGGTCGACCATGGGTTTCCTCCTGCAGGCTGAGGATGCACTTTGACAGAAACTATAGCGGCGAATTCGCAAACTGTTTGCGCAAATTGTCCGCCGTTTTGCGCCAACAAAACAAAAACAAAGGGAAGAGCGGGCGCTTTCCTGAACTTTAAATGTCACTCAGCGACTCTTTCTGTGAACGTAAACCAGCTTATAGAGCTGACAGTGCCGCTTGAGGAATGCAGGGCAGTCACACGGAGTAGGAGTCATGTGAAAGTATGGGAAGCACGGAAGGACAAACTTCTTCGGAATTCAGACGGCGCTTTTAGCAGTGATGCTCATGATAGCTAGATTTTATATCGACGGTTTGACATGTAAATAACCTCCTGAATTAAACTGCTCCTATATTAGTTGATTTGTTGTGTATAAATTACTGTAGCGTGAGTCTAGAAGTTGATATGTACAAATTTAAAGACAAAGGGAATTGTCATTAATCCCTCTTAATGACAATTCATTGCTAATGCTAATTACAGAGTGAATGTAGATGGTTTTGCTGTTTTTTGTTGTTGTTTTTTTTTGTCCTTACAACGCCTCCAACAAAGCCAGTTCTCCTTGGGATATCAATAAAAACTGAACTGAACCATCAGTTCAATTCTAATCAAACATGTTTGGGTGGAATTTTTACTAGCCTCATTCGTGTTGTTGGGAATATTCTATTTCTTACTGTAAATTCATTTTAAAACATAATATTCCAATTTGTTTTGTTTTTTTAATTGCCAACTGTTCAATCATAAAAAATTATTTTAGAAGCACAAAAGCACCACTGAAGAGAGCAACAAAAACACACCTTTTATTTAGGGTGAAAAAAGCGTAAAAAGTGACTGAATGAAATCACGACCATCGTGTCAACGTTAGCAGCTTTTATTTAATTTTTATGTGAGTAAATAAGCAGCATCCTCTGAGCGGTCATTTAAAACCCTTCAGATCCTGTTTTCAGCGCTCGATTAAAAATCCTAGATGAGCCGCCATGGCGTGGGCGCGCGCGACCCACGGACATGAGTACGCCTCCGTGAGCGGGTCGGCCAGTTGCTGCGATACGTCACAGCGTCCGCCATATTGAATGTGGCCTATGTGCCGGTAAGCTGATACAAATAAATGGACCAAACTTCAGAAAGTGCCGTTCTACAAAGTATTCTAAGTGAATGTCTGTCATTGGCACATTCTCTCACACACTCTAATAGATTTGGTAATCAAATAAATGAGTACAGACAGAGTTTCTAACTTTCGACGTGATTATTTAATTGTTTTGGGGGGATTTCTGAATAAAGAGCACAACGTTTTTATTTGATAGAAATTATTCTCATAGTGTTTATATTGACATTGATGAGCAGACACATACTTTACACTGTTTTATCAACGAACATATTTATATGATTCCATGTTAAAATAATTCTAACAGAGTAAATTATTTTTATTTAATTACACAAGCTGCATTGATACACTAATCCTTCAGACTGGCATATTTCAAAAGACACAAAAAGTGAGCGAATAAAACACATTTATTTATTATACTGGGAACATTGGCCACAGTCTGCTGGTCACACTGGGAGAACTCCAATGACGTCATGGCACAAAGCCCAGGACAAAAGAGAAATGATCCAAGAGTGTCATAGAAAATACATGTATTTTTCCTTCACATTCAGAAAAAAGACACTTTCAGCATGTCTGACTCATAGCATCTTTATAACATAGCTAAACACCGGCATAGTGAAGCCGAGCTGTGAAACAGAAGAACAGCAGCTCCAGCTCTGACCCTGACTGACCTCTCCTCACAAAATCCCCTGGTTTTTAATGCACTCCCTCTCTGTCAGCGGTTTCTCATCAGCCATCTCTCATTAGCAAACAATCAGCAGTTGCTTCGGGTCAATTTAGCCACATAGAAAATATTTCTCGGTTGTTTCTGGCCGCAAAGTCCAGTAATTCTGCTCTTTCATCCCTACCTGCGAAAGGCAATGCCAGCAAATCCAGTCTGTATTGTAAAACTGTTGAAACAAGTCCGCACATCGCAGGACTAACGGAGCTCCCGACGCTCTGCTGCCACACACAAGATGGCGGCGCCGTAACGTCGGACTCGGCGCTCAGTGATGCGTCGCCGCAGCCTGCGGATCTGTGGAACCAACGGCCGCGTTGATAGGAGATGCTCCGACAGAGAAACGACTGGACAGATTTCGATGTTCTGGCTTCAACCCCTGTGTATTTTCTGGGTTTCGTGCTGCCTCCGAGTATTTAAAACCGGAGCGGTCCTCGCTGCGGATCCGCTGGAGAAAGGCCAGGCCTCCTCACAGCGCCGCGGACGGATTCGGGACTCCTAAATACACCTGATGTGGTAGAATAATCTGATGGCTGAGAACCCTTCATGTATTCACAACAGGAGACACATTTTTATGACAAACTAGTGATTTAGAAACTACATACAAAAAATCATGAAATTAAAAAAAAGGAGAAATAAATACAAATGTACTTACAGCAGTACAGAAACACACAATTTTTTTTCAAACGGAACATGACTGAAGAATTCCAGTGTTATTGAACATGATTGCATAAAAATGAAAGAATTAAACATCAAAATACAGTAGAAAGACAATGTTTGAAAAAAAAGACTAAAATAAACCCGAATGTCTCACTGTTTACATAATTCTAGATATGAATGAGGTCACTACAACATGTCCACACTGCACAATAAATTAAAACAAAACAGGTCCAGTCATCCGAGGACAACGTGTACTTTGTAAACTGCAACCAAAACAGTACATGTAAATGCATTTAATAACTTATTTTCGGCCTATAATATTGTCTCCTAAAATTCCACAACAGTAAGAAAGATTCTAATGTTTACAATGCAGTATTTTGTGCTGTTAGCGTTTCCTGTTGCCCAACTGAACAGTCAGATGTCAAGTCATTGAAAAAGTGCAGCATTGGGAAGGTGAGAGTTCGATCAACCCTATAAAATCATTTGGAAGTGATCTCCAACTTACAGCAGAACTATATCCTATAAACATCAAAAACAATTTGCCAGGACTCTGAGACGACGCTGGCATATATATCTGAGTGTGGCGTCTAAAAACCTTCTTGACGCTGCTCCCTTTCTTCTAGCGACACTACAGTAGGATAAACACAGTCAAACCTAACGCAGGGTAGCAAATGCACAATATTCCTATAAACCTGTCTACCTCACTACAGACATGGCAGCCCACTTCTACAGCTGCTGCAGGCTCCAAACGCAGGATTCAGTCGTCGCTCAGAAGGATTACACCTGCACGTACATTTCAGTAACTCAGAGATCAGAGTTTCACCAGTTCAAGTTGAAAAGTGAAACTCAAACAGGCTGGTGCGTTTCAAGCGTTTGTTTTTGTCACTTTTAATGACCGTGGGGTACAGATAATGAAATCCTCACTTTCAGTTTCTGTGTAAATTAGAATGTTACTTAGGAGTAATAAATGAAAAGCTGCGAGCTGGCTGTTCTGATAACGGTGCCCACGCAAATGGATGAAAAACTGAGTGGAAAGAAAACATGATGTATTAAATATAGCAATTGTAGGGGGACAGGAGGATTCCCAAGGTGTCAGAGTTTAAAAAAGACAGAAATGACTGGACTGTGGCCCAACGGTTCATCCTTTTTGCTTTCTCTTTTTTTTTTTCTTCTCAAAACTGAATTATGGTTTAAAATTAGCCGTAAACCATAATCAATAAAGCAAAGAGAAATGAATACTTAACATATTAGTTTCTGGAAATATGTGCTTTTATCTTTTGAAACCGATTTACCGAAATAAATACATTTTTCAGTTGGACTCTAATTCGTTGAGATTCAAGGAAGACGCTGAAGACCATTTAGCTTATAAGCAAAACTTCACTGGTGTTTGAGGCTTCAAGCCGAGAAGGTTTTGTCTGAGTTGTGCGATGATCATCTTTAAATAACTAAAAATAAATAAATAAATAATCAAAAGAATTTTAATGCCAGTTAAATTCACTATTAAAACACTATAAAAATGTGAAATTGAGCTTATTGTATGTAAACTTGACTACAATTGTGAAGGTGTTTTTAGATCCACGTTCTCTATGAGAACCAAAGATATTGGACGCCACCTGCTGGCGAAAATCAGCAGCTAAGCTTGCCCATGCTTCGGGCTCGGATGAGACTGAATCGTAACAACGTGGTAAATCTATTATAGCGCTAAAGTTCTGATTCTCACAGTCACATCAGCTGTTTATCCAGAAGCAGGATCTCCTTTTCCAGCTTCTTCATCTTCAGTGCTCTGTAGGCCATCTCCTGGTCCCGATTCTCCATCTCCTTTTTGAGGTAACAGCAGTAAAGGAACCTTAGTTCATCGGTCTGCTTCTGGAAACACATAAGCAGAGATACGTAGAGTACCCAAAAGATCGTTCTCAAGTAAGAGCAGCTCTTACTCTTTACTTCATAATACAATTACTCAGAGAAAAGCCAAAAGTACAGCGTTCTCGTTCAAAAGAAAACGGTAACTCAAGTCAATGCAATTGAGGAAATGCAACTCTGAATGTAGGTCTCCTGAACAGCACTTGTATAATTGTTGTTTCTTTTCACTTATTTAATGTGTCTGGCGCTGAATCCTGACTCTCACCTCAGCACGCCTGGTCCTGCTTGTGGCCCCTGCTGGGCTGCCGACCTCCTGAAAACTGCTGTTCTGCACATCCTTCATTAAAAGGAAACACCAAAATTCAGTGTAGGGGAAAAAAAAAAAAAAGTGGATAAATTGGTTGATGAAGCAGGTGTAGAGGTGTCTACCCCGTCAAAATGAGCCTCGCTGTTGTCCGTCTCATCGCCGCTCAGGCTCTCTGGCTCCGTCTTTGTGACGGGCAGGAGGAGGACCGGATGGCCTGACATTTTCATCATGTCGGCAACGTTAGAGTCCGTTGTCTCCAAATGCAGCGACATTTAAAGAGACTTGACTTAAACTTACCACTCATAAAGGAGCTGTCGGATCCGCCGATGGGGCCGATGCAGGCGCCTCCGGGTAGGACCTCCACCCTCATGGTGTTTTCTCTGCTGTGCGCCCCGTCCTCCTCCGCTGAGGTCAGAGAGGGGCTTCCCGACCCTCCCTCGGTCCTCAGCACCTCGGCCCTTTTCCTCTTTGCTGTGCAAGTGCGAATTGGAGGGCAAACGTTTGAGCACAGGCTTGCGAAATGGAATGAATTTACAAATCAGTCGCTAAGCAAAAGGTCTGACAATGAGTGCAAACAAGTATCAGGCAGAAGGGCGTCTAACACTTGGGTCTGTTGTTTCCCACCTGTTTGGATGATGTTCTTGTGTTTGACTTTCACCTGCTGCCATGTTCTTTTGTAGCCACTGTCTGAAACCCTGAGTCAGAAAAAAAAAAACAGGTATTACTTCATGTACTGCTTAGATAATGAAACTATATCAGCATTTCCCAGTGTATTATAAGCCTGGCGGGCTACCAGGCTTTACTTGTGTCCCCACGAGGCTAAGCACTGCTTATTTAAATTTTTTTTGAATGTTTGCATTTTTAAGACTATAAGCTGATGTTCAGATATCAATCTTCCAATAACATATGACTATCAAGTGATATTTTCAAACTTCCTGTCAATTAAAAAAAAAAAAAGTAACTCAAAAACACAACACGCCGGGTGCCCCAACCACCGGGCTCAGCAAGTTTTCTGGGGGAAACCTTGTCTAATTTACTATAGAAAATAAAAGCATTGTCACCCCTTGAATTTTTATTTTTTTTACATTGCGTCGCATTGCAACAACAAATAGTGTCCAAAGTTAGTCCTCAAAGGTTCTGTTCCTGTTCAACCCTAACAATCAGGTGTAGCCGGCGTATGGCCATATAAACTAAAAGGACAGGCAAGAAAATTAGTCAAAGAAGCAATTAAGAGGCCCGTTGTAACTCTGGAGGAACTGCAGAGATTAATTGCTCGGGTGGAACGACATAGACGAGTCGTGCATTGAATTGATCTGCGTTTAGGAAAGAAACTGTTGAAGGAAAAGTCATGAGAAATCTTATTAGCCACAAGCTGGTGCAAAGTAAAAATGAGCAAAAAGGTAACCAGACGTCAAATCCGCCTAAAAAAAAAAAGCAGTCTGTTGGAGACTGTAACGTGACAAAGTAGGTTAGAGGTCAAGGGGCGATGCACAGAATGGAGACGGGATGAAAGAGCAGAATGTTTGCAGGATGTTTTCAAATGAGGGTGATGGGGAGTGCATTCGGTGCTCTCACGCGTTGATTTTGTCAGCAATCCTTTGCCAGGCCTCCTCCCTCAGCTTGGAGGCGCTGGTTGTGTTGGATTTGGCTGTCAGGATCTCTCGCTCTTCTTCATACAGCTTCAGAATAAGTTCTTGCTCCTTGGAGCTGAAGAAATGAGCCCTCTCCTGCTTTTTATTCATCAGGTAATCTGTGATAATTTAAAAAAAAACAGGAAAAAAAAAAAGAAGTGAGTGTACTTTGTTTTGTTTTTTTTTATCAGATGTATGTTTGCTGTCTAAAACTCCCGCCTCCTCACCTCTGTCTGCGTTCATCATCATCATCGTCATCATCGTGATCCGGGTCTCGACGTGCGATTGCTCTCCCCTGTGCGGCGGAGCGAGGGAGCGCGCGCACTGATCCGAGATGTTTCAATGCTAGATTTAGTAATCAAGTCGTAATCCGCTGCAGGGGGGTGCGGAAAAAAACGCCGCGAAACCGAGACCGGTTGGCGCCACGGCTCGATTCGGGATCCGTGACGTTGCCAAACGGTTGCCCGGGAGACGGAACCGAGGAACGGTGGCCGCTGTCACAGGATCGGGATATCGACAAGCTTTGTTAACCCCGGATTTTCTAATTCGGCTTAAGGCGCGTTCACGTGCAGGAGGTGGAGTCTAGAACAAAGACCGAATCTCACGTAGCGCGGCGTCGCGTCATTTGATGACGTCGTTAAGCGGTTCTTGCGCCGTGAGGAGGCACTAAACGGGCTGGGAAAGAGCCAGACTCAGCGCCGTTTCCGCTCTCAGGTGAAAATGGCGTCTCGATGCGACTCGGCCTGACCTCCAGCTGGGCTCCAACTTGGCCGCCATGCTGTTTCTGCAAGCAGGGGCCTGTTTAAAGAAGCCCTCTGGAAGTGATGTGAAACTAGTGTCATGATTAAAAACATAGCTATGCTTTAGGACCACGTCAGAATTGACATAAATGCACATTTTCAGCTGCACCAAGGCATTTCATTAATGCTAAAGATACATAATTAGTCAATGTTAAACCACAATAAAACTGGCTTACCAATGAATCAGCAAATCATTCATTTCTGATCAATCATCTCAGATCAGGACCAACAGAAAAACAATCGTTTCACCCTCACAAAAACTGAAATACATCATCTTTCTTTCAGCTGTTTTCAACTAGTGGTTCCCTGAATTTAACACCTTTTTACCCAACCATCTCATTCTCCGTTTTCAAGCCAAGCCTTAATACATAATGAGCAGGCTGGACCCTATTCCAGCGTTAGTCAATTAGTAGAATAAGAGCAAAGGTACTGAAGTAAAATTCTAAAAAAAATGCATAATATGAGGAAGAATATGACTTGAGTAGATATAACTTCAATCTTTACCACCCCAACCTAAACATGTTTATGACAAGGCATTTCTATGAAGAAAAAAAACATTAAAGAGTGCGGTACAAAACTAACGGAAATAAGAAAAACACAAACCAGTGGAACTAAATAGTCATTTTATTTACGTCAAGTAGGTTTAAGCTGATATTTTTGTTTTAATGGTCCAGAACAGAGGAATTGTTGGTTCAGGTGCTCCAGTGTGGGGAGCACAGAGGTATAAACAATCAAGCTCCAGAAAAATAGACTGCAAATAGGAGTGTGGTCCTGTAACGGCAGCAGAGGGGGCTCTAGAGCCTGCGCTGATCTCTGGAGAGTTTAGTCATGGCCCTCATAGCCATCTGGAAGAGCATTCACATGAGAGTTGTGGAAGAGGGTTTTGTTGCCATCTCCCCAAGGGAAACGCTATTTTGGAGAAGAAGAAGAAAAAAAAAACATAAAAACATCAGAACAAAAGTAAAACAGCAAAATGTGACAAATCTGTGAAAATGTGAAATAATGACGCCTGACCTTGGTGCGAATGCGAAGGTGGGAGTACGGGACAAACTCTGGTTGTGCATCATGGCTGTGCTCCGACCCTTTCAGGAAGGTGTTCACCATGCACACTGCGACACCAGGCAGTGCAACCACAAAGGTGAGGATCTTCCATGTTTTAGCTGTTGAGAAATTATTTCGTAAACCAATGAAAACATGAACGCTCACAGGACTGAGGATAAAAAGAATGCAGGAAACAGAAAGTCATTGCCATTTGTACACAGTTTCATATTTTCATTCTGTACAAACAAACTTAAACTTTGGCGTATCAATTTACGTCTCCTGGTAGTTCAGAGATTTCTGAAGACTTCGCATTTGGTTCTTCTACCAAATCACGAAAACCAGAAAATAATTTTATTCACCGGGTTTTGTACCGTTCCACACTTTCCTTGTAGAATAACCAGTTTGGTTATTTATATAGAACAAAAAGGTACTATGGCACAAATCCTGTTTTGACGTCTAAAATTTTCAGTCTTTTACTGAATATCAATGAAAATTCTGACTCATGGTTTCATCAGCGAGTCATATTTTGATTTACACTCGGTGGAGATTTTCTTCACCAACCTGAGTTATTCTCGCTGACTCGACCATCATAGCAGAAGGAGCTGTTGGAGCCATTACTCCTCACCGACGCTCCAGGACACAAACTATGTGTTGTCAAGAAGTTTTCGGAGCGCATGCCATTTTCCTCCATGTTGGATTTGTTAGCAAATTTCTGATCAGCAGCTACAATGGGTGAACTTACAAGGCAAACAATTTAAATCAGACGGTGTTGAAGGAAATGCGTGGAACTGGAAAAGTTTTCAAAGTATCAGCTGTTTAATTAAAGCTGCACCAAAAACGGGAGTTCATCGAATGCCAACGACTACGGCAACACTTTTTAGGACAAAGTAGAACAGAATTATCCCAAATGAACAAAGTGGATTCAGTTTCGACAAACCTGTCGTGGAATGCCTTTTTATTTTTTTGGTGTGCCCTTTCTGCTGCTGAATTTTTACCCAGCCTGCCCTTCAATTATGAAACGTTCAAATTAGAGAAAATCTGTTGGTGCATGCGTGTTGAGAGCATACGGTGTAGAAATATGAGCATGCATCTATTTTTAGTATGCGTTTATGTGCATATATATATACACATCAGAAACTGCGCTGTGATTCAGAGCAGGTCAAAGGTCACCGTTCCACACAGCAATTTACTCTAATGCACATATTTTTGTTTTATTAGACCACTGGCTGTCAACAGTGGACCTCAGAACTCACTGTTGTTGACATGTTAGATGAGTCTCTGCTCCTGCACACCTGAATCAATCTGAACCTCCCTGCTCAGGTGAATAAGGTTGTTCATCGGCCATTTATTGGACTCAGGTGTGTGGAGGAAGTCAAACAGCTTTGAATCTAAGGCTTCAGATTGAAAACCTTCGCGTTAGAGAATCGAATCGTCGCTACATTCAAGTTTGCTTTACGTCAACACTTTATAGCCTGCTAATCAAAACACCGCGCTACTTTTTATTTCTCCGATATTAGCTTGTAGCTTAAACATTTGTGCTTCGCCGCTTCCACTCTGACACCCGAACGTAATAGAAGCTAAAACATGGACCACCAACTTTAAGATTAATCACCAACATTTCTGTTTTTGAGTAAAAAGACGCCCCCGGAAAGCTCCAGGATGTTAGCCGGGTTGCTAAAGAAGCTAACGCTAGCTCAGCAAGGTCACAGTCCGGCCGGAACCCGCCGCAGTGAAGCTCTGCTGGGCCGCGTCCGCTCACTGACACTCGGCAAACACGCATCATTACCCGAGTCCTCGCCGTGTCCAGCGGCCGCAGCGAGCTGGCGCCGGGTCTGAGTCAAAGAAGACCTCAACAGCGTCCGAGAGAAACGTCCGAAGGCCGCCATCTTGCTTTCTGAAAGACCGGTGAGCGGAAACGGTCATTGGTGCAGATGGAGTCACGTGGGACTCTTCAAGAGCTCCACTGCGCCAGTGGGGTCAGTGAGGTCAGTGGGGTTATCTTCCCTGTTGGAAGATGACACGCACAAAAAACGTGCTTTTACAATGGAGTTAATTTCCATAGTGTTACAAACCTGCAGACGAAGTCCAGACCTCAGCTTTAATTAAAAAGTGAATGAAATGCCAAGAATAAATGCTGAGAAGAATGAGATGAAGCGATTTCACAAATCTGTCCATCATCGCTCCATGAAGTGAAGCACTTCCCTGACAAAGTACATGCCCCGGTTTGATGATGCAAAACTTGATTTCTGCATACGACTTGATCGTGGAGGGGAAAAAATAATTTCACAAATTATTGTTCTTGACTTTTTTTTTTTAATTCTCCAAGAGTGATAAATAAATCATTGTTACCCTGAGAGAACAAGTTTGTCACTGTAAACAGACTGGATGCCATTATAAGTGCAGCTACCAACACTTTGGGTTGTGGACGTGGAAAGAGAGGAATTTCACAAAGAAATGGCCGCTCCAAAGGCCGAGCCACCTGGACGGGCTTTTCAAAAGTAGTCCAGGGTCCTTGGTGAATCCATCCTACAGCTTCTGTGTATTGACTCCAGGGTTAAAATTCCAGAGCAGTGTTTACTTACCTGTTAATAGCTAACATGTTTGGCATAATAAAGAACAAAAATATTGGGTTGATCTCTTATCTGATTCTGCACTCACAGTTTGTCTGTGGACTGAATACCAACTGGATCCAAGGCAATAAAAAAAAGATATACAAAAATATAAATCTTGTTCTCCTTTAGTAATGGAATCTCATTATCAGCCGTTTAGCACAACAGATAGCAGCTTGGATCAAGCGGATCACAATATCAGCCAACGAACAGGTAAAACTTCCACGTCGTCTGAATTTGATTTCGGAAAATCAAAGTGTGAAATGTGTGTGTGTGTTTTCAGGACTGAAGAGAATATTGACGTACATCCTCTACAGCGTGCCGCTGCTGCTGCTGTTGATTCTGCTCTTGGTCTTTGGGGTCATATGTAGGACTTTAAGCACATCTTGACAAGGTGGATGAGTAATGTTGCTACAAATCACACTTTTGTATTATTTTACAGTCTCTCAGGTGAAGAAAGAAATCACTGATGTCAAACTACAACTCAAGTTCATCAACAATAGAGGAACAGCGTCCTCTATTGGTACTGCAGGTTAAAAAAAAACAATAAAACATTAAAAAAGGAACAAGATTTCTGATTTTTGCAGCCAAATTTGGTCTCTTAAAACAACTTGTGCATGTCTGTGGTTTCTCAAACTAAAGGCCCAACAGAAGCCAAACAAGTCCTGGTGGAGAGAATTGTTCCAGTTAGAGGTAAAACTAAAGCATCTTTGATCAGACAAAATCTTTGTTTTTGACCCACTGTGACTGTGCTGATCTGTGTGAATAAGGAACTTGCAAGGAGGGCTGGGCGAGTTTCCAGGGGAGCTGCTACCTGCTTTCCACCACCACCGCTGTCTGGCAACGAGCCGAAGATCAGTGTAGATCATCTGGAGGACACCTGCTGGTTCTTAACAATGTGGAGGAACTGGTGAGGTCCAACTTGGCTCCATGAAACTGCAAGCACACACAATGAAATACATAAATACTCAACTTTACATATGTCAAATCTGCAAACCTTAGTGGAGTTTAATGGGATTTGTGTTGCCCATCAACACAATCTAGTGCATTGACGGGAAGTGGATGGAATCTGGTCCATGTTTTCCCCACAACTTTGTTCAGAAGATATCAGAAAAGTGTCATCAACCTACACTAGATCATGCCTGAAGATACTGGACATTCCTCTTATTTTTTTTTATTCCAGGACTACATTTCAGGCATAGTTGACATCAAGTATTCCTACTGGATCGGACTTGTGGAGCGACAGCGTGAGGGCCACTGGAGCTGGGTGGACGGAGCCGACTTTGACTCAACCCCAACGTGAGTCGGAAGTGAAGCCTCAAGACGGAGATGCACGAAACTTGAAATAATTCTCCATGCTGTTTGGTGTTTAGCTTCTGGGACCAGGGTCAACCTGACAACTGGGACTTGAGAGTGAACGGAGAGGACTGCGGGCAGCTGCACGCCTCTGCCAACCGCAAGCGCAAGCTGTGGAACGATGCAGACTGTAGCCTGGGCTACAGGTACATCTGTGAAGCCAAGGCATGAGTCCAGCTGGGAGTTACACGCAGCTCATGCTTTGTTGATGCACCCAGACTGATGAGGGGGAGAGGATGGGTAAAAGTAAAACTATTTGACCTATTAAAACATCTGTTTACCGGTGGTTGCCATGGCAAAATTATTCACAAAACCTTTCAGCATTTTGTCATGCCACGTTCACGACTTCAGTGTCATTCATTGGGATTTTATGCCAATGTCCAACTGAAAGCAGGAAATAAAATTGTTAGACGAATGGAAAATGATTCATGGTTTTCAACACTTTTTACAAAAAAACCCCCGAAAGAAAATAAAACAAAGTTTGACAAACAAGCCTACTCTATTTTTAAAGCTAAGCCTGGTTCTAACACAATGTCCCAAGACTTTAATAGCTTCCATTAGAAGGGTGAGCAGCTGAATATATTTGTTTCCATGGGAGAACACAAGGCCTTCATTTCCTCAATTTATGGGGTTTTGCTGGAAACAGAGACAAATGAAAATGTTCACAATTGTCCACTAGATGGCAGCAGTAATCACCCTCCTTTGGACAAGACCTCTGCTAACTTTTACAACAAATTTGCTACATAAATTTAATAGTGAAATAATAATAATAAAGTGTAGAGATAATGTATTAATAAAGTTGTTTTTTTTAAACTGTGAATTTAGTAAATTTACTGGTTAATTTACTCATTGACTTCTTTGGAGAAGTTAATGAGCTTAAATCTGCCTCAGCAAAAAGAATTTTGGAATCGTAGCCATGTCATTTATCTGAATTTTAAATGAAGTTTATTGCGTTTTAAAGCAATGTTTCTGAGATGATTAAACCGTGTTACGTTTCCAACTCTGGATTTGTTAAGACAGGAACCAGCAAACAGCCTCTGCCTTAGTACAGACACTAACTAGCACACAAATAAAGCAAATGCACTTTTCTACATAGGTAAAATAACAATGGCAAGTTTTAAATTTAATTTAATTTCCACTAAAGAATTACACCAAAGTAGTTGGTAACTAGCAACAAGAAAAATAGGGGATGGGAGGTTACAAAATTCTCCTCAAAAATAAAAATATATCCTTACCTTACTCTTGTAGCAAAAGTTTTATGTTCTTTGTTATTATATTTAAAACTAACCTTAGAAATAAGACGCAGTGGTGTTGTATTTTTTTTTTTTTTACTTAATTGTATAGCATTTTGGGGCCCTAAAGGAGCTTTTATCAGCTGGACCGAGGTCAAAAATTGCTCTTTTTGTATGAAAATTGTCACAGAAACCTGGTGTAGATCAAAATAGACTTGTGTGGTAGAACGGCCCTGTTTAAATCCGAACCTAAATCTCACTGAGAATCTCTGACAAGACTCAAAAACTAATGCTCAAACCAGATCCACCAAAGATTCACAGCTGTAATCGCAACAAAACACGTGGTAGGATGAACTATTGCATCTGAAATGTACGTATTTTTAGTTGTGAAAAATGTCACGAAGCTTTGCAGCTATGCAATGCCGCAGTATCACTTTAGCATCTGCACAAAAGACTATTCCATGCATGCATGACATAAGCAAACCCAGATATGAATCAACACATGCACTCAAGTTTGTGTGTGTCAGATATTGACGTTTTGCGTATTTATAGAAAGTAATCTAATTTGGAAGAATTTCAAACCGCAAAGTTGTGGGAAATGTAACAAATGTTACATATTTATACAGCTGAGTTTGGTCAAACTTTTATTGATACAGGTTTCAAAAATACAAACCAGAGAGATTCGAGGCATATTTAGGGATGGCTGGAAGTTATCTACTCTTTTAATCCTTCAACTTTTGCATCCAAACATTTCATTTTAGTTTTTTTCATTTAAAAGTAATATAACTAAATAGACACAGTTTAAAGATCTATAAATGTTTTAGATGATCTACAATAATTGTGAATATAAGGAGTTATTAGAAATGGATGTTTGTAAATGTGAAATTGTGCCACTTGATCAAGCAATAATTAGCTAATATGAATGCAAGCTGCCACGTCATGTGGGATAATGGTGAAGGACCAGGCATGAATTGATTTCACATAGAAAAACGTCTTTATTTATTACATAGTGAGTGAAGTTTACAGGCCTTTAGTTTTGTTTATTTTGGTCAGTAATGACGTATGGCTAACAAAAACACAAAATGAACAATTAGAACGTTCCATCAGACAAATAAGAAAGACAGCTGCAAAACAGAAATGTTTGCTTTGTAAATAAAAAGTATGTTTAATACCTGCTTATTTTAGTCTTTTAATCAAATTTAATATGACAGCAATACGGGGACAAGCCAGGGAGTGGAGAGATGTTTTTTCTTGTTTTGTTTTTTTTGTTTGTTTGTTGTTTATTTTGCGTGTATGATTAGTTTATTTCCACCTATGAATACAATCACAGTGCTTGAGGGACTTGATTAGTTCAATGCGATTGATCCCACACACACAGAGAGAAGTCACGCATCAAGATTGACTGGACCGATCAAGACAAACCCTGGACAATGAACACCTCCTGTCCGCCTCCCCACAGCCCCGCCCTCCCCCACTGTGCTTCTTATCTGAAATTTGCTCAGGCCTCTCCGTCCTTTAAGAGGACGCCGCCACAGGCTCCAGCCTTCTTCAGATTCGCCACCATGAACATGAAGGCTCTTCTGCTGCTGCTCGCCGGTAAGCCTCTGAAAGCTCTCAACACTCGACGTTCTGTTCCCTGTGTTGATTCGTCCCACCTCACACATCTCTCCCAGCATGCGTGGTCAGTGGGGGATACCTCCCCCGCGCCATCTGGCAGTTTGCGGAGATGATCTCTTGCGCCCAGCCGGGCATCGAACCTCTGATTTACAACGGGTACGGCTGCTACTGCGGCCTGGGGGGCTCTGGGACTCCTGTGGATGACGTGGACAGGTGAGGTGTAATCACTGATTTTTAATTTTTGAATCATTTTCTCATCTATGACCTCTCGTCCGCTGTATGTATGTTCAGGTGCTGTCAAGTCCACGACAACTGCTACGGCTACAGCATGACGATTCCCGAATGCAATGACATTTTTGACTCTCCCTATGTTGCCAGTTATAATTTCACCTGCTCAAACAAACAGATCTACTGCGCAGGTATGAAACACTGAATACATCTTTATGCACGTCCATCATAACCACAGAATCATGTTTAACTTACTGGGATTTTACGTGATAGACTTGTCCTAAAGTAGTTCATAATGATGAAATGGGAACATTTTTCAAGATTTTCATAAATCAAAACGGAAACAGATTCAGCCACAAGAGTTTCAGGGTACGTCTGCTTCCATTGTTCATCTACAGAAACAGACATTTTTGTCCATTTTTCTTTTTTTTCTGTTCTTATATTGTGTGTGTGTGTGTGTGTGTGTGTGTGTGTGTGTGTGTGTGTGTGTGTGTGTGGGGGGGGGGGGGGGGGGGGGGTGTGTGTGTGGGTGTGTGGTGTGTGTATCTCAACCTCAAATCACTTGAGGATATCTGTAAAAATCCATGACTGAGTCTGTGGGTTTCGGTCTGGGCTTTAACTAGGACATTCTAACTAATTAGAATGCTGTAACCGGGCTCATACCGGTTCATATTTTCTCTGCGTTTGTAGCGATCAACAACAAGTGCCAGGCCATCGTGTGCGAGTGCGACCGCGTGGCGGCGCTCTGCTTCGCTCGATACAAGTACAACCCGGACTACAAGAACCTGGACCCAAAGTACTGTTGAAGACTCGCAGAGCTCGACACGTTCCTCCAAGCCGGAGCCGTTTCTCATCAGTGATTGTGGAATAAAAGATTGTGGATTTTCTTAAAATAATGATAACTTTTAAAAGAAAAAGAAAGAGAAAAGAAGAAGCAGAATAAAGTGGTCGTCCGCTCTGCCCGTGTGTCGAGGTTCTGTTTCACCGACTCCTGGTCTTGTCTCTACCACGTTTGTTTCACCGTCTCTGTTCATCATAAAGTTGCAGCGACCCGTTCACTTCATTTCCTGTCTAACTGCTATGATATAAATCCCACTAAGATCATAAAAATCTTACAAAATGTTCTTCATTCAATGTGAGTGAACTTTTGCCTTTATTTATGCGAGCTGTCGTTGAGATACTATCTCTCAATAACAATAGAGATCTGTTTTTAATCAAACAAAAACAACTACAAGTGTAGAGAAATATAAGTAATTAAGAAATCAATTAAATGAGCTAACAGAATATGAACTAAAAGCAGGAGCAGGTTTCACAAAACGATTTCTCTTTTTATCTTAAGAAAAGTTGAATAACTTATTCCTTAGAATTGCTCTGCTTTTCCAATGAATTTGTGATAATGGGACAAACATTTAGAAAAGGAGTATACATAAAAGCAGCACTGCATCCATTCACAGTATGCATGCAGCACAGTAAACCACCTCAACATATTGCATTTTTGTGTCCAATTCTAAATCATTCAACGGAGCCAAGGAGCGCAGGGAAACTGGGAACTCCCCAGATGCCATTCATTTACACAGCTGTGCTGATGGCTGGAAGATTGTCACATAAACGAGCCTGAAAAACACAAAACTGAGAGAATTCAGAGAAACCAAAGAGAAAACGGGTTCCTGTTAAGGAATATGTGGGGATACTGGAGACCCTTTCACCAAGGCGCTGCAGGGATGGAAGCACAATGTGCAGCCCAGCCAAGCAGCACCTTGTACAAGTCTGCAGATAAAAGTCACATTTATGTGGGATAAAGATATAAAGATAGATTATGTCCCTATAATTTCTCTAAGTGGAAGGAAACGGGCTGAAAAGCATGAACGCGATTACTAAAATGTACTGAATACTCAGTGGAGAAGCTGCTGTAGGTGGTGACAGTTCGAGAGCCGCTGCAGTGGAGAATCTGGCCGGATGCATTACTCAGGTTGGATTTTCCATCGTTGTTCTCTCTTCAGCAGACGGCAGCAGATTCTTATCAAGGATGTCACGGCACATTTCTCCTTCAATTATTCCTTTGACAAGGCAGAATAAAACACTGACGGAGGCTTTCCGAACCGTTTCAAGCCACTTTCACACATGTGCCCAGTACTTATTCCCAGTTACATTCAATTTTGTACAAATAACTAAATTTCTTTTTAGATCTATTTTGATTTCTGAGTGTGTGAGAATTATTTGTGTTGTGTGAATTTCCTGCCAGCAGTCCCGTTACAAATATGGGTATTGAGAATGCCATTTTCTCATGTGTTTCTTAGAAAGAACTTTTGACTATTCTTCCGTTTGTGAGGTCAAACACCGATGTTGGATGAAAAGGCCTGGTCTCTGCTCTCACTCACCTCAAAGGCGTTCCATCAAGTAGACATCAGGACTCTGTACGCCGGCGAAGTTCGGTTTCCACACCAAACTCTCCAAACTGTTTCCACAAAGTTCTGAGCATAAAGTCAGTCTCCTTTACACCATAACATTTGCTTTGCATTTAACTTGGCAATCTAACACTTGGATGAAACTTCTCATTTCACAACGACGTCTTATCATGATGCCACGCGATTAGTGAGAAAAATTCTCCTTTTTCTCACCAATGTCTGTAAGTGCTTCCTTAGCACTTCCTGTGGCTAAGGAAGTGCTTGGAACACCTGGATTCAGAGATCTGGAGGGGCGATCTTCCTCGTTTCATTTTGATTGCTTTGCTTCAACTACTGGTCTCCCTGTTGCCTTCCAAGAAGAGGCCTCATCCAAACAGACTCCATCTCCTCAGGGACATTATGACCAAACACATTATGACTGGTTCAAGCCAGAAAAATCTCAAACAATGTACATCTCCCACCTCACTTGCGTTAGTCTTATTTGACTTCTCTCAGCTCTGCTGTTCAAACGGACTCCACGTCCTTTGACTGCAGCCATGAGCGTGAAGGCCCTTCTGCTGTTTCCCATTTTCTTCTCGACAGGGTAGGAACCTCGTGGTTTTACAGATTCCTGTGCAACCAGACCGTCTCCCGTCTGCAATTAACCATCGAACCCAGAGTCAAGATATATAAAGTGATTCAAAGCAGTCACATAATCTTATGTGGCGAGGCAAAATGTATTTATTCACACACTGGCAGTATGAAACATTGTGAAAAATATCAAAAGAAAAAGAGCTTAGTATTAACAGGTTGATGAAACGAGATGGGAGAAACGTTCAGAATGCTTTGTTATAAAAATGTTGGTCCTGTTTCGTCATCAATCGTCATTAGAAGTAGCAGCTGTGTGGAACATCAGGTTGATGGTGATCTCTCTGGGTTATATGGGTTTGTAGAGGAGAGTGGTCACATATTTCTTTTTGTATCGGTGAGTCGCGCTGAGAACCATCACCCCGTCCTAAAACACAAAGACATTTCCGTCCCAATTTGCACTAAAATATTTCATCTGGATTATAATCCTGGGGTGAATCCTAATCCTAGCATTAGGCTTTTCATGATAAATTTTGCTGGACGATAAATTGTCCCAGGAACTATTGCAATGAACGATAACATTGTCAGTCAACTAATAAAACTAATAAAATCATAACAATAATAATGGCATATTATGTAGACCCTCTTGAGGATAAAAAAAAGAACATCTAAAGAACATTTAACACAGAACTTTAAATATCCAAGATAAATAAACAAAACAACTGAAACAATAGTAATTCAAATATATTATCAAGTCTCTTAAACCAAAACTGTGTTTCAAAAATTATTAATCACTTAGCTTAAACAGGGAAAACAGGAAAAAGTGCAAGTTAGGCGAATGCTATTCTAAAAATCTATTCGGTCAAATAGCCATAGATGTAAATGTTGAGTAGTGAGGGAAGCAGGACTACTTTCTGACCGTTACCTTGATGGAGAGGGCATACAGGTGATTCAGCATGACGTGGTTAGGCTCTGGAAGTAGTGTCGGGTCACACTGAAGGACGATTCAAAAGAAATGATTTTGTTTTAGATTATTTCTTAAGAAAGGTGCAACTTCCAGACTTAGACTTACAGAGACGCCCGTGTCCTTGTTGAGCAGCACTTGGAGCAGGTGGGGCGGCAAGATAGGAGGCTGCTTGATCTTGTCGTCTGGCTTGATGAGATATCCGTCCTGTTGGTAGGGTCCGGGTGGAGAACTGGACAGGTCTGACACACAACGGTCACTTTAGTTAAAAAAAGATTCATGTGCTGAAGTCTGAGTCTCCAACTATGAAGGCTTGTTTAACTGATCAGTTATAGTGGGTTATAGTGGAGGGCCGAACAAAATCCTCTCTGAAAGCTGCAAATGGCCCCTAGTACATCCTGGTTGTAGAGCCTTCACAATATGGCACTTTTAAAGTGTAATTAGCATCTTGTAACAGTGATTAGCACTGTTAGCACTGCTAGCACCGAGAGCTGCTACGTTCCTGACTGCACAGGGCCGGTCAAGAAACATACCTAGTTACTCCGTACATCTCTTGTTTAAATACACATTGCTTCAAATGTTCAGTTTCAAATGACATTTAGTGTAGCTAAAAGCATTTCAGTAACGCAGCTGCCATTTACCAGACATGTCCGTTGAATCCTGGGAGTCGATCTTGAGGGCATCGAAGACTTCGAAGTCGGTTTGATTCACTTGAATGATGTTGTTGACTGTGCCAGTCTTGGTTGTTGTCACCGGCTGTTGGAGCACAATCAGAACTTTGGTACAAGAAGTTAAGAGAGAAAGATGAGTCACCCTTAGTGGTGAGGCGACATCAGAAACCTTAAACTCTTACTCACCCCAGTCGGATCCAAAGTCCACTGTCCGTCAACGCAAAATTTGTACTGGTGCTCCCCCTCTGGCAGGTCCACAATAGCCACGAAGTTATTCTGACTGTGTTTGAGAAGCAACGGGTCAAATGTACATGAAAGGATAAAGCGCCTATTATGTCAGAAGAGAACGACCAACATAGCTCGAGTCGTAGGTTGGGTACCTCTTGTTAAGAGGGATTTTGGTGGCCCAGTTGTTAAAAGAACCGGACACAAAGACTTCCTTGGCTGACCCGGCCCATCTGAAAACGGTCGGTCTGGCTTGCCCCGGGTCCTTGCTGTCGCAGTCGAGGTCCTGCTGCCAGGCCAGAAACTCCTGTATGTCTGGGGAAGCCTGACATACAAGAGTGCATCAGTCAGAGGCAACTTTTCTGACACCAAACACTTCCTGTCTGAACAGCTGGGAACACTGGGGCTCCTTATCATCTTCTCTTGACATCTTCTTGAAGTTGTCTTCATACAGCAAGCGAATAACCCTACAGAGCCACCAGACCAGCAGGTTTCCAGCAGATTTTGCTGTGTGGCTAACTTTTCCACTCCTGTGAGTCTGAACCTAAACTTGAAAGCACCACACACCGTTGTTTTGCATCCTACTGGACTATAAGACAATGTAGGAAATATTGCTGCATTGTTCTAGGATGACCACAGGAGGGCGGCATACACCATTCCCTGTAAAACTAAGCCACTTTTACAGGGAATGACAGCTTACAACGTTGCCTATATCATCACAGTTCACTGAAATGACCCTGGTGGTGCCATCCCTCCCTCTTCCCTGATCTTGCTTGGATATGGTGTCTGGACGTACCTTCGGGTCTTCCCTGTGGAACAGCTCTGAGTCGTCGCTGCTGTCCATCAAGATGTTGGGTCGAGCCTCCTTCCCTCCGGACGGTCCATCTCTGAATGACCTCTCGCTGCTGGAGCTGTTGCCCATGGTGACGCAGCCCGCGTCAAGCACGGAAACGGACGCAAATCTGCTGCTTTCAACAAACACCCAGGGGGAGAAAACATCCACCAGATTGATCTCAGGGTGATATCCGGTTCGTCTGTCCGGTCGGACGGAGCAGGTTTTTATTTAGGGGCGACCTGCTTTCAGCTCGCGCACGGGTCAAAAGTCTCTTGTTTGGTCGCTGTTTTCGTCGTTGGAGCGGAGAAGTTTCTGTCCCCCCCAAAAAAACCCAAAACAAAAAGCAAAACCTCCCTGAAAACACTCGGGCTCGATAAAGACCGGACCGAGACAGGTTTCCAAACTGTTCCCAGAACCGCCTCTCCTCCCTGTTTGTGTCCTTATCCTGTTGTTTTCGCTGTTTTCGTCCTTCGGAGGAAACTTGAGTTTGTCTGCGCGAGACGACGCGCCTCTTCCGCCCCTGTCCGGACGTTAACCCCGTCACTTCCGGGTCTTGGCAAATATCTTGTGTGGTTCAGTTTTTAGAAGAAAATGCGCCTACTCGGACTTACTGAGACATTTTTATTTTTGTTATGCAAAAAGAAAAAAAAATGTGTATAATATTTCATTTTTATTTTTGTTATAAAAAAAACGTGTATTACATTTCATAAAAGTATTACGTATTCTTGATCCTACATGTTTTTTGGCGTTTTTTATTTGGTACACAGTTTTATTATTCTAATTTATTTTTCTGACCTGTAAACGTGGTCCATTACGGTCAGGGCCGGCCCAAGATTAAATGGGGCCAGAAGCAGCATTATGTTTGGGCCCCTCTTCATGTTGTTCATGCTAACAACATGCTGAGCAGAAATATGTGAACAACCCAAAGCTCAAACACACAAGAAAAAAACATTCATCTCACCACCACTGAGGCACAAATTGAAGTATTTTATGACCAGAATGACAAAGAAGTTTAAACACAATCAAATCATTTGTTATAGTCACAATCTTTTTCCTTCAGTTTGCTGTCAACAACAATAAGTTGGAGGCAGCGAGTTTCCACGTCTTAACACGCCTGACTCCCGTGTTTCCCACGGCTCTGCAGCTTCCAGGGTGGGACTGTGTACACTCCAAATAACTATCAACAGCGTTGTCAGTGGCTCAGCGAAGACCAGGTCACCCCTTTCCTTCCTGTCCGGGTTTGTAATTATAGCTGTGCATCACTATTCTGAATGCAGAATGCCTCTCAACAGAGTCTTTGTCCTCAAGCTGTGTCGCTGCCATCGCATTTTAGTCGATTTTTGTGAATGTTTACGGCTTGGTTCCACCGCATGCTGCTAAATTCCTGCCAGTGTGTGCAAACGACATTCAAATCTTATGAAATCTCACCTTGAGGACAACAAATCTTCCACTTTTAATTTACGCCTGCATCTAATAAATGTGCAAAGGTCAAGGTCAAGTCAGATTTTCTGTAATATGCACGATGCGCAGTGGAACAAAACGACAATCTTCCGGACTGTGGTGTTACAGATCATAACGTCAACTACAAATAGAAGCAAACATAAACTAAAAACTAAACTGAGGTTAAAATGCAAACTTAAGGCAGTAGAAGGGCAGCATTACAGCAAAACAACAAAACACACAGCTGACTTAATCTACATGCTGATGAGATAATAACACTGTGATCAAAGTGAGTGGACAGAAAGGTTGCAGGACACCAAAGTAAGCTCATTTTCATTTCATATGCAAGGATGAAACCAAGTCCTTCACATAAACATGAAGAGAATTATTTAATGAAAACATATCTTGATCAAATACTGAGCTAAATGAAAATAAATAATAATAACAAATGTGTTTGTTAGAGTAAAACTAATCTAAACGAACAAAACCGGTATTTGTAAAAAGATCTGTCTGCTTCCAGCAGAGGGCAGCAAAGTAACTCAAAGTTCTTTCACCCTGTTTGAATTGACCTGTTGTTCTGCGCATGTTTGTCGCAGTTTTGTGTCTCAATCAGCTTGGACACAAACTAACATCGAAGTTTGACAAACTGTGGAAAAGGTCAAAGGGTACAGATACTTATACAAGACCAAGGTACAATTGTTTGTGTTTCTGCTGCAGGCTGTTTTATGGGAAATCATTTTGGAGCTGCCAAGACCTGCTAAAAGAAATACATTCTTGATAAATCCTAAAAACAACCTCCTCTGTCGACTGAGTCTTCTTGGGTCAGGACTCAAGAAGGAGCTTATGACCTGATCTTTCTACAAATGTTTGCGCAGCTTCTGCCTTTTGCAGCCATCATTTTAAAAGTGCTGCATAGAACCTTGGTTTAAATCGCAACAATGGGCTCTGAAGGTTTCCCTCCACTCTGACTCAACCAGGTTTGTGTTCGCATTTCCGGTTCTTCTCGGTGGAAATGGATTTCCAGGGTCAAAACCAAATCTCTGAGACTTTATGTTCAACTCATTTGAAGCAGAAAAAAAATGACATAGTTTATTTGAGAATAAACCTTTGTGAGAAAGTTCTCAAGCAGATAATCGACACTTTATTTTTTTCTGAACCACCTCGGCTGAATTGACGGGCGACACATTTGTTGTGAATCTTCAAGGTATGGAGAAATTTACTGTAGATCAAGTGGAATGTATAAATGTAGCTTCTTTTCAACTACAACACAAATAAGATTTTGTTGTTTTGATCGCCATAAATCTCCATAAATTGCACACACCAATTGCTTAATTGCTGAAATCTCAATGACAAGAGCAACGTTGCTCATAAAACAATTAAAAACTGAAATAATTCTGTGGAGTTTTTTTTATACATATATAAATAAAGAAAACATTTTTATCAGTCACATATTTTAATAAGTTATGCATTGTGAAATTATAATTAGGCTGAACGCCCAGGTTAAATAAAGCTCAAATATAAAAAAAAAAAAACGAATTAAAAACAAAACAAAACATGCTTTTAGTTTACATTTGAATCAAATACACATACTCAAGCAATCATTTGAGTATGTGTATTTTTAAATTAAATTTTTAAAAAATTTAATTTAAAAAAAAAGGCCATCAGTTTCCAGTACTGGCAGGAGATGGTTTGGATTGTGCTTGATAATTATTAATCAAATTGTGGCACTTTTGGCTCTCCGTAAGGCCGAGCTGCCCAGTGTTTCACTGAAATGGTTTCTCAGACCGAACTTCTTGTTAGCTGCTTGTTCTGCTCTCACCTCACCAATCTGTTGCAATTTTTCACGCTTCAAATAACTTCCTCCACCATCTTGTCCACCAAGGGCCGAGACAGAATAGTGAAATTTTCATCCTTTTGAGCGAGATTGCCGTAAAGGCTCGAGCTGAACTGTTCTCATCAATAAGGCAACAATATCTCCCTGTAGCGGCGAGCGGCAGCCAAGGCCAAGAGAACAAACAAATCATTTGCTCCCTTCTTTTGCATCCAGATGCATTTGCTCCACCTGCACATGTGCTCGCCCTTCTTATTATCTCTAAATCATATCTGGGCTGCCAGCATGCCTCATCTTGTTACTCAAAACAACAGCTGCTGTTTGGATGTCAACTTCACACAAACTCGACCATCTCTGGCAGCCAAAAGACGAACACGATGTGTCAAATCATAACTAATACTTTGAGGTCTTAAAACCCTCCCGGCGGCGAGCGCGAACCAGGAGGCTGAAAGGAGCCGGATTTACTGGAGTTATGGACGTGTTGTGATGTAACAGGAGATGGAGCGCTTCGTCTTCGTGGGCTGGACCTGGCCAGACTCTTGGGTGGCTCATAAATTGGAAGCATATTTGATGCTATTATACACCAGCTGGATGTGAAAATCCAGTTGGACAGAAGAAAAATGATCTTCTGGAAATTTATTGTATTGTTTATTGTTTATCGTGATAATTTTTGATCAATTTATTGTTGTCATGGGAAATCGCAATTGATATTTTTGAAAAAAACCAAAACATCCATATTGCCAGAATTATCATTATTTTCTCCACAGTTTGTTCATCATTAAGTATCAATAAGTGATACTTAATAAGTGATACTGAATGATGCTACTGAATGCAGTTCAGTGACTCAAATCCCTGTGTTTTATGTCAACTAGTGACCTAAAGAAGCATATTACAAATGGGAATGTTTCTCAAGTGCATTACTTGTGCGCTATACAATTACCTGAAAAGAAGCAATAAGTGGTCCGTATCGCTTTAATTGTTATTACAATGGCACCACAAAGTATCGTGATATAATTGCGAACCCATATCGCCCACCCTGCTCTGTCAAAAAGTGATACTGCAACAATTTCGTCCAACCTTTTTGCATTGACAACAAGAATCGTGTAAGTGTTGCTTAAAATGAGTTCATCAAGCTAGAATGTAAATAAAGAAACACTTTACTCCTCGAGAACAAGGAGCCACGGCGCTAATGACCCGGAGGCAGAGAAGAGGCCTGAACAGCGAGATGGAGGGACGTCCTCACGAGGAGGGACCCCCTGAGCCCCTCGCGCCTCAAGAAGAGGAGGGCGTGGCCTTCACGTGCACCCCGCGAACATCCCGCAAGACCGGAAGAGCAGAGGGTCAAAGCCGCAGCAGCGAGACGCGGGGGGAGGCGGCGAAGGTGGAGGCAGCGGAGCAGGGATGATGGAGGAGAGGAGTCGGCCCGGCGGAGGAATACGAGAGGGAGGCGGAGGCGGACCAACCCCGAGGCTCAGAGGGCAGAGATGGGAAATAAGATGAGTAAATGGAACAGAAGCCGTTTCACTGCTTCACGATGCGAAAATTGCTTCACCATTACCATGCCAGTGAACTGTAACGCTTCCAGTTTAAATGGAAGTTATAATTGGGAAACTGGCGAAGAAACAAAGAAGATGGTCAAAAAAAAAAGAAAAAATAGCACAAAGCAGCTGAGAGATGAAGAACAAAAGCATTAGACTAACTATGTTTTCATGCTTTATTTTGGCTACTATTACAGACATGAATAGGTTTTATTGGGACAGATGAAGTTGTGTGGATGAAGGAAAATGAAAATAAAAACTGAAAAGTGTGGACGTTTGCTTCATCTGTGTTGTGTCTTTACTCCAACATAGTATAATTAAATAAAGGATTCAACTCTGAGGTACAAATAAACGTGACTTTACTGATCTTCACTTCTGTCTCAATGTTACATATCAATGCACTGGAGGATAAGCTCGAGGTAAACGCAGTAACTAGGGGAGTGGTTCCGCCGAAGTAAATAGATCCATTTCATATACCACAATCTGACCAGAAGATCTTCTGCCACGTTTGCTTGGTTGCCATCTTTTCATAAAAGCCAGTTTTGTGCACAGCTAATAATTGTCTATTTTTTGGTCAAAAAGCCAAATTTTGTCGACTAATTTTTTAAAAAGTCATAAAACAGAGAAACGTCAAGAGTAATTTGCTCATAGGCGTTGGAAAATAGAATGAACCAGAAACCCTGATTTCTGGTCTTACTCAAAAAGAAAGTACTCAATCTAAAAATGTTCTAATTGAACTTCTTTTCATAAATCAGCAACACAAAGGGCCAAATCAGCCCATGAATATTAGCGATGAGCTTCAGCACAGTGACCTCAGTCACAGTGGTTTTCTGAGACTCTGCATTTTCATTATCTGTAAACCACATTCATCAAGTGCATAAGGAATAAATGATGAGACGTACATGAAAGGACGTGGAAAGAAAAGATAAAAAGTAAACCAAGACCCCCAAGTGGAATGTTTTAAAATAATTTATTAGGAATTTTAAAAAGTTCTTTTTTTTTCCTCAAAAGGAATAAAATGACAGGAAAAAAGAATAAATCAGAAAAAGTTACAGTGTTGACAAGAAAGTTTTTTTGTTTTTTTTTCAGTGAAACATTCTAAATTTCCGCAGCAGGTACAGCGAGTGTATGAAAATGTAAAACCTGGTTATTTTGTAGATCAAGAGTGCTCTTTTTTGTCTTCTTCTCCAGCTAACATTTAAAGGAAAACTTAAGTTTATAGTGAACGGCCAGTGCAGCGTCCTAGTAGCTCTCGTTTTGGTCTACCAAAGAAAAAAAAAAAAAGGAAAAAGAAAAGATGTCACGTTGCTACAGACTGTGACCTCCAGTGGATATGCAGTGCTGGAAGGTGCGGTTCACTAGCCGCACCTTGATATAGATGTTAATGTACTACTACTAATGATAATAATAATAATAAAAAAAAAAGAAAATCAGATTAATATTTCACATTTTGCAAATGCCCCCCAAGAAATACAGCACATGGCACACTGGAGACCAATGTGTATCAAACCACATGACACATTCACATGAAAATCACGGAGCGGTCCCCGACTCACGACAGCTCCTGCATGCAAAGTCCTTCATTTTCCTTCACAAAACAAATCATTGGATATTAAAAATCAGGTAAAACAACATGATAACGTAAGAAAACAACGCGTTTCCTGACAGAGGAGCGTTTTCACGCCCTCGCCTCCCAAAAGCGGGAAGGTGTTGTTCCAGACTCGGCCTCTTTTCCTGCTGAACTCAAAAGTAAAAGCGCCTCCTCTAAAAGGAAGTTGTCGTCGACCTGACACGCGATTTTACAGATGTCTGGAGAGAAACGCCGCGTAGTGGCATGATCTCACGTTGACAGAAGAACTGAAATGTTCTTGACCTCCAGGCGGTAAGATTCCCCCCCACCCCCATACGCACACACACACTTTCTCCAAAAAGCCTCCAACCTCCCGGACACTAAAGTCAGCAGAGCCCTGCCGCCCCGAAATTAGTCGTATTTACAATATTTTACAAAATATTACAGTTCCTGAAGGCTAAAGGAAGTACAGATGTAGCCATGTTTTTGGCAACCCAGGTAAAAATGTGTAGAAATCCTTAAAATAAATTCGTCTGTTGCGGCAGAAACATATTCTCACACTGAAGAACAGAGAAAAATCCAAAAACAAAGAATGTTTTGAATGAAACTGACGGAAACATAATTACTGCTATATCTGAAAATGCCATTTAATAAATGTATCCGAAAAATGTTGAATGGAGATTGAATGTTTTTTGAAAAGTTGATTGTTTTTGTAAATATTTTGTGACAGAGTTTTGTCCCTCTATGCCACTCTTCAAAATGGAAAAGACAAAAGATAAAGCACAGTTGGACAAGGGCGGACGTGCGGCGATATGAGTCAGGAAAAACAGACGAGAAAAAGTACAAGACTAAAATTCAGAGCATCTTGGCATCACTAAGTCTCCATACAAACCACTAGACCAGGAATACATCGGGTTTAGATATTACCTGACCTGTATTAAGAAACACTTTTGATAAATATCTACTAAAGAAAATGTGTATTCATTTCTAAAGAGAAACCATCAAACTTTGTCAAATAAGATAATGGCTACATTTTCTTATATGGAATGTTGATATTTACAGTTTCCAGCTCAACAATAAGAAAAATAAATCTGAATGAAAATAAGTACGACTTTCAAAGTCATTCTGCTGAGGGAATCAAATGTAATTATTCCATGAAATAAAAATTACAACTCGCTGAAACCTGCATTCGTTTACATATATTTATAAAACTTCAGCTGCTTCTAGACGCGATCGACATGCACCTGATTGTTTGTTTGGTGGACGCCCTTTTTTTCCCCTACCCAACAAATAGATGTCCTCAAATTACAAGTTGGATTTTTCTACGTTCTTCAGTGTGAGATGATACCGCTGCAATAAAAGGTGACTATAATTTAAAGCTTTTTAAATACTTTTACTGGGGCCCAATAAGTCTGTCCACGCTGCTCGACGGTATTTAGTGTAACAACTCATGGTTAAAACCTACCAAGATTTACAATTCCAGGTGTTGTTTCAAAAATTCGTATTATGTGTTGACATTCAGTGTAGAGAAATGTACAGTCATTTTACAGCTTCAAAATAAGCATGTTGGAGACCTAGCAAGCCTTCTCTCAGAGAGATCACTTTTTGGAGAGGACAAATAGCTAAATAAAATACCGCTAAAACAGAAAAACAGCATGACAAAAACAACAAAAATACAGCATTCGAATGTGTTGCTATAACATGTAGTGATACGTTTCTTCTTCTCTTCTTTTTTTTTTTAAGTTTGCTTCATTTGCAAAAAGGTGGAGTTTAGTGAGGTGTCAGTAAGGTGGGCAGGATGCGGCTGGCACCAGGCAAGTTGGGGCGAATGTCCTGCCGCCCGAACGCAGCAGAGAAGACGCGGACCGGACAGAGACGGACCAGATCAGCTCCGACGTAGCTTCAACTCCGTCCAGCTGTCAGTCTGCGGCTCTGCACTGACACACAAAGCAGCTGGATTACTCATGGGTCGGCCGAACCGCGGCCGTCTGATGTGCTACGCCTCGAGAGGCGGGAGCTAGCGTGGCGGAGCGACTCACACTCAGTGATAGCCGTTAGTGAAGGCGGTGGCAATCAGAGGGCCCTGTGGGAGCAAGCAGGCCAGGTTAGCGTTTGCTGTTAGGCAAAATGCACACTTTGATTTTAATCTCTTCTAATGTGTCGGATGGAGTTTGAAAACAAAATATGTGTATAGGTTTATGTCTGGTTGAACAATGTGTGTGCCCAGTTGATTTTGTTTTTTTCTGGGGGGTTTAGGGGGGACTTGAGGGCATTTATTGTAATGCATAGGGGGCCCCAGAAAATCTTTGGGAACCACTGAGAATGGAAAAAGTTTGACAACTGCAAGCCTGCCAAGATACGGACATCCATCCAAACTGAGCGACCAAGAACTGCAACAATCAGAGAAGCGGCTAAAAGGCCCACAGTGATCCTGGAACAGCTGGAGAGGTCCGTGTGGAATGGTCCACTCCAAGTCCAGACTCTGGGCTCCCACAGTTTTCAGACACTCTCCATTCAACCTGATGCGAGTTTGAGCTATAGTTGCAATGAAGAGTTGGCGAAAAGTTTGGGTAAGCAAAGCTGGTCGAGACATAGCCTGAAAGACTGGCAGAGGAAGGTGGAGAGGAGACGCAAGTCTTCATTTTTGTTTCTTTTTTTAATTAAAAACCGTATGCTACGTCCTTCCGCTTCACCTTCACGCACCACTTTCCATTGGTCTGTCAAGTAAGATCCCAAATCTCCAACATCAGTGCATTGATGTTGGAGATTTTGCTGTAATAATAAACAGGAAACATTTCACAGGACATGAATGTGCTGCAGGGGCTTCTATTTCTGCCAAGCCTTTTCCAAAACGCACCTATCTATTTTTATGGCAGAGCATAGCAACCAGTGCTTCTGTAATTTCAGCCCATTCGCCAGCAAACAATTTGCTCGGCAACAGCCGACCCGTTCGGTCTGTCAAGCGAAGCAGCACCCTGCAGGGCTGAAAAGTGATGCAACCTCAGAGCCTTGGACTATGGTTCCTCAAAAAAGGCAGCTTGAGGTTGTCTCACCACACCCTTCCAACCAGTGGACAAGTCCAACCGATTACACGTTTGAACTCACAATAGGCCATTCAAAAAAAATAAAATAAATAAAAGAAAAGTTAAACGTCCACATTTGGTTCTACATTATTTAAACTTTAGAGCATAACTGTCCAGTTTTTGTGGCTTTAGTTTGGTATTTAATGGTTTTGGGTTAGACGTGTTAAACAGGTCACAACAATGATGCCGCGCTGTGAAACAAAGAAGCTGTAAACGCTGTGGATTTTCAGAAGTTTACAGAGTCATTTTTGGTACCTCTGAGCCACTTTCACAGCATGCCGAGCAGAAATTCACCGGTGAGCCGCGGTTACTCACCCCCAAACTGTGGCTGAAGCCGGTGCTCGGGGCCGGGCTCGCAGCGCTGAGGTAGCTGCTGACAGCCGACTCCTGACTGGCCGTCCCGTAGAGGTCGGCCATCGGACCTGGGCTGCTCGTTCCTAAAAATCCTGCGGAGCGAGAAGGGGTGGAACCTGGAAGGGAAAGAATGCAGCTTCACTGACGGACGTTCCGCTAATCAATGAAAACGACGCTCAATGTTAAAAAACGGAAAGAGTGAAATAAATACTCTGCCGTCTAAACTAGAGCTGAGCGAGAGTTCTGATCGGAGACGGTGGTTCAGGTGAGAATTTATAACTCAGTGCCGTGAAAATGTTATGATAGCCCTTGGACCTCCTTATGGCACTGAAAGGTCAAAAGTTCAATTTCAGTCTCATCTGACCTGAACACCTTCCCCTGTGTGCGAAACATGTGTATTTAGCAATTTATGAATTAAAGTTAATCAATAACTTGCATCTTACACGATTGCCTTTCTAATATCTCTCGACTAAAGACTGAATAACTAAAGTTTTCTGTCTGGGGTTTTCTTCTCATTCTGCCACTTTTTTGAAGAGCAAATTTGTGCAGAAACATCAGTAACCATTTTGTTTGTTTATTTAATCCATCCATCCATTTTCTTACACCGTTGTTCCTGCTGGGGTCGGGAGGTGAGCTGCTGTCTACCTCTAGCTAACGTTCCGGGCGAGAGGCGGGGTCACCCTGGTTGCGCCAGTCTGTCGCAGGACAGGACAACCAACCACACTCACACACACGTGCACGCAAACACACACACACACCCACACACACACACTTACCTAGGGAGAATTTAGAGAGACCAATTAACCTGACAGTCATGTTTTTGGACTGTTGGAGGAAGCCAGAGTTTATTTAATTTAAATATTTAAAATGTCTCCCAGTTTCAGTGTTAAATATTCAAGAGAAATTAAAGCTTAAGAGGGTGCACCCGCATTGTCATGCCATTACTATTATATTTTTTGAAAGTAGTCTCAACAGTAACATTATCATCACTTCTGGGATAATTTATCATCCACTTAATGTGTCATCCTGACAGGCCAACGCAGCTGTTTGTACTTTGGGGGCCACTGGGTACAAATGAGCACTACGCCTTTAAGAATTATATCTGCACAAACTTTTGAAAACCTTGCATCATTTTCTCCCACTTCATAATTATGCACAACTTAGCGTTGGTCTATCGCATAAAACCTCCGTAAAACACGCTGAAGTTTATTGCTGTAATATGAAAGAAAGTGAAAAAGTTCAGTGGTGTAAAGTCTTTTGCTAGGTACTTTATTTGGACTTCAGTGTTTTAGGAAATGCAATGTTGTACCTCTAACGACTGCTGCCGCTGCCGCTGCCGCCATTGGTCCGTACGCTGTGAGAGGAATAGCTGAAAAGGCAGAAGTGGGAAAAAAAAACAACAACAAAAAAATCAAGATTATACATCCCTGGTTCTGAAGAACCTGACATGCAACTGCAGCATCGCCCACGGATCTCGCTCCAGTGACCACAAAATGTCATTTAGTCACACAATAGATCATTTTAGCAGAGAACAATGGAGGTCATCTCAGTAACTGTCACCAATCCTGCCGTCAGATGGAAACCGAGGAGGATTGACAAACACAAACATGCAAACCAGAAGTGATGAGGTGATGTGCCGACATGTGGAGTAGCAGACTGAGAAGATGCTGCTTGTAAAGTCCAGAGGAGGGACTGACTGACCTGTGAGCTCAGGGGGGTGGGGTGAAGTCAGAAGGGGAGTCCTCTCTAAGTGGAACTCTAAAACAGAAACATCAGAGTGCTGTTGAGACACACACCGTCAACAACACACCAGCAAGGACAACACACACACACACCCGCGTACGCTCGCTGAAGGCCAGGGAGAAGCCTCGGAGGTGAGGAGCTGAATAAACAGGACGTCAGGAACAAACGCACAAAGCAACCGACAGATAGAACTGAACCCCCTCCCCAAAAAATGAAAATAAAATTTCTCCCAGTAATCATTCTGAAACGACAAGAAATAAAATAAGTGTCACAAACGCCGTCACCCAAACTAGCGACTCCAATCGGAGTGAGTGATTTCATATTTAAGAAGCAAGAGCTCTAATTTTCTGTGGTGGAAATCTAATTTTTAGGGTTATTTCCCAGATGATCAGCACACGTTCTACTGTAACACAGAGCCACGCCGTCTTGAACACACACACACACACCCACATACACACAGGTTCAAGCTAAGCAACGCCACTCCCTGATATTTACAAGCAGCCATTTACACTCACAGTGTTTCATCTGTGGAGACATGTTTGTATTTGTGACAGAGCGTCTGCTGCCAGTTGCGATATGAAGCTGCTCTTCAGAATTTAAAATGTGATCACGCAGCGCTAACACCTGGGATGAGATGCAAAAAACATTCAACTTGTTCTTACTGAATCACATGCAGAAGCTGCAGCGATTATTAGGGGCGCACTGATTGCAGTTTTCCAGCCGATCGATCGCCAACCTTCTAAAAGCCTGGAATGCCAATTCTGAATTTGATAGATTTAATTTTTTCTGAAAAGTTGCTAAATATAGCAACAAAAATCCCTAAGTTAGCAACAATGGGATGACTATTGTTAACTGCGCACAAGTGACCCAATGATAAACCCTTTCTCACAACAGAGCACAATGGGGCTGATTTTACAATCTCTGCGTTTACGGATAGGAGTCAGATGTCAGCCGATCTGTCAAAACGAAGAAAATCAGGACCGATTTCTCAACCAGCCGACTTATCAGTGCACCCCTAGAAAGTATTATCTGAAAAGCTGATTTGTTTTCTTAGCATCAGGTATTACAGACTAGGAATTACCTCATGTGTGATTTTAAAAGCTGACTTTACAGTGTGTGTGTGAATAAAACATGATCCTTAAGCAGGGCTCTGCAACCTGCAGCTCCAGAGCCAAGAGTGACTCTTTGGACTTCCTACAGTGGCTCTTTAAAAGTTAAAAATGATAAATATCCAGCTAATGTTTTTATAATGAATGTAGATACTAGAAAGTGCTGGTTTTAGTTATTTTTTCAACTTTTAAAATGGAATAAGTGCATTAAACTACAACAGAATGACACTAAAAGCATCTACTGCCATTCAAAATAAAGATTTTTTTTTTGTCATGAGGTTGGACGCTATATACTTCTATTTTTACATAGTTATATCAACATCAAATGCATCCATTCTCTTTTTGCAAAGAGTTTCACATTTAATTTGTTTTAAAATCCAAAAATAGGAAACAAAATCATGGCGCTTTAGGAATAACAACAAATTTTCTGCAGAAGTGAATGTTTATCACAAATGAAAGCTGTCTTTTTGCGACTAAAGACGAGTTTTATTTAGTTGGAATGAGGACGAAAAAAAATAGTTTCTTTTGATTGTTAAAGTTGCAGACTCCTGTCCTAAAGTCATGTTGTAGTAATAATGCAGGACATCTAACTATGCAGACACTCTGGGAGCAACGTTAGCAAAACAAAATGCGTTTGTGTTTTCTTAAACTTATAAATCAGGACTGTAATTGCTCCACTGCTGGGAATAAGCTACACCTTAGAGATGCACTGAGAAATCAGCTGGTGGCTGGGACGGGATGATTTTCAGCTCGATTGATCCTGAGCAGATGTTTTTCTGATCAGTGAACGCCCCGGGCTAACAGGTCAACGTTATTCGTGTTACTGAGAGAAGACGACTCAAATTATCCAAATGCACAAAGATAGATTAACAAAACCCATATTTTTCCATGACCTATTTGCGGTTTATTCTGACTGTGACAGAGTGAGTTTACGATTTAAAGCAGATAACAGGAAGGCTGAACATATTACAGCCAGTTTGCTGTTCATCCTTTGAGCTGCGTAGTCGCTGATCACATCAAAAATATCGGAAGCCTTTTTGAAATTAAGCAACAATCTGCAGCCTATACAACACACACAACTACTAACACAAGATACTAATTCCACTTTAACGTGTCAGATCTATAATCATTTGCTTTGTATTTTAATAAAACAGATTTACAGCGACTGCTCTGTGACACACACACACCCACACACACATACACGGCTTTACTCCACCCCTAACATGAATAATTAATGACTGCCAACAACAGCAAGGCCACAAGAACTGTTTTAAATGCAGTTCTTGTATGTTATAGTTTTTAAAGAGGTCAAATAATTACAAAACGTGAAAATCACCACTAATCTGATCAGTGCATCTCTAAACATTTGTCTGTTTTAAACAGCTGCTGAAACACAAAAATATGACAATTTTCACTGGATTCTTTTAAATGGCTACAACTTTTACTTCTTACCCAGGAAACACAGTGAAACCACAGCCTGGTGTCTGGTAGCATTAAATAAATGACGTCTCTCACGTTCACATATTCAAACAGTGAAGTGAATCTGACATTTCTTCCCTTCTTTCACTTTGGTTCAAATGACAGCATATCTCCTTTCTAGTGGTAAACACTGGGAAATGTTACTCTTTTCTTCTACACCGGGTGTTTATATTCTCATTATATATACAATGAATCACAATAATCTGAGTTTTCGAGCAGCAAATTGCATAATAATTCACATATACACGACAACGTAGCTATTCTACTGCTTTTCTCTGTTAGTTTTTATATAAACCAATTTTCTGAGTACCGTTTTATTTATTTTTTTGGCTTGGATTCTCCAAACTATGTCCCGTTGTTTCTTTTATTTATTTTATTTCTGAGTTATTACGAGATGGAAACGTGTGTGAGCGTGCTGTGATTACCAGGGAACTGATAGGTGTATCCAGGAGTGATGCCCGCGTAGCTCCGGCTGGTGTAAGTGGCCGTCTGGAAGCCGGGATAACCTGCAGAGCGCAGAAAAATCAGTGTAAATATCAATGAAACGCACCGGAAGCATTAGCACCGGCGTTAAAGACTCAGAGGACGTATTGACTCGATGCTGACGCCTTCATGAGTCTGTGGATGTAATTCCACACTTGTGCTCCGGATTTCTTTACAAGAACTGGAACGGGGCGAGGCTTCGGTTTCACTCTCAGCTGAACTCACAAAACGGAGATTTTCACTGGATGCAACCTGATCTCAACGCCTTGGCTACAAGAAACACCAGTAGGCACAAGAAGGTGTCATTTGTTTTTCTCCAAACTGTAACTTTTTGTAATGTTCTCTTGCTAATTAATGAATGAACTGAAAGAAAGAAAGCACTTCTTCGTCTGAACAGTAGGTGGTGGCATTGGCATAGTAAATTAAGTTTCTGGTGCTTTACTATAAAAGAAGAAAATTATAAGATTAGAAAAAAATAGTTGAATGAAGAAGTGACAAAAAGTCTTAAAGAGCATCAGCAACAATGGAGAGGTTTTAGGAAAACTAAAAGTCAATCGGATGTCTTAAGTGGCATTTCAACATAAAAAAGTGAAAAGCAGGTGACATAACAACAACATGTACAAGTGGAAAATATGTAGCTTTTGACATTTATTTTTAGAAAAGTGCTGCAAGGATATGTAGTTGCATCAATGCTTTTCCAGTGTTTACTTCCCCTGCTTCTAGTTTTTTGATGCTTCTGACTATCAATATCCAACAGAAGAAACTGTGCCCATCCTCTTTCTGAAAAGATTTTCAAGTTTTAGTTTGTCTTCAAATTAAAAAAAAATATATTGTTCTTTAAATATGACAAAATATTTATCAAAAATAAAAGTGGAGGGTTTTTGTAAACTTCATTTTAACATCTGTAGCTCTGAGCTAGTTTTGTTTAGCATGAGTGGATTGTTAAGTTTGGTCTCTTCCAAAGAAGTTCAAACAAATTACCCTGAAGATGATTGCTGGTGTGGCTAAGTGAATACTTATACAGCAAGGTTGTGTTACTTTTATTTCTTTTCCACTGTTGGGCACAATTAAACGTAGTGCAGACAGCTTCAAGCTGCGGCGGACATCATCGCTCAGCTCCCCCAGAGACGTCATGCGACCTTTAAGGCGGCGGAAACGGTCAGCCTCACGTGAGCCGCCACCGCGTCCTTCCTGTCCCGATCGATAGCAACTTACCAAGCATACCGATCCCTAGCATGAAGGCGTCCATCCCGTAGGGCATCACCCGAGAGCGCCCCCTGGCCGAGCCGGTGGGAGACATCACCTCCTTCGGCTGAGCTTTCTTACACTCCACCTGTTTTGGTGGGGATGTACGGGGGGCGGGGGTTAGGAATTAAATTGGCGTCGCTCGTTTTTCTGACCGCCGCGCGACAAGCCGCTCACCATTTTGTTGTTGATCTCGTGGAAGTGGATCTCGCAGACCTTCTCGACCACATCCTCGTTCTCGAATGTCACGAATCCGAACCCTGACGAGAGGAGAAACAAGAACTTGTAAAAACACACCGGCCTCTCCTGTACAGTAGGAGAGCTAAAAGCTTGCAGTAATTAGCGCTGTAATAGCCGCTTAACACATTGACCCCCCTCCCCCACTTCCAACGTTGCTATTTTGCACTCATCCTTGACCCCCACCTGCCCCCACCCCCTCCTTCCTGAGCCAGAAGGACTGGGCAAAGCTGGTAGGTTGTCATAATCGATCAATCCCAGGGTGGGGAGGAGGTGCTTAAGGAGGCTTTATCCTGATCCCGATTAACAGACTGGCTAATTAGACTAGCCCCGTTTGTCTCCTCCAGCTCAGCCCACAGGAAGGAGACTCTTGTGGGGGGGTATGGGGAATCAATAGCCACCCAGGAAGGGCTTGGAGGAAGAGCGGTAAAAATGGAGAGCAAGAAAGGAGCACAGGAGAAACTAGCGAGCGGATCAGGTCGTCCTCGTCTCACCTCTGTGCCTGTTTGTGGTCTTGTCAAACATGAGCATGGCGTCGTCAACCTGGGGGGGAGACAAACAACACAAGGTTCTTTAGCGAGGCTCTCCGTCCTGCCACGCGGCATATTGCCTGACCTCAGCCCTTCTCAAGTTCTGCAGGGAGGCTCAGCAACAGATGGACAGAGAGGAGGAAGACTGGGGTGGGGGGAGGAGGAGGAGAGACAGGTTACAAAGTGGTGGTCCGGGGTGGGAGGGAAAAGACGGGAAAATATGTTCCCAACAGTTCCCAAAATGGATGGTTAAAAAGTTGGAAGCGGCGTCGTGAAATCCCCCCCACATGTGCCTCTCTTCTCCCCTCTAAAGTTTTAGATCTCCATAGAAACTGTAACAAGGTCCTGTAGAGAAGAAACGAATGAAAAAAAAAATCCCCTTCAACCAACATCAAATATGCGTTTATGAATATCGGGAGAGAGATGAGAAAGAGAGAGAGAGCGACACAGAGAGAATCGACGCAAACAAGCAGCCAGTCACAGACGGAAAGGTGAATCCAGCAGGTGGAGACTCGATGAGAGCAGAGAGAGCTGATAGCAAGAGGAATGGCAACAGGTGGAGATACGTGAAAGAGAGTACAGAGAGTCCTGTAAGAGGAAGAAAGATTGGCTCAAAGAGGGAAAAAAAGAGTGAAGAAACAAAGGCAGAGGGAGAACAAAGAGGCCTGCAGGCTTTGTTTGTTGGCACAGTCAGCCAAAAATCCTCCTCCTCTTCTCCCTTTGACCTCTCCCTTCGGCCCGGCCTCCCTTTATGGAGCAAAGACACAGGTGTCTATTCAATAACCACACACACACACACACACACACACAGAATCTTATGTCACAGTTGACCCAATCTTTCTGCTGACAGGTCTAAACTTCAGGCTGGACGCAGAAGTACTTGTAAACATTTGGTAAATTCATCTGCGCTCCTGCTCTATATTAAGTTTACTGGATAAGTTCCCTCAGAATAATCTGTCACAGTCACATAAGAGTGTTAGTGATAGGACACTGTGTATGTGTGCGCGAACCCCTGAGGACATTTTGCCCACAGAAAGGTCAAAGGTGAGTGAAGAGTGTGGTTGTGAAAGGGGACCTTTCAAGCAGCCTCTCAAGTCAATGTTTGCTTCCATCCCGATGGCTGCTCATTACAACCAGGTCCTCCTGTTTCGTCTGGTTTTGATTCAGCGGGGAGAAAAATTGTCAGTATTTGGAGCAATCAAAACTGGCCCAGAGAATGCTGACTAATGCACCCTCGCTGCTTAATAGGGAGCGATAACGTAGCTTGGATAAATCCAAGCCTAACAAGGTTTCTCCTGTCTTGTGTGGAGTTAGAACATGAGCTGAGGCCGCACACAAATCCCCCTGAAGGACGTAAACAACAACATTAAAAAGCCGCAAATAGAGTCGATTCCACCTCCCCGGCTATACTTTTTATTCTTCAAATGGCGTATGGCCAAACAATATTCCCTCTCATCCCCTTTTCTTTTTTCCCTCCCCACCTCTCATCTTCCCTGCCCATCCCTCTCCACGCTCCTTTGTCCTCACCAGGACGGGACACAAAAGGTCCAGTGAGGCAGTCTAATCAGGAACTTCCATGGATGGCTGCAGCCCACATTTCACCGGCCATCCCTCGATATCCCTCTCGGCGTAAATTCATCTCGATGTTATGATTGAGGAGGGAGCGGCGAGGAGCTCGAGGCCGTATAGCTTCTGGCAGGGAAAATAAAGTGGCGCAACACGGCGTGCTGCCTAAAAGCGGCCCCTGCGCCTAGGCGTTTAAAAAGTTTGGACAACTTTTTCAGTCGGGTTTAGCAGCGTGTCGTCGGCGTAGAAGAGTATCCTATCACCATCGACTAATCTGTTGATGGTCATGCTCGATGTAGGAGGGAGAGCGATTAGGAAAGTGGCGTCCCGTATGCAGATAACTTCTGAACAAACCAGCAAAATACTTGCATTGCTTTGTTTAGAGGTATAATAGCCCTGGCTGGCCCCCTCAAACCCCACCAACACACAGTCGCCCCATCTTTGCCCCAGTTCCCTCTCTTACGCCTCTCCAAAGTAAGGCCCTCCCTCCTCGGAGCCTTTGTGAGTCCATCATCCATTCTCTGCCTTGCACAGTTGAACTGAATTTTGATGTGAAGTTCAGAAAAAGTTCAACAAAACCCAGATTTCCAAAAACATACATTGGGAATCTTGAGAGAAGTTTGTTGAGGTCAATTCAACTTGTCTTTTTTTGTTTATATATATTCATATGTATAGATATACTTATGAATACATATATGTTAAAAGCCCACCCCTAACTCAGCCAGCGGACGGCTCCTAACACCCACCTCATCCCTTCTCCTTCAGAACAAAAAGCCCCTTACCCACAGAATTACTTGGGGACAATGGGCGAGCCAGGTCACCACGGTAACGGGCCAGAAGGGGGTTGTGGGTAGTAGCAGCTGTTACATCAGATTAATTCAGATTCTGATAATCCCCCCACTTCTTCTTCACCATCACCGCACGCTCTGTACTAAACTTTCCAAGCCCCCCCGTCCCGTCCAGCTCCCTCTGCTGCTACCTCTTTCAGCCCCCAACCCCCCCGCCTGCCCCCAAGTTTGCCCGTCGCCTCATTATTTCTTCCTTTCCCCATCCTTTCGCGCCCTCCTCGTCCTCGCAGTAACTCTTTTCTCTCCAGGCACCTGCTTGACTCGAAGTGAAGTTTTCTCAGAGCAAACTGCCAACAAAACCCTGTGATGTGCTTCGACTTTCTAAGCTGTTGATTTGTTTCTGTGCTGATGCCACGGAGAAACACTTGGAAAATGTTGTTGTTTTTCTGGTATTTGAAACAATCATGGCTTTCAAGATCTCTTAAAAAAAAATGTCACTCACCTTGCCAAACTGATCAAAGTATTGCTTCACGTCTTCGATGGTTGTGTTCACTGACAGTCCGCCCACAAAGATCTTCTTGGTTCGAGTCACCAGCTGAAAGAAAAAAGAACAACAAATCACAAGTCAGTATATGGATTTCCACATCAATTTACATATTTCATTTTGAGATTGCATCTTCTTCCATACATCTGGTAGTTTTTCTAACATTAAAGCTGCAGGATGGAACTTTTACAAAAATATATTTTGTTCTATATTTGTTAAAACTGTCACCATGTCGGGACAGAATGATACGAGACATTCGAGTAGAAACTTGACAAGACTTTCACAGTTGTCAGCTTTTTTAATAGCGTTATTCCGCCTCTTTGAACCAAGGCCTAATTGAGACTCAACAGCACCTCTAGAAAGAACATTTTTTAATGTTTTAAAAACAAAAACAGACAGTTTTAAAATTTTGTTTGCTGGCATTTAAACTTGACCTAGTTTTGAAAACTAATGGTGCTGTTACTGGATCAAGAACCCCATTTTTTTTTGCACTTTTTTTTAACTTTTGAGTGTGCACATAGTCTGTAGCATGTTATCACAAAATGTTCGTTTGATATATTAAATTCAAATTGTGACAAAAATCTAAAAAAGTGAACTCATTGCTGTAAAATTGCTCTACAATTGATGCAGTGTTTTTAGAATTTTTTTCTATATTTTATAAATAGAAGAGGAAAACTCAAAACTTTTTCCACAGTTGGGTTGACATTTTTTTTTATTAAGACTTCCAAAATTATAAACTTTTCCAGACAGCAGAGGAAAGCTTTATAAGAATGTTTTATTGGACTCTGTGCTGGACTTGGATATTTTGGTAGTCTGTAAAACATGCAAAAAATGCAGCCAGAAATGGGACAACGTGGAGATCCTTCTATGTCCGCAGATCTTAAAAACAGACTAAAACAAAAGAGAAAGTTTGTTCATCAAACTTTCTCTTTTGTCAAACTTTCTCTTTTGTCAAATTAAAAGTTACGGGTAGGCCAAAGAGTTGTATATTCTTTTATAAAAGACTGACTAAACAAGCCAACAATTCAGATTATGTAATAGAGAAAATGTTGTTTGCACTTATTTGATTAAAATAAGTGTTTCAATAACTGTTGAAACGCCTTTAAATCTCAACTAAAAACACCTGTTTAGAATTGTATTTGAAATGTAACATGTAACAATGTATTGTTTATTCTGTGTTGCATGACTTTGCGTTTTTGTGTTTATGATGTAAAGCACTTTGAAATGCCTTGCTGCTGAAATGTGCTATACAAATAAAATTTGATTGATTGATAAAAAACAACATTTTAACAAGCTAGAGACCAAAGATGTGACAAACACATCTTTGCTAATTGCAGCAATAACTTTGAAAGTGTCACTTTTCTTTTTTGAGTTGTTTCACGTGTAATACACCATCCTGCACTCCAATGTTGGACTGGACATCTGCAGGTCCGTTTTTGGCAGATTTTTTAATCTGGAATGTTTTGATTGAAAGCCCAAAAATTGTTGCACGTCTGATGAGTAAAATCCGGGACATAAAGCTGAAACACGCTTGTTGAGCTGGAGTCAGCGGGTCTGTTAGCTACAGAGACAGATCAGTCTGCCACTCAGTGGCAACTTCTGTTGGATAGTTTAATGAAAGGTGAGTTTTATGTGAAGAAAACAACTTTTGGATGATTGTTGCAGGAATATTAAGCAAACAGAGCACTCTATTTACCCGACACTCTGCAGAGGACGAACAAGGCGTTTCTCCTTCAGCAGAAACAGAAAGTTGCATCATATTTAACTTTCAACCTGTCAATCTGGGTATAGGATCCGGAAATGTTGGCAGCCTGTTGAAACGTTCTGATGCAAAGTAGAAATACTTATATGCTAGAAAATACTCTCTTGTGTTTCGCAATGCTAATTGTGCAAACAGGGCTAGTTGCTGACAAACATCTTTTAAAAAATGCTCACATCAAATGTTCTTGACTTGATAACAATGTTGAACATTTTTATTGCTGGATGTGGTGACTTTCCACCGTTGTATACGTTAATAAAACCACAGGGTGGACAACAAAAATGTTTGATTTTAACCTTTGTTTTAAAGTTTGGAAAAGTTTCAGTTTACTTCATAGTTCACTAAAGTTGAGCTGTGACTCTATTTCTGTTTCCATCATTGTAAACCCCAAAACAGTCAAAGAATAACAATAAAGATCACGTCAGACAGTCTCTGCTCGATTATGAATTACAAAATTACAAGTTATGATTAAGAAAAAATTGTTGCAGTGAACGGAACTTGCAAAAGATTACAGACGAGCATTTAAACCAGGAGTAGAGAAGGCTTTTGCTCAGATGAACTGTTGTGCGATGGCAGCGGTGCTCATGTTGGTCAGATTATGCCGCATTAAGACACCTGAAATACTCAACACACGCTAACCAGCTGGAAACAATTCGCAACAAGAGGAGACATTTCAACTCACCTTGGGCTGAGCTCTCCGAGGGAACGCCACCTTAGGATCGATCTATCGGAGAAGATACAGAAAAAACAGGGAACTGCTCAACGATGGCCCACGATACAGAATCCGCCGCATTCCCTTCTTTAAACGGGTCTAAATAAAACTGTAATTCATCTTATCCCTTTGCTTTAATTTCTGAGTTGTCTTAGGTCAAAAGCACCCGATTGTTTTTGGACTCATCATGCATCCCATTAAAAATGACACTGTGAGTGGATCTCGTTTTAGAGCATTTAAGATCATTTTAATAAATTAAGCTGTTGGGAATATTATTTGAAATATGTCTGCGACACACTACCTGGTTGGTCCTGAGTTCTTACCTCAAGAGCAAAGAAGCATTTTGTCGACACATTAAAGAGAGTAACTCCTCCTGTCAAGGTAACACTTTCCGACACATGAATAGAAACAACTAAGAAACGTGTGTGTGGTTAATGCCCCTTTGAAACACATTATTAATCATTGACAACATGTAAATAGTGCAGACTTCTCCTTAATTTGAAGTGATTATGGATCTGTAGTAATTTGTGATTTTTTTGTTTTGTTTTTTTTCTTTAATCTTTTCTCCCTCTATCATCATGAAATGCACCAGAACATCAAGGGTTCAGGGCTTAGAAAATACATTTTTATGCAAGCTTGGAAGCAGTTCAATTCCAGCTTGACTGCTTAAATTATTGTGAAAATTAAAAAATGCTTAAGATAAAAAATTTTCTTGATAAATTCCTGAAATGTGTCTCTAATATTTTTATTTATTTTATAAATAAATCCAATCTGTTTCATTGTTTGTTTCATTAAGCCTACACATGTTTATTTTCTCTTTAATATGTTCATAATTTAGGAGAATTTGTGCACACCCGTGGGCACTCAGGTGGATTGCCTGGGAACGTCGGTCTCTCTCATCGCCACCGTGTGACATGTGATCTTATGGAATCTCACACGGGCGCCACAAACACAAACACTCCTCACCTCCTCGGCGAGGAGGGCCCAAGGCGTGTCAGAGGGAGGGACCTGAGAGGGGAAGACGGGAGCTGCCAATCACGCCGCGTTGACAGTAGATCAACGAAGTTTTGGGGTTTGTTCGATTTTTCGCAACAACAACATTATCGTCGATTATTCTGCTCATTTTCAGGTGATCCAGATCCTCCTCTGCCTTGTAGTTCCTACTCATTACTCCCAGAGGAGTCGAAAATTAAAGCTGCAGTATGTAACTTTTATAAAAATACATATTTTTTTACATATTTGTTGAAACTGTCAACATGTCATGAGAGCATAGCACGGGATACATAATCTGTGAAAGAAGCAAGCTCCTCCGGCTCCCAATGCTAACTACAGGAATACACAGCTCAGTGAGATACAACCAATCACAGCCAGGGGAGGGTCTTAGCGCTGTCAATCATGCTTGTCCCTTGCTGCCTGCTAAGCTGCAATTTCTTCCCGTCAGCAGAGCCTGTCCTGAACGCTAAGGCTAGTTAGCACAGCCACCAATGATGGCAGATAAACAGTTTTCCTGTAACAGTGAGTTTTTATCCTTCTTTAACAGAGGATAAATGATTGACAGCGCTAAGATCTTCCTCCTGGCTTTGATTGGTTGTTTCTGACCGAGAGTGGCACATTTCTTCAGACAGCATTAGTAGAACTGGGAAGAGATTATCTATCTCATATTATACTATCACAACAAAGGGACATTTTTAGCAAATATATATATGTATATATATATTTTAAATAAAAGTTACATATTCCAGCTGTAATTGTTATGTCAGTTATCTAAACATTTCTATCTTAAAGTCACAACAAGCAGTGGAGAGGCCCACTGATTGGACAGAAAACCACACCATGCCATGAAGATGCAATCACAGACAGTCTGTAAAACTGAAATTTGAGACCTCTATATTAGTCTATGCTGGTCTAATAGAGCTAGAGAACAACTAGACTACGCCACACTGTACTGCTGTTACACTAACAGACGGTACAGTACAGTGCTATGATTAGTCCTTAACCATGAAGAGGGTAGAGTTGAACTACAACAGACTGCTAGAGCCTCTATGGTAAACTGCATGCGTTTACCAGAGTGAGGGGCATCGGCGATGCTTCTAACCAGAGCTGACGACACCGCGAGTTGTCAAACAAAAACAAAAAAAAATAATGATTTTCTCTTTTCTTACTTCTGTTCTAGACAGCAGAGTGAAAACCACTAGATGCTAATTACTTTAGGATCAGATGCAGAGTCTACTGTTTAGTCTCTATTGGAGTCTAGACTAGTCTGATAGTCACCTCCGGTCACCAACCCTTCCCGATGTCCAACACTCCTGTGCGCGCACACACACACACACACACACACGCACACACGCACACACACACACACACAAACAGAAGTCAAACAGGTGGCAGCGCACAACACATCCGAGGGCTGGGGATAATGGTGGACATGAAACAGATACAATAAACTCCTGAAGGATATTGGTTTGTTGTGTAGAGAAAAAAACAGACATGATTGTCTGCATATCTGTCCTCTTAGAGCCGCATTTAACCCTTATGATCGTCTGCATTTGTACTTACCAACAGTGTTAACATCCAAACAATTAACATCAGCTTTAATTGTTTGTGAAAATATGTTTTCATGTATTTGTTAAAGCCGTCACTATGTGCTGATGGTTTAATAAGAAAATTACTGAGGTAACATTGTTTCTTCCCCGTTTTCCTGCTGCCATCTGCAGAAATACAGTTCGGTCAGAAACAACCAATCAGAGCCAGGAGGAGGATCTCAGCATTGTCAATCATGTTCGTAAATGTGCTGCTCACACCCTTGCTCTTTGCCATGCTAGAGCTCTTTCCCTACACTAGAGGCTACTGTGAATGCTAAGGCGGGTTAGCATGGCCACGAATGACGGCGGATAAACAGCTCCAGTAAACTGGCAATTGTGAGCAGCACGTACAAGAGAAGATTGACAGCACAAAGATTTCTCCTTAGTGCTCTGAGTGGTTGATCTGACTGGGAGTGGTGTGTTTCTGCACATTGCAGTAGGACCACACAGCAGAGGAGCTTAATTTTTTTCATTAATCATCTGCATCGTGTGACACTATCACAACATCGACTGTTTCAACAAATATGTAAAAACACTTTTTTACAAAAGATAGCTGCTGCAGCTTTTACAAAAATAAACAAAATATATTCAACTTCTTGAACACTCGAAAGTTCCCAGAATTTATTATCTGTCGCCAAACGTTTGTGCATTTTATTGGGATTATAGATGACACATAAATAATCACTGAATAACATAAAAACATGTTGAATGCATTGATATTCACAACTTTTAAGCTGATATAACTGCAAAAAAATCATTACTTTCAGAAGTCACACAATTACGAAGCAGAATCCATCAGTGAGAGAGTTAATCTGAGTAATAACACATATGGATTTTCTGTGAAGCCCACAAAGGTTTGTTGGAGAACATTAGAGAACAAAAAGCTTCAAGAAGACCAAGGAACCCAGCAGAAGGTTATGGACAACCTTCAAAGACCAAAACAGAATTTTCTTTGGGCTCACAAGCAAAATGCTGTGTTTGGCAAAAAAAAAAAAAAAAAAAAACAGAACACGCTATTCCCACAGTGAAAATGTGGTGGTAGCATTATGCAAGCGTGCAAAGGGACCCTAATCAGAGTTGATGGAGCTAAATGCAGGCTAATCCTGGAAGAAAACCTGTTAGAGCCGCTAAAGACCTCAGACTCACCTTCTGCAATGAACCTAAACCCTCAACAAAGGCTACAGCAGAAAGATTTAGATCAGTGGAATCCAAACTTTTTGCCCCTGTGGCTAAAACCGGATCAATCAAATCACAAAATTTAGTAAATTTAAAATTTCAAGTTTACGGTGTAGTGACGTTTCTTTTTTCTTATTTATTTGCACAATTACAAGTACACATTTCATTAAATCTAATATTGCTGCTCCCAATGATTAGTTTAGTGATTAGTTATTCCATCAGTTATTCTCATAATCAAATAACTGGAAAAAAAATTGAGAGATTTTTCATGTAATCATTTAAACTTATTTCACTGACGACTAAAAACATACAACATGAAAATAAAACAAATAATTAAATGTCATTTAAAAAAGTATTACTGCTCTGAGATTGTTGCTTTAGGAAATTGCCTTTTTCAGAGTCAGTTCACTTCAGTTAATGATTCATCGATTTTTAAATTATTTCATAATCAATTAATCACAATAAATCTGAGTAATCGTCTCGTTCTATTAATCCTTGAAGATCCAAAACATAAAAAAGGCCTTGGAAAAAAAACCTAAACCCTCAACATATTTTGGTGGTCATCAGTTGTTTTTCATTTTGTTGACAAAATTTTTACCATTGTTGATTTGTGGTTGAGGGGAAGGGTTGGGAGGGGAGCGATCATCAAAATCATTTCAAGGGGCCACAAATGGCCCCCTGGCCATTAGATAAAAAGGTTGTAACGGCCTAGTCAAAGTCCAGACCAAAATTCAATTCAGTGTTTGCGTTTACAGACAAATGAGAATGAGAATTTATTTATTTATTTTTTTCCAGATACGCAGAACAAAACAGTTGCACTATTTTCTGTTCACTTGCTAACAGAAAATCAACATAATTTCCCCTCCACTTTTTCAGTAGTTTGACTGAAAACTAAATGTTTACAGCGTAACGTCATGAAGACCTCACTGCGCTGAGACCTGTGTGCCAAGGTAGCAGAGAAGGAGCTGAAGCTAAGTCCAAGAGAGGTTTATGAAATCAGGGCAATCCCCTCTGACAGGCTACATCCCGGCTGTACGCAACAGTTGGCCCACGGTGTCGTCTGCCACGGTCCGGGCTGGGAACGCTCGCCGCGCAACCTGCCGATTGGGCAACAGCCCTCAACATCTCCGAGGAACAACTCGAGCTTGATGACTCCAATCCTATTAGTGATGAGAGCTATAGTAATCACAGATGGGGTCATCCCACTCATCCACCCCCATGAGCAGCACTTTTTTTCCTTCTGCTCAGCTCGGTATGGGAACAGACTGGGGGGTTGGTTGTTACAGAGACACTGATGTGTCTTTGTGCTAAACTCTTAACTGCGCAGGAAACTTTGTCCTACAAAGGTTTAACTCTGCAACGGTCGTCTCTGACTTTACAAACAGCGGGAAGCTACAAGGACGCGCCCCCCCACCCCCAACCTCCCGAAAGGGCAACAAGCGGCGCATTAGTTGCATAAATCACAGCAGACCCGGCCCGCCGTATAGCACACTGGTCAGAACCGGTCCGCATCTGTCCTCCAACACAATAAGCCCCAATAAATTCCTGTGCAGCACTGTACTTGCTCTTTAGCCTCGCGGCTGTGCAAAGCTCTTTTAATTCCAGCGCCGGAGCGGTTCACTCGGTCACAGCGTGGCACATTCTTTCTGTTGCCACTGGAGAACTTTTCTCTCTCTCCTCCCTAACAGGATAACCTGCCTGCATTGGGGAGAGGGGGGGGGGGCGGGCAGCGCAGGGTGAGCGGTCTAAAAAGACCTACTCTACTCACCGTCCAACCACTGTGATTGATCACTGAGCCTTCTCCTCGCCCGGCTAACAGAGGCCACTGCAGACCTCCTGGCACACTTGAAACACAAAGCGCTCAAACTACTTTTTCCCCCACATTTCGTCAGGTTATCGCCACAAACTTTGACGAATTTTGTCAGAATTGTGTGCAACTGTGTCACAAGCTGTAAATTTATGCATTTCCTCACAAATAGAAACTAAATAAAGACCCTTCTGCTCCAATACATCCCAACAAAGCTAGTTGTTTGGATGAAAAAGATTGTCCTCATCAGACGAAACTAAAACTTTTTACATGTATCAAGAATTACAATGGATTTTACCGCCATATTGGCATCTTCATTAGGAGCTGGATTGGGCAATTACTGCATCTTTTATCATTTATCGTGATAAATGTCTTGTTGTGATGAGATTTTTGATTTATTGTTGTCACGATAAACTTGAGCTAATGTAAAAAAAAAAAAACAGACTAAAATGTTAATGTTAGCATTTTCTCCACTACCCAACAATAAATATCAGTAAATTTTATACATGTAGTTTAGTGACATAAACTACACTTCTTTAAGTATGTGGCGTTCTACTTTAAATAGGAATGTTTTTCACACAAAAATATGAAATAACATGCATTATGTTTCTTTAATTACACATGTAAGCAGTAGTTTGTGTTGGGATAAAACAGTGTTGTCAAAACTTTTTTGTACATGATCTAAAATTTTAATTACTTGTGGGCCATCATTTGTGTTAAATTAATTTTGTCGTAGTTTTACCGGCTCAGCAATAAACTAAACATGAAATATGTTAATGAACCACAAATCAATTTTTTTTTATGGAAAAGGAGCAAAAATAAATAAATAAATAAAAAATCATCATTGATCCAAAACTTTAACAATGTCTTGAATACAAGTTCCCAAATTATTTGGGTGGATTATTTTCTTTTTTGTTTTTGTAGAAAATGTTTGGTTTATTTCCAACAACTGAATACAGAATCACTTTTTCTCTCTTAAAAAAAAATAAAATAAAATAAAAAAGCTGAAAAGCTGTGCCTTTCAGTAAAAGTCACTGACAGTTTATGGTCATACTTTGCTAAAATAAGAGCAAAAAGCACATTCAATAAAATATGAACACTAACATTTCTCCGAAAAAAGAAAAAAGGAGGTAAAACTTGCCCATTTACATGAATTACTAACTTAGAAGACGCACTTTTGGGTCACACTTTGACGTCTAATATATAAATAATCACACTGAAGTTTGTGACTGTCATGCACCAAAATGTGGAAAAGTGCAAGAAATATGAAATCTACAAAATACTGCAGGTGGGAGAAGTCCTGGCGCAGGGATGGAAGTTTTTGTTGCATCTCTGTGATTTAACTCAACATGGCGAGAGGATAAACCTTCAGCAGCATGGCCTCCAGTGTTTGGGGCCTCGGTTCCTAGTTCCCAAGAAATGACTGTAAATCATGCGTATTGGTATCTTTTGTCTTTGGTGACAGAGCTGTTCTTCGCCTGGAAGTGGGAGCGAGAGGAGGGGGTGGGGGCATCACTATGGTAATGAGCCCCATGGTGAGTTAGTGGCGTCCAAACATGATGGCGCTACTTGTCAGAGCTGTCGCGCCTACAAGAGACACTAAAGTAATACTTAGCAGCTAGAATCAGTCAGAGCTCTCAATCAAACTGCTTCTGCTCCCCTCACTCTTAAACTCGACAGACGCAATCGCTCGTCTTTTGTTCAAGTTTGCCGTCGCCTTCTTTTGTGGCTCGCACTTATCTCCCAAAGTCTCATGAAGGTGAGTCGCCCGAAGCACAAAAGGGAAAAGCAGAAACTAGCCTGCGCTCATTTCAATACAGTGACCAACCCGCGACCAATCACCACTCCCAACGCAGGCAGGGAGGCGGGGCTGTGGTCCCTATGGTGACCAACAGGCCACATTGTTCCCAGGCCAGCCCACATTCATTACTGACAAAAAAGACACACACACACTCACACACACACAATCAGTCCGCAACACAGTCCATTAATACATTTTAAGTTGCAGTTTGTGCGGGTTGAAAGGGGCCCTGAATGAGCCATGGCGACTTTTCCCCCCCCCTCCATCACTAAACTCGCAGCTTTACTTCGGCTGAGATCAACGGGAAGCTCGCAGGAGTTTTGATTGTCGCTGCTTTCACACCTCGATGGTTTCAGGTTGCATTCACTTGTTCCATTGAGAAACTTTTTGTTAGGTCAATTCCACCCCTTGGGGACAGGAAAGTGGGAAAAAAAAAACAACAAAAAAAAAAACACAAGTCTTGGTTTAGTGTTCTGAGAGGCTCAAAATCAAAGACTGGCAGAGAATGCAACCCTGTCCCGGTTCCCTTGTTTCTATGGAAATTGACACTGGGTGACATTTTCTTGCCTTGTTTGGCAGAAGAGAGACGAGAGAGCACTTTCTCCCATGTGTCGGCTAATGACTTTATCATGTAAAGTGCTCCCATCTGAGGTGCGGCAGCAGATGCAAGCATGGGACCCGGACTGTGTATCAATGGCACAGGAGGAGGAGAAGAAAAAAATACCCTCATCAGAACACTGGAATCCCACAGTAAACACACTAATATTGTAGGAAAAGTTGCACCTTTCAGGAAGATTACTGGAAAAATACACTAATCAAACACTGAGCCATGGGATTAGCCAGTGCTGGGAAGGAAACACACAGAGAACTCACTGTTTTGGAGTCCAGCTCGTGTCTGCTTTGGGCCAAAACTTTGTCCACGCCGGCCTGATCGACGAAGGTGACAAATCCGAAACCCCTGCAGACATCACGGAGGGAAGAAAGCCGTTACTGACGCAGAGACCCGACGTGGATGTCTGATGGTGCGTTTACGAGCAGAGAGGAATCAAGGAGGGGGGCGAGCGGGGGTCAGATAAACTTTCAGCGGGTTGAAGCCGGGGCTCACGGCGGCTCCCTCACCTCGAGCGCTTAGTAACCGGATCTCGCATCACCATACACTCTTTCACCTCGCCGTACTTGCAGAAATACTCCTTCAGGCCCTCTGAGACAGAAACAGAAACGAGACGAGTTTGGGGAAGGAGCAGACAAGCTGCGAATGAGGTCAACAAGTAGGAGGAGAAGTTTGAGAAATTCAGAAGAGAGCATCCCACGTCTCTCGATCCGTCGTATGCTTCCTGATCGGATTGCTCTCGAGCTACAGATGCGATAATCTCCAGCATCCGGCTGATACAAACTTCTAATTTGTTTTCTTTTCTTTCAAGTCTGAACTGCCAAGTCTCTTATTTTCTCAAATGCAAAAACATGTAAAAATATGCGACCTTAGCGATGTTGCAGCATCAAATCCATTGGAAAATGAAAGAAGTTACTAGATTATCTTAAGTTGTGAATCAAAGCATATTTTCTCAACAGGAGGCGCGCCGATCAGTTTCCTAGGCCCATAACAGCAGATCTGACCTGCCAAATTCATGAGTGATTACTTACAATTATTGTTTATGCAACACATATTAGAGATAATGCATTTCAGTGGAAATGACAGCATATATAAGTAATTTCCATTCATGAATCAAGGCATTAATCCCTAACTCTCATCTGATTTTGAATTAAACTCAAAAATGTGCCTATAGTTTACAAGAGAAAAAAAAGTTCTAAACTTTGACGCGCTAAATGAATGGTGCAAAAAAAATAAATAAATAAAATCAGCAATAATAAAACCACATTTCAGTAAAACAAAGCTTTTGGTTTAAGCATTTATAGACTGAATAGAGTTTAGTTTTTGTGCACTTTTTTAAAAAGGGAAAGAAATTATATTTTTCGGATCTGATCTGATAATTACCAGTCAGAGCTGCTGAAGGAGACAATGGCTGATTCCAGTTTCCAGCTGAGCAATCGGTGCATCTCTGCTTTAAATAAAACTTTTCAAGGAGCTTTATGAATCATGGAGCCTTTTGCCAACTCTGAATGGGAGTATTCGCTCAGGAGAAAATATGACATGCAAAATTCACTGCAAACACAACTATGAGCACTTTCAAAAACAACAAAATACACTGCACCGATTGAAGCTTGGGAAACGAAAACAGAAATCACAGTGACTTCTGAGCAGACATGGAGGTGGGGAAAGATTTACCTTGTGTCGTTTGCCAGCTGAGTCCACCTATGAACATTTTGCTGTGGAAAAAGTGAGAAAATATGCAGATTAACAGAGTCAACAAAGCAGCACTCAGAGCTCTGCTGCTTGCACAAAGTTGTGGCTGGGCTGTGCAGAGGGACCCCGCAGCTTTCACAGACACATCTCATTTAGCACGAGCCCTCTCTGCGTGGAGGTGTGCGGGTCTAACTCCGCGCCCCTCACAGAGAGCCGGGCTTGTTTTCACAAAGTTTGAAAAACAAAGTTTGTGTTTTTGCTGGGTTTTCTTTTTTTTTTTCTCTCTCAGTTACCATGGGTCGTGAGGGGAGTCCGCGGCGGACAGGCTGCTCTGGCTCCCTTCCGTGTCCATTCCGAGTCCTCTCGGTGCGTGTGAGCCTTGCCTGCCTGCCTGCCTGCCTGCCTGCCTGCGTGGGTGGGTGTGGGTGTGTGTGTCCGGGCCGAGCCGTGCGGGAGGACAGCCGGAGAGCGAGTGAGAGGAGCTGGGCGGGTTTGGCCCGGGGTGACAGAGAGGGGAGAGGGCCAGATGCAGGCTGGGACAGGCTCCACCTCCTTCCCTCGGTCCCCGCCGCGGTCCCTCTCTTATCCCACCACCGCTGCCGTCGAGGCACGCGGCTCCGGGGTCAAGTCAGAAGGAGCCAGCACCGTCACTTCCGGTGACGCATTTCAAAGTAAAAGCAAAGCGGCAAAAAGTCTTACAGCTTATTATTTATTCATCGTATGGAGAATGATGACATTTTACAGCATCAGAGGGAAAAATGAGTCACTGCTTACAAGACCTGCATACCGATAATAACTCCAGTTGGTTATTAACTAGTTACTTTTACTCAGTTATAATTACTTTATTTTTTTAGGGGGGGGGGGGATACTTTTAGGTTTTACTACACCGTACTTTTTACTTGCATAATTTTATGAAGTATCACATCGTCTTTGAGTAAAATGTCTGGATAGTCGACCCACTGCGAGAAACTTCACCGAATAAAAACAAAATTTCACCTGACACAGAAGTTTCACAATGACAGAAATTGATTTGGAAAAAATTAATAATATATTTAAGAAAAATTATATATATATATCTTATATCTTCCATGCTTTTGTTTTTTTTTAATATTAATAATTTTATTTATTTTTTATCCTTCAGCCACCAAAGTTTAACATGTTGTTCCCTCCGAGGAAGTAATTTTTAAATATTAAATGACTGATATTTTGATCAGTTGCATGAGTGAGTATGCTTTTTACCAAATACTCCTTCCTTCTTACTCAAGTCATTTTTTCATGACTACTTTTTACTTTTACTTGAGTAAAAATGTGTTAAAGTCGTGCTACTCTTACCTGAGTACAACCTTGGGGTATTCCACCCAATATTATGTGACAAGGAGCGCTGCACTAGAGGGGGCACCGAATTGATGGTGAAAACATTTTTTATACAAAAACTTAAAAGCCACACTCATTCCTATTCCTGCTGAAATAATAGACGTTTCTTTACTGTGCCATGAAGAGAAATTGTAGGTGCAACAGCAACAAAGTGAAAGGCGAAAAAGCAGGGGTGTCAACATCCAGTCCTCGAAGGCCGGTGTCCTGCAACTTTTAGATGTGCCTCTGCTGCACCACACCTGAATAGAATAATTAGGTGATTATCAAGGCTCTGGAGAACTGATCTACACAAGGAGGAGGTAATTAAGCCATTTCATTCCTGTCTTTTGTACCTGTGGCACATCTAAAAACTGCAGGACAGTGGCCCTTGAGGACTGGAGTTAGACAGCCCTGCGATAAAGGTATGTTCACGCCAACATAAAAAGTATAGAAAGAATAGAAGGCAGTATAGTAAGAGAAAAATTTCAATATAAATGTACTCTACAGTATTTTTATTGTTTTGTATACTCCGGTTCAAATAAATGTGCAATTGGGCAGTTTAACTAAAAACATTACACAAAATTTGCATGTGGATAATAGAAGAAAGGAAGGAATCTGTAAACGAAGCACTGATGTTATGTTTTACATGAAGCCTTCTTAGTCAAGCATGTGGGGCCATTAATTTGAAGAGACGGTTTCCTGGCTTCGTGTCACCATCTTGCTAATGCTGACCACTTTGATCCAATACCCACTTCAGTTAAGATAAATAGTTATCAGAAATGGTTTGAAGATAAAGGAACTGATTTATGATAGAATCTTCACCTGGTCTTTAATGTCGCAGGAACAGAAAGGGAAACAGCTCACAGGTTAGAGGAAAAATCTCAGCACTGCAAGAACCCGTAGTTTAAAACACACCTGAAAAGCTTGACATACACCTCACAGTTCATTCAATGACATCCTTGATTTTTAATTGTGCAATAGCTGATGTTTAAGCTCTAAATGCTGTCTAGCTGCATCACTTTAGCGCTCTGCGAAGGGTAGACGTGTTTCAGAGTCCATTATTGTGCTGTCTGCCTCCACATTGCAAACCGGTTTACGCAGTGTGGGACAACAGAAGGTTTGTGTGCTGCGTGCTCATTCATTGCTGAGGTTTAAGCATTTAATTAGTAGCTACTAAAGCCAGCTCCCGCTAATCTTCTCAACACTGACTCAACATGTGACCTGGTAACTAATGTTAAGGCCGATCAATAGCCCGTCCAACTCAAACAAAGGGAATGACAGCTTTGACTTAAGGTGGGTGTAAAACTCATTGCTGCCTTACAAGAGGCTTGGAGTTCGAAGAAAGTTTGGAGGTGCTTTTTTTTTTTTAAATAAAAGTATGCTACCACTGCCGTTTATTACAGAGGGGAACAATACAGGGACAGATGCCCCCACAATGGTAACTTACAGTGCGCTCCATCCTCATTGAGCGACTCAGTCAGTGTCCTGACTGCAAGCAGGTCTACTAGCCGATGATGGAGCACTGGAAGTGGGACAGGGTGCCATTTGGACGGGAATTGAGGGGTGTGTTAAGTTTCTGCATGCATGATCAATGGGGTTGAATAGGTTGGGATGGGGTAGAGAGGGGAGGGCAAAAGAAAAAAAGGCAGGCCAGACCAAAGCGGCGATGGAGTTGGAGAGGTGTTTGCAATGGAAACACACACACACACAGAGGTGGTGAGCAATGGTTTGTTAATGAGAGATGGGCCGTGAGGATTGTGTCTCATTACCAATCAGCACAGCTTTGAGTTCTCTTCGGAGAGGACCAAAAAAATACGCTCGCTCCAGTGTGTGCCGCATGTGTTCCTTTTCGATAAAACCTGGCTGTGTGGCGCGGCATTAGTCACAGCGGTATCTGAGCTGTTGGAAGTCCACACACACTGCCCTCTGTCCGTTTGCGTGAGGAGTTTCCTCTCTGTAGTACAATGAGTCTTAATTACAGGTCAGTGGCATGTCTCAGGGAGATAGAGGGAGCTCTGTTACCCTTCCAAATACTGTATAATGCCATCATCCCAAGGGTGGGGTGGGGTAACAAGAGCTGGACACAAAAAGGTGCTGATAGGCTGAACATGAGAACGGCATAATGCGATCGGGGTGGAGAAAGTGAGCGTTTTACACTGAAAAGAGAGTGGAGGGGGGCAGGGAGGGTGAGCTAACAGGGACATTACCTCTCAAAGGATTTTGCCCATTTAGTTTGCTTTACAGTTACACCACAACTAATTCCAGCCAACTTTCTTTGACAAAAAAAAAAAACAAGAGATGGATTAAGGACAAAGACAAGTTGGATCGGTGTGAAACAAATCTGCAAAGGGAAAATCTGTGGTTACAGTTACAGCGACGCATTTTCTACCACCTGTTGATGCTGCAGGTTCAAACCTGCTCACTGTGCCAGATGAATACCTGAATGAGTCTTACACGTCTCTACTCCGAGATACCGTGATGTTCATAGTTTGTGAAGCATATCTTTCTTTTATGCTGTTTCATTTAAAATAGAAGCTAGATGCATTCATCCAAGACTAATGCTTATAAGTCTTCTAAAAGAAAGAAATTGTATGACCCTATCTGAGAAGTGTGGTATGCAGTTTTTAATCTCATCTTATTCTGACTAAACTCACTAAATATTCACACAACCGTGCCTTCACAAGTCACCTGTAAGTAATCTAATTTCAGCCAAAGGTAAGGGGTTAGGTAGTTTTTTTTTTTTGTTTTTTTAACATCGCACATCGTTCTGAACTCAACATCCCAATTGTAAAACACGGCAGTGTTTTGGTGTGGCAATGTTTTTCCCAAGCAAGCGCAGGGAAGCTAAGCAGAGCTAAATATCAGAGAATCCAGGAAGGAAACCTGCTGGAGGTTGCCAAAGAAGCTTAATATCGCAACAGGATTACCTTTAACATACAACCAGAAAAACATTTTGTTGGAGTGGTCCAGTCAAAGTCTAGAAACGTATTAGAAAATCTGCAGCAAAGCTTGGAAAAGGCCTGGAAATTGATGTTTTACACTCTCCACCAAATGTCACTGAGCTTGAGCTGCTTTTAAAAGAATTGGCAAAGATTTCAGTCCCTGGAAGTGAAAAGTTTGTTTTTGAGTGCCTCTTTCAACAATACAAGTTCAGACATATGATAGTTAATAATTCCAAAATAACAAATATATCTATATATCAAATATATATATATATATAATCTATATATAGATATCTACAGCTCACCTTTTTGTTGTTTTGGTTTTGGAGAGTCACTGAAATACATTTCTACAGAACTGGGACAATTCAATGCTTGGATGGCACAACAGTGCCCTCTACTGGCACAAGTTACTCATCAAGTTGTGCTTGACCTAAAGTAACTTATAGCGCTTTGAGTCACTAAAAGCTCAGTAAATAATCATGAGTCTGGCATGCAGGCATTCTAAAATAAAAGGAGAAAAATCTTTAGTGTGTAAAAAAAAACCTCCATTGAAAAAAAGATTATCTGTCCTTAAAGCAAGTTTCACATTAAAAATAAGAAATCCATGTGATCTGCAAACACCTCTTCTCATTTATTGGCTCGTTCGCTGACTTGGCAGACTGCTTTTGTCAGAAGTCTCGGCAAATGCAACTTTGCTCATGTTTGGTTATTGTTCTTAAATTGTACTTTGGTCACTGTTGGGGACTGAGGGAGAGGGGACAAAGTTCACAGGGCGCTCGTAAGGAGGAGGGGGTGAAAAGGAGGAAGGTTAAAAAAAAAAAAAAAAAGAAAAATTGACCTTTGAAAGGAAAACAGCAGGTGGAGAGCAAAAACCAGGCAGCTGAGGACGCATCGGGAGGAAAATCAGCGGAGGAAAATGAAAGCGCTCTGGTTTTTCAGTTAAAGAAGGGCAGCGTGTATGAAAAAAAAAAAGAATGAGGCCCAACGCAGGCCATCCGGCTGCTATTTGAATGCGACAGGGAGAGCACATGCGAGCAGTGTTTGTTTGTGAGGCAGCAGCACGATAAGACACCAGACCAATGGAGGGAGAGGAGAGGGCGAGGGCAGCCATGGCGAGGCCGAGTCGTCTGACCGCCCTTCAGGAGCAGCTCATCTGGGCCCTGCTGGAGTCCGGACTGTCCCGGGACGTCCTAGTCCAAGCCGTGGGCGAGCTGGAGCGCAGCAGGGCCGGAGCCGGCGCCGAGAGGGGAGACAAGGGGGATGGAGAGAGCTCCGAGGAGGGAGAAATGGATTTC